GATTAGGAACAACCATTTTAGATACATGTATTCTCATTCATCATTTTGTAATGTCCGCTTCACTTAAACTATTAATCGCATTGATAATCATTATGTTTTACTGCTGAATCATCAGAGCGGTGGCTTGGTCCTCCAATGTACTCAGAGGGGCTAGTCTTAGATGCTGGCGTACGACTGGCTCCATTTCAGAACAGCACCTTCCGAGAGGCCATGGTTACAGTGTACATTTATTGAGAAGCCATTGTGTGTCATTGTGGCGTTTTACTGAGCTTCCTGGAGCCAACATTCTAGTTTCCAGGTTTGCGAGGATACAGTACGTAGATAGCATGATGCCCGCACGCAGTCAAACAACACTTCTTGAACGCTGGCATGATTCTCGCATAAGCAAATGGCTAGTTTTCCCCGTGCTTTCACATACTCATCCGACGATGGCGACAAGCTGAAAACTAAAATGTTGCCGGCCAATGAAATTTAGTGGTTATTTCATGCTTTGGATAATAAGAAGAGTACAGTCTACTCCACTTGTAACGAACTCGCATATCTCTTAATTTGCTGGCCGAAAATCCTATATATAGGATTTGAAAATGTGTGCCTTTTATGCCGTTGTTATTGGTCATCACGACAAATAATAACGGCATAATGGTTTTCATGGAAGTTGTAAATATGTTTGAGGCATGAATGTTTACATTTTAGATTCATAGGGCGATAATATTTCTGATGAATACCTATTTTCCGCAATAATTGGAAATTTGAGCATAATTGTTCAGCTGCTGTCATGGAAAGGACTGAAGCAGTGAATGTGCAGAAGAACATTACAGGTGTGGCTTCATGACGACATATCGCACATGCCGTCATGAAACTACCAGTTTTAAGGATAAAACAAGGTCCAATAAAATCTCAAATCCTATATCTATATATAATAGGATTCGAAAAATAGGGCACAGGCCTTAGTAATACTGGGCAAGGAGATGAGCCTGGGATGTTAGTGTTTGAAAAAATTATCTTATTCAACTCTCGATATCTACTAAGACCTAGCAAGGAAGAATTGGTCACATACTTTTTGCTATTCTCATGCCACACCCATTTTGAGTTGAAAATATGACCAAAATCCTATGTATGGGATTTAGCAAATTAAGAGATAGCGAATTTCGTGATATAACGAACCCTTGTCCATGTCCCTGTTTGAACCCATACAAAATTGACCCTTTATAACGAACAGTTTTCGTCAACAAAAACTTCGTGACTTTTTTCAACGGTGTTTTTAAGCAAGAACCTGCTCAACGAACCGCGCCAAAGGCTGTCATCGACAACCCACATTCACGTTGAGGTAGGTTTGGTTGATCTCGAACAGATTCTCCATGGAAGCCATGCGTGTGAGGACATTACCGACAGGAACTCACGAGTCAAATGACAAAAAACTAACACTTGCTCGAAACTGACACCGTGACGAAGTGGAGCTTGCGGCTGGAACACGGAGTCTAGCGGCACTCGCTGCCCTGAAACTGGCCAGGCGTGTACTTGCGGTGCGCGGCCCCATACGCAGCGTGAGAACATAAATCGGTTCCGCTCACACGGCAAGATGAAACATTTCAGTCGTCATGCAACCAGCGCAGACTCCGGATCGTAATCATGGTAATGTCGACGACCTGGCTTTCTTTGCCTCTCTCCACTCCAGTCAGACGTCTCCGTTGTTGCCTAGGGGAATCGCAGGGACCTCGTCGAAGCCGTTGTAGAATGCTGGGAGGATTCTCCTGCCGAGAAAATGCGAAGCGTGTGGATGGGCTTGAGCAACTCGTTTCACGGCATAATGGAGTTTGCGGGTTGGAACGACTGAATATAGTCGACACCGATTCGTAAACAGCTCTGGAAATGAAGAGTACGTAGCCAAAGTCCCGCGTCTGATTATCATTGCAGATGAAAAGAATCTGAACGAAATGCGAGCGGAAGCAGCGACTGTTGGCGATGCGGAGTCCGCGTTGTCAGGTGACAATGACAGGAGCGACTAAGACTCTGAATAAACTCAATCTCATTTGTCTGAGTTGCTTTTTTCTTTGTATATAGCTTGTAAACAGGTTAGACAATGCCACGAGTGTTAGTCCAAGTCAAGCGGAACAATTCCAGAGCTATGCGCAGCCTTAAAAATAGTCCCGAAATTTTTGTATACGGAGGAAGTACAACGAACCAAAACTTGTAGAGTTGCATGTAAACCAAGTGCACTCATAATGTCATGGGCCACTTGTCAGTCATGTCTTGCTGCTTGTATAGTGTGAGTACATTTCTGTTATAAAGAACTTCAGCTATAAAGAACTAATTATCCTGCACAATGGTGTTCGACTGTTCGTTATATCAGGAGTCGACTGTACATAACCCCCAAGAGTGTGCAACTCCGGCTATGGGGTCTGCGGGTGCTGGGCCGGCTGGCACTTGAACTGTTCTGGTGACCACTGTAGTTCTCTAATGTGTACATCTGGCTGTGCGCGTGTGCACTGTGCATGCATGCGCGCGTGCGTGTGTGGGTACATGTATGTGTGCATGTGTACGTGTGGTGCTGAGAGTGGCCTATCCATATTCAGGGATATGGCTGGTGCATCTGACCTTCATGTCGCTATGTTCAAAACTAAATTGTGTGGCAGCTGGAACTGTTGCTGTGGATGCCGATCGGACCGGCCTATCAGATGTAGTGGAGCATATGGAGGGATTCCATTGTCTCGGATGTCGTGCAACATCCTATGTCCTGAGTTCAATTGAAGTGTCTCAACGAGTCACTACTGCACTGAGTGAGTTCTGTACGGTGTGGGAGTCGTATTTCGAGAACGATGATCTCGGCAAATTAGGACTGTACTGGCCATTCTTCATCATGGATCGGAGAGTCAGACCATCAGGCAGAGTGTGATGTTCAGCATCTGGAACCCTTCCATGTTCAGCGCATGTGATGCATCTAGAAGAGGACTCGTGGCCAGCAGATTGACGAGAACATCCGCTTCTACCCAGTCCGCCATATGTGGGGAGATCTGGAGGAGGTAGCTGATAACGTTAGAGTGCGCAACAGCAGTGGCCAGGCTACGTGTCCAGAGCCCGGATCACATCCCTCGTCAGATGCTGTATGGTGCGCTGCCCTCCAAGCATCTACCACATGTGCCCTGGAGATGCTGGAAGAATGGAGCGAAGATCAATTTTGCAGCTGCTGGTGTTCCGCTTGAGCAACTCAGTGTCATTGCCCAAGATAGGCAGGTCGCCTGCTGTGATTCTGTCCACGGCATTCCAGTCACGTATGCAGCCAATGACGACGTCCCCTGATTTGTGATGAATGTAGATGCAGCTTTCGACAGCCACAAGGCATTGTGAGGCATACATGTAATGCTGTCTCCACATGGTGAGTAGGACATTCCTCACCCGGTGGACAGCACAGCTCCGAATCTGCCTGTTAGGGAGCTATATCTCCAGCTAATGCAGTGGAACAAGGAATGTGTGTGTGCATCTCAATCACAACTGCGTAGTGAGCACCACTAGGTGATTGATCAGAAGCTTACATATATTTTATCGACATCACTGCACTGCACGGGAATAGGCCTTATGCACATTGTACAGATGCACGAAATCCCGTATAATCTTGTAGAATCCCGTAGACCCGGTTGGGTGTTGAATGTGCAGGACCCTATTGTGTTTACTGCTATTTCCACTATGAAATGGGCCATGAAGGCATTTCATACGAAATCTTTTTCCGGCAGAGATCTAGCTAGTCGTTAGTTCAATCCCAAAGTGAAGAAGGCTTGAAAAGTGATCGTTTGCCATGAATTGTGAGGCTAAATGGGTCAAACGCGCATGTATAGCACACAATGAACACCCAACCGGGTATGTACACACCTACGGCCATAGTACAGAACTTCGTACATCTGTACAATGTGCATAAGGACTATAGAATCAGTGCAGACCGCATCATGTGAGATAACAATACAAATGCTCTATCAACACCTGTATCTGTGGCTCACCAAGCTGATTGAACTGCCTGAGCATTCCACCGAGAACATGGTGTTGTAGGATTCATGGAATGACAAGCATCATTCCTGTTCAAGGATTCTTTTACTGCCTGGCCTGTTGATCACATTCAGTATAATAAAATAATATTCGCAGGATCCGCGTCGGCATCGCTTGAATGTTCAGAAACACACAAACTAGCCTTCAGTATAGAGCAAAAAGATGACTTGTGATGGTTCGAAACCTACATTCCGAGTGATTGTCATTCACACGCGCTGCTCTCTTTGACCAGTATGCGTGATTATTCTGTGCGATACAATCAGTTTTTACTGTTCTTGTTATCTCATTCATGTTTGCGCGTGGTCCTCTTCAAATGTGGCACAAGTGTATGCGCGTGTGTGTTGTGTTACATAGTACATGTATTTGAAATACCGGTACTGCCTTACTACAAGATGCTACTGAACTTTGTGTTGTACAAGTAACAGTTAGTTACCGTATGTTAAATTGCACTGTAGTGCATGTTTTGTCAACACACAGTCTCGCGCTCACCACCCAGCAGTTACGGCGTTTGAATGTTTTCTGTATGTTATTGTTTGACTGTCTGCATACCTTTGAATGTAGATGTACTTCCCCATTCGTCAGCATTTCGAATATCGGTACACATTGAAAGGAGACGAAGTAACTTTGTCTCACAGCTCGGTTAACACTACTTGGATGAATGGGTGTTTGGGTTTATCAGAACAAAACTTCAAGTTCAAAGCACCTCGCCCTATGAATGTACACAGGTTATCTAGTGCGCCAGCAAATCAGTCGGGTGGTCAAGTTTTCTCGCACACTAGAACATGGTTACATGTAGTTGGTCAGGCTCCAGAAAACCAAATTCTAGTGCTCGGGTTTGCCAGCACACCGCAAAATCATAATTAGATGGTCCGGTCTTTTGGACGTGCCAGAAAATCTGGTCACATTGGTCCAGTGATAGCCAAATCATCACATCCCCGAACATGACCAGGTGCCACCGCGGAGAATCAATAATAATACCTCCAACTTCATGGACAATGACCGCGTACTTTCACCAATATAAAATACTGCTTGCAACAGCTGCTGGCAATAAATGGTAATAAAACATAGATGCTAAGATAACAACCAGCAGACCCGCAGGGTAGAAATAGAACTATACAAGTCAATATAAATGATGTGTAGAGATAAAAACTCCTCTCGCACATAACGTTAGGAACTTGTGAAAAATACTTGAAGGCGAGGAACATACAAAACACGACACACTATACTAAGAGTAATAAATCCCTACTAAACTTACCTAAAATCAAACCTGGACATGTTTTTTTTCATCAACTGGCAAAGCGGAATACAGCTGTGAGCGAGTGTGTTGAAATATGGCTGAGAGAGGTGGCAATATAAACTATTGGAGAAATACCTCGGGCGCTGTGGGACTGCATGGTTCGTGCCACAAGCATGCTGAACGCTGGTATGCATGGTACGGCGAAAACACGGGCTGCATGCATGTGCGCGTGTCTGCGTCTGCGCGTGCATGTGTGTGCAGGGTCAAATACGTCGGCAGTTCAACAACGCAAGGACATGCTCCGCTGGGATGCATTCGCAGTGGTCACCTACCTACGGAAACTACACCGCACACCGTAACTACTACAATCTACTAGCAATGTGCGCAGGCAGACTGCTATACATTACCACACTATCCAACAAGTCCGACATAGCAACTACTTGGCAGTAGCACGTAGCTGGTAAGAACCCAATCTTACTAGTCATTTCACAATGCCTCTCTTACTTTAGAGCTCAACATCCTCCAACATTGGTGAAGACGCTTCTGGAATACCAGTGGAAGAAGACCGAGAGACACCACCATTAGATGCATTGGCCAGGTGTGGTGAGCGATCAGAATGTGGCGATCCTGATGGCTGATCTGGACGTTCATTCAACACAAGTTGCAGCGGTGTGGCTGAACCTGATAGGAGAGGACTGGATGGAGACACTCGGCCAACATCACCTGTCGCCTCAGACACTTCAACTGCAAGTCCAAACACCAGTAAACACAACAAAAGACAAAGGATTCAGACGGGGAAAAACAAGCGGAGCACATCTCTGCCTTATCGATTATGGTACATTGTGATTCACAAAACACCAGGCAGCTGACACATTGGGATTTAAGTTGATGACAAAAGAAATGCGTAAAGTACCTTGGAGACCAGGTGGGGATTCAGGGCATAAAATCCTGAACAAAAGAGATGGGTGCATAAGCATGCTGCACGTTACATGTATCTCTTGAAATTTGGCCAAAGAACGAGACTGCATGCAGCCAGGGGCATGTGATTTGCAAGCCAAATAGCACATTTCAGCTGTCAGCAGCTCTGTGCACACTAGCCACTCATTCTACGAACTAAAAGTAAAGTGTATAAGAAGAAAAGAGGACCAAAGAGTTGTTGGAGTGCGCAGCCAAGATGTGCTAGAGCTGATTGCCAGTTAAGTGTAGAACGTCAGTACCGTTGGTCAGTGTCGTGCAATGTTATCGAATGAGCTGAGTGTAAAGTAACTGGTGGTGTTGGTGGATATTATAGCATAACTTGTAGCTCTGTGGTCCTCTTTTCTTATTATAAACTAGCAGCACCCCCGGCCAGCGTTGCCTGGCCGAACGTGGCATGCGGGTGAAGCAAGTACATGAACAGCACACGTGCTCAGCACGTGGTGGTGGCCAGACCGCTGAAGTCCTGGTGAGGGAGGTTCTTCATCGTTGGAAGGAGAAGGAGGGACGTCTGTTACGCCTTCGGGAGGCTGTTCAGGGTTGTCCATCACCTGGTGGCCGATGAAGCGGCTCAAAAAATTCATAAAATTACGAACAAAAGTGCGATGCGCTCTTCACTGCAGATCAGATGCAGAGTGCAGTCAGTGCAGATCTTTTGTATCCTTTTGTTGCAGATGTTTATTTTGCAGAGAACGGTTCACGGCCGGTCCGCAGCGCTTGTGCGGCTGCTAGTGCTCAGTGCTTCTGCGCGCGGCTGCTACTGCTACTCGTACTGATCGTGTCTGCTACCTACACACACACACACGTCACAGGTGCCTCTTCTTTTGTATGGCCTAGGCTAGAACGTGGCATGAACAGCACACGTGCTCAGCACGTGGTGGTGGCTACACGATTCGCACGCTTCGCGTGCTCAGTGCTTCTGTGGCTGCTTCCGCTAGCTACACGATTCGCACGCTTCGCGTGCTCAGTGCTTCTGCGGCCGCTAGCTACACTGTTCGCACGCTTCGCGTGCTCAGGGATGCGCTGCTCCGCAGGATGGCCTGAGCGTAACACACAGACACACGTCACAGGTGCCTCTTCTTTATAAGATAGTAGTCGAACACAGACTCAGTGTGTCAATCTAGGCCATAGGCATAGGCTACACGATTCGCACGCGCGGCTGCTAGTGCTACCTACACACACACACAGTGCTTCTGCGGCCGCCAGCTACACTGTTCGCACGCTCCGCCTGCTAGTGCTACCTATGGCCTAGGCTAGAACGTGGCATGAACAGCACACGTGCTCAGCACGTGGTGGTGGCTACACGATTCGCACGCTTCGCGTGCTCAGTGCTTCTGTGGCTGCTTCCGCTAGCTACACGATTCGCACGCTTCGCGTGCTCAGTGCTTCTGCGGCCGCTAGCTACACTGTTCGCACGCTTCGCGTGCTCAGGGCAGCGCTGCTCCGCAGGATGGCCTGAGCGTAACACACAGACACATGTCACAGGTGCCTCTTCTTTATAAGATAGTAGTCGAACACAGACTCAGTGTGTCAATCTAGGCCATAGGCATAGGCTACACGATTCGCACGCGCGGCTGCTAGTGCTACCTACACACACACACAGTGCTTCTGCGGCCGCCAGCTACACTGTTCGCACGCTCCGCCTGCTAGTGCTACCTATGGCCTAGGCTAGAACGTGGCATGAACAGCACACGTGCTCAGCACGTGGTGGTGGCTACACGATTCGCACGCTTCGCGTGCTCAGTGCTTCTGTGGCTGCTTCCGCTAGCTACACGATTCGCACGCTTCGCGTGCTCAGTGCTTCTGCGGCCGCTAGCTACACTGTTCGCACGCTTCGCGTGCTCAGGGCAGCGCTGCTCCGCAGGATGGCCTGAGCGTAACACACAGACACACGTCACAGGTGCCTCTCTTTTATAAGTAAAGATTAATCGTTGACTCTCCACCCGAGTCTAAAAGTAAAGTAAAGAAGTAAACAGCAGTGTACAAGCATTGGGTCGGGACAAGTTGTTAAACACAGCACACATGCACATTGTGATGATCGATGCAAGAAAACTCAACTGCCAGGACGGCAGTGAGCAATCTACTCATAAATATAATACATGTATATGCAATATACACTCACCAGTCAGCTGTGAACCTGCACCAAGCTGTTCAGATGCTGTCCCATCTTCAATAGCAGAGGACTTTTCTGCTAAAGCCTGTTGAAATTTTAACTGCTCCTCAGCATGCTCCTGCTCCTCTTGCTTTCGCTATGAAGAAAGAGAACCACACAAAAAACACAAAGGAAACGGGAAATACTACAGTATGTCCACTGGGCTCTGGCGACGAACAAAAAAATCCGAACCATGCTCCGCCTTTCAGAAAAATAGCCAGACCCAACAACACACACCACACACACACATACATCGCAACATGCCACCACGTGCGCATAAACGTCAACACAAGGAAGCAAGCATGTGCATGCACCCATGGGCAAATAACACAGACATCTACACATATGGTGACATACTGTTGTGGACATACATCCGGTGGAATGACCGCGGCCGGCACCTACTTGCTTAGCACGTAACACACTGTACCTGTAAAACTGGACCAGCAGTGCTCACGGCTGCACGGCCAGCGCCCCATGGCCGCTTGACTTCTCAGCGCATTTCAATGTCCGCGACAGTAGGATGATAAAGCAGGGAAACGTAATACAACGAAGCAGCACAGGTTGGGTGTGTTCGGACTGTGCAGATTGCAGACAGCAGTGCAGCACTCACTTGTCGCTGGATACGATCCCACTCCTCCATTACATATCCATAACGAGGACTGGTGATGCCAAAAAGATCTGCTAGTTTTTCTCCCAAGTATTCAGCAACTGCAGAGGGCAAGCAGAGAGCAAGCATCAGCCCAGCAGGCAGGGTCACATTGGGTTTATGCAGCAGCAGCAGCAGCACTGCTGAGAAGCAGGCCAGGCGTACTACTGACTGTGCTGCTGCTGCTGCTGTTCAATGATCAAGCGAGTCAGTGCCACGCTGGGCGCTCTGCAGCTCTAGACCTGTGAATACTGGCATGTGAACTGGTGCAGGGCGCAAACTTGACTCACGCGATAAGATTTCATTGAGCAGCTTTGTACATACGCAATACACGTCACACAAGCGCAGTGGTGGTATATCTATGAATATGTGAACACTGGCAGGCATGTATCACAGACACCAGTGAAGTGCCCGCACATGCCAGCCCTGAGCAGTACTTCTGGCATGGCGACGGCCACGCAAACCCATCCAATGTGCCCAGCAACTGTTACTGCTGAAACCTACTGCATGCTGTGAATGCATTCTGCGTACACGGTCAGTCAGCATACTACCCCGTGCCATCGGGTATGTCCACTGCATGGCACACACTGTCACGTCCACGCTGCTAGGTACTGTAAAGCGATAAACTCTTCACGGCGCACAAAGTTTGCGTTTTCATGAATTGGGCTGGTTCACGATGAGAAACTTTGCCGATTTTATCTCTTCATTTGGATCTGTTACTGTCTACTTCGAGGTACAATCAATGTACAGAGCAGTTTGCGGCGATTTATATTCGCGAATGTGTGATGGTCGCGAAAATGGCGAAATTTAATCTCTAGCAAAAGTTACTCACTTTACAGCATTACTTTGTCAATCAGTATCACCCATAGGAAGAGGGTTGTACATGTAGCTGAATCAAAAATGAATAATGACACAAGGACGTGCTTGGGTAAGGAGATGAGTATTGTGCTCCACTCACACTTGAAGTTCATTTCAAAACAGGGTGAGCGGGCACAATTCTTCCGTATACACTCACACAGGTAGAGGCACAGACACAGGCACAGTCTACACATGCATGCCCCCCCCCCCACACACACAAACACACAAACACACCCCACACAAATACGTGCACATCAACACAGAGTTTTGACAACTGAAATCCAGCCAGCATTTAGCACAAGATCAGGGTACATGGGGATGTGCAATAGATCAAGGCTGTGGATTGGAGTTTATTGGTCAAATAAACCGAATCGACAATCAGCGAACTCACACACATACGCACACACACGTTCTCACTCACTCACACACACACACACATACACACACACACACACACACACACACACACACACACACACACACACACACACAGCAATACAATTCAGTTGTACTTACAATGTAGTGCGCCACTTGACACCGCAACAATATAGAGCCAAACAAGAGACACCCACGTCATGTCATGCTGTTCTCACAGTAGTGTGTGTATAGAACAGAGAAGCAGAGACACAATCAGAGAAGCAGAGACACAATCAGAGAAGCAGAGACACAATCGTACAAATGCTACGGGCCTTGGAGAAATGCGGTTCACAAACGGACGGACGAAACAGTATTTTTTAGATTTAATTTCGCCCAGTCGGCTACTAGACTTCTATTTCATCTGGGGGGAGGGGGTAGACAAGGAGAAGTAGTCATGTAGGGGCGTGATCTGGTGAGCTGTGTCATGGGGCTTGTGTGTCCTTCCAAGAAAACAAAACACATGTGCATTGTCATGTTCATCGGTTGCCATTGTGCTAGGGGGTATCCAATGTCTGAAGTCGTGTGTGTATGCATGCATGTGTGTGTGTGTGCATAAGTGTAAGCTTGTGCGTGCGCGCACACACACACCCACACACCCACACACGCACCCACACACACCCACACGTGCGCGCACACACATGTTGGCAAGGCGCAGGATTAAAGAATGATACGCGCACAGTTTCAGACATTGAAATCCGAGAAGATGTGTACGCAGCTGGAGGCCCTGGCATTGCAGCCGTGTGGCTGCATGCAGTACAAAATACTAATACAATGTATTCTAATATTCAGGGTTCGGAGTACATACTCCCCTTTGTTAGTACAGTGTGTACGGCTCTATCCAAACAAAAAATGCCCAAAATGGGTCACCCCAGTATACGGTGTGCGTGTGTGTAAACCTGGTACACATGGTGCGGCTACATGTATGACAGTATGTTGGTTCAGTCATAACCATTACATTTTGCAGCCAGTGTTTTGCATTGCCCTAAATCCCAAAGACATAAATTACGACAGGCCACTTCATCGGCCACAATCGGAATACATGTACTTATGTAGTGCTGCGGTAGGAGTAATTGCATTGTTTCTCAACAGTTGAACATACCTCCTGGTCAATCAGCTCTGTCGTGTCCGCATCAGACGAGTCGGCCAGTGCTAGCACGACATCCTGCTGCGATACGTTCTTAGCAAATGCATTATCTACCGTCGCCTCCGCAATATCTTCGTTCACATTGATCACTCCTGGCTCATTAGCAGCCTTGATCACTGCAGCCTCAGCCAGATCTCCATCGACAACGTCACAATCTCGACTTAGGTCGCGACTAAAGGGAACGCCACGATTGTGTGTAGACACAGCCACTTCTGCCATTACTTCAGTGCTCTCGACACACACACGCAGAGAAGGAACTAGCCAGCACCGTACAGCCACAGAAGCTAGAGTCAAGGGAGATAGAGGGAAGTGACAATCAAAGAGAGCAAAATTATCTCTTCGACGTGCTGGAAGAAGATGACTGGACTCGTACTCAAATCTCAAAATAATTTTGAACTGCCCTCCATGCATGATCCAACCACTGTAGCTACTAGTACTACTCAGTACACATGGTACATGTACCGGTACTGTACTAGCTGTCTGAACCAGAACTGAAAGAACAGTCAGTGCAGCAGATCCAGTCATGGCAGTCTCCCTGGTCTACCAAGGGGGCCGGGGTTGTTTGGGACTCCTGGCCCGTACATACCCACACGTACACTCGAGTACTCTTTGTACCAGTCTACAAAATTCCGGATCATGTCAGGGAGCCCTACACGTACGCAGTGGTATGTGTGGGGCAGCTGGGGCTCCCTGGGCCCGGTGAGTGGGCCGTCCGGATGACCTGATGACGTGACCAGATGAGTGACATAATGACGACCTGATGAGTCGACTCGAGTGTCATTGAGTGATGACTGATGAGACTGATGACTCTGATCTCCATGACGTAGATCTACTGTAGTACTTGACACGTCGCGGGAAACTCCCTTCCATTGTTTACCATAGCGACCTCATGCGCTCATGTATCGCATCTCGAACAGCGCGGCCGGAGGATATCATAACGACAAAAGAAGAAGATGCAGTTCGGAGTCGTAAAAATAAGTTCGAAAGAGTTGGAAAAGCAAAACTCTGTAGTGCAGTGGAGCTGGGACTTCCTCTCCTGTGTTCTCCTCCATGAGGACTTCGCAGTTTGAGAGTTAGATTAGCAGCTGTGCTCTTACTAGTCTCAGTAACGAACGAGAAGAAGCACAATGTCGCTGATAAGGGAAGAAAAAGTTGTTTGTGTTGTTTGTTTCAATGCTTCGAAACATAAGCCCAAACCCCATCTAAGGACTCTGGAGTCGGCTGAAGAGAAGAAAGGATCCAAAGAGAAAAACTGCAAGTTCTGTGGACATATATGGAAGCAACTCCACGTTGTACGCGGAACGAATAATAAGTGGTTTCCAGTTCGCCAGAGACCAGCACGTGTTTCAGGTGAATACCAAGTCTGTACTTATCGAGAGAAGTGTCAGAAAGGTGCAGTTTGTACTTTCGCTCATAGCAGTGAAGAGCTGGAAGTATGGAGACGCGAGCGTTCTGCTGAGCAGTTGAAATCGGGTGCTGAAGTCCGACCATTCCCCGACTTTCAGGCAGCAGGTGTGAATGCATCTAGCGAGATCATTTTGCAGCTGTGTAAGAATTATTTGCTAGGCAACTGCACGTATGGAAAGCGCTGTACGTTCGCCCACAGTGAGCCGGAGCTCAGAAAATGGAGTGCAGATATGCAGTCTCGTAAGAAAGGAGAGAAGACGATCACGCCCGCGTCCACGACCCTATCGTGCCCACTGTGCCAAGTACCGTGCAACTCATTTTCAATGCTGCAAGAACATCTCAGTGGACAGAAGCATGCTGCTCGCGTGGAGGCCGAACGTCTTGTGCAGCAGCAGCAGCGCACATCTCAGCAAGTGTCATTTCCAGGTTCTAGCCAAGTCAGGCCGAGCACTGCTGCGGGCACTGTCGCGGGAGCCACAGCGCAGCTTGGTGGGACAAGTGGTGGCATGCGTGCACCGCCATCCATGCCCTGGATAAGAGAGTATCGCATGTGCTGGTATGTGGACAGTAGTAGGCGTTGTCCGCACGGCAATTCGTGTACGTACGCTCACTCTCGCGACGAGATGAACTACTGGTCTAGTAAACTACCCAAAGGTGCTGATACACCAGAACCACACCATTCTGAATCATCTGCACACTCGGGCATACCCCCGCGGCCATCCTCTACACAGTTTGTACAGCTCCTGCGACACGAGATTACGCGAAACACCATTGCACCGGTAGAGGTAAGGCCAGTCTTGCACACACTGAATGCACACGTTGAGAGCTTGAGAGAATTGCACTCTCTCAAACTGTGCCTTGTATTGAACGTACTAGTAAGTTAGTAACCGAAACTATGAGTACGCGAATTATTTCGTCTTTGACGCTCCAGAACCATTCCAGGGTTCTAGCCAAAGGGGGGGGGGGGGGGGGGTAGGGGGGCGCAGCGCCCCCCTACTCCGTTTGCGCGCCCCCCTGTGAAGAAGTGCCGCCCCCCTACTCATTTTCCGATTTTTGTGTTTTTTCACCCCATTCAACGAAAATACAGTCGATAGTCACTACTAGAGGGTTCATAATAAAAGGCACATTTGTGAGGGGTGAAGTCGGGGGTTCACCCCGTATGTTACATTTTGCATGGCAAGACAATTTTGGACAATGGAAAAAATTGGGTCATGGGGTAACTTTTTCCCATGCCCGCCCCCTACTATTTTGACCTGGCTAGAACACTGCATTCATATACCAGTGTTCATATTAGGGCCGAAACGATTGCCCATTTTGCCTTAACGATTAACCAATAACACTAACGATCGATTTATTGGTTTTACCGATTTTCCGGACAAGTTTTATACTTGTCATGTTGGACATCAGTATACAACAAAAACAATTAAATTTGTTAACTATATACAGGTACGTATGGGTGAAAGATCCACACAGGCCCCAAAAAGACCAAAATGAAATTTGCAACGTGATATGAGCAGTGTTCCTCTGCCACTAAACATCAACGATCAGTCGTCTGTCTTCTACAATGGAGAAGGGTCGACTGGAATCGACATTCCAGTCGATGATCGACTCCGTCAACATGCCTGAGCGCCTGCTGTCGCATGTTCGCAAGTTAGCTATCTGTGCCGAAGAACGACGTGACGGGCTTCATTCCAGCACTGTTCGTCGCATTGTCACTGCGCTCAACATTGCTGGTAGTCGCCGTTGCTGTCGACTGGGTTGCTGATCCTTTCCCTGCCGCAGCGGCGTACTGGTCTTTATGAGCAGAAATCAGGTGTTGGAACAAGTTGGTTGTGCCGCTTTGACGGGCGAACTCGCGGCTGCACGAATTGCATCTCGCTACGCTAACAGCTTCCTCGAAATATGCCCAAGCTGGCGATCTCTTGGTCAGACTAACTTTCGCTTTTCCAGGCGGCAGCATTGTCAATGCTTTCCTCACCAAAAAATCAAAATTAACTTAGTTTTTGACAAGAACTGAACAAATTAGAAGAACGGCAGCCACACTCACAGTTTCACTACAACCTAACAGCAATGAAGTTTTCCGGTTGTTACATTTTACGGCTACGCTGACTACAATGTAGTGCAGTGAATGTAGTGACTATGTACGACTACAAAGGATCAAGCGCGCAATGATTGTAGATCTACGGACCTACGAGGCTACGGCTTCATGGCATCATGCACGTGTACTTCGACGTTCATGTACTTGTGCGCATGACGCGCGTGCATGATGCCATGCATGGTTTGCATGTACTGACGTCATGACCGCTCTCGCACTAGTGCACTGTACAGTCATAATCGTTATCGATCATAACGATTATCGATTTCATCCATAACAAGTGATATACGAGTAATCGGTATAATCGTTTCGGCCCTAGTTCATATAGTATTCATACAGAGAAGATGAGGCTGTCGGTACAAGAAACATGAGGGATTTCGTATTCAAGTTTTAATTACGTATGAACCCAGTGTCGCGTTTTTCACTGTCACTCCTTGCGTGACCCTGATTCCACGTCCGGTTCTAGTAGAATCTACGATTAACCTGCATTAGAAATATTCCAAAATAGAATGCATATGAAACATTCTGAATTCTGTTCCTAGATTTTCTACGCATCGTATTCAGGATTTACAGCTATCCCAGTCTATCAGTGAAAACCTTCGCACTATTGTACATGAAATTCATTGTATTTCCCATCTTGCTTTGCAGCTGGTGCGGCCGAAAGAAGGTATGTCAGTTCGCGAGAAGTCAGGCAAGAGTGTGGACGTGCAGGTCACTTCTTCGGACTCCATTCCCTGGGTTTTCGAAGTCACATTTTCAGTAAGTGTTTTTTTGTGTTTGCTTCCTAGTTAAAAGCTTGTGAGAATTCAAGGAAACAGGCTGCACCTTTCATATCATGACCTCAGTGGTGTGCGCTGGTGCTGGGTACAATACAGGTCAGTAGCAACCTGCTCTCTTGGGTTTTCAGGATCAAGCTCGATGCAAGAATAGAGTTGTTGTCGCACAGTGATAACGTAGGCGCCTGAAGTGAAGGGTACTGGTGAACTGTACCTACGGCAGAATTGTTCTAGCTGTAATAGTGATGGATGCATTGTTGTGCTGGGGAAGTACAAGTTGTACCTTTGTATGGTCCCATTATAGGAGTGTAAGTTGAGCTTGAAACATTTGTATGTACTGTGCTGCTTTTGTTATTTCCTCAATGTGTGTTCAGTGCCCTGCAGTTTTCCAAGCAGTTGTACTCCTTGACTCAACACTAGCCGACTTCACACTGCACTCTGCCGTGCACTTGAAAAGCAAGGCTGTTTTCCCGTCTGTCTCGGAGTGCGACGGTATTTTCATCAATCAGCACGTCAACGAGGGAGATGTCTTTGAAGTCAACGTAAGGGCATGGATATGCGTACACGTGAAGAAACTAGTGTGTCTAATTGCTGTGGGCACCTTCCAGCTTTGTAGTTAAACCGAACACACTTCCATCAAAGGAATAGTAACTCGAATGCCGGTTTGCGAATGAGTAATCTATAGTCTTTTTTCTTATACCTGCCAAGTTTAATGTTCAATGATTTTGCGAAAAACCAAGCTTGTTCGAATCGTTCAAATATCAGTACAATCAGTCATGTACTCCCTTCATGACCAGCACCATCCTTTGCCAGGGTCTTCAGGCATGCCTGCCAGGGTCTATGAGTATGCTTGCCTGGTAGAATCTCGAAAGAGCCCTTCTCCTCCGGTACCCTTCATGCTTTAGTGAGTTTTGTTTTGTTCCGTTTTTCTTGTATCAGAACCTGTGTCTCATTGTTCCTTTGCCGCGCCCTGAATGTCTTCACTACAGGTCCAATGCACTCCTGCAGTTGGCAAGAGAGAACAGTGTGTTCTTTTCAAGTGTGACACGTTTGTTACCGGTCGTCTCGTGTCCGTTAGCCACTTGTCCAGCCAGCTGACGCAATTGATTCACGATGCCAAGCAAACCAACCATGGACAGTCTCTATTGCAGTCTATCAACAGCAGGTACAATACATGTAATATGTCCCTTAGCACTGTTAGCAGACACCTCTCAACTAAGGCTATCACTGCATTCAGGACACATTTGCTCAGTCCGAACTGTTCCCAGTCGAAAGGAGAGTGACTGGGCAGGTCCACATGGAGACTGACTAGTCTTCCGAAGGATTTATTCTAACGAGGACCAGTATGGTCGGAGCATGTAATCCTCTATCTCCTTGTGGACTGGTCAATCTATTCTCCTTTTGTATGGTAGCTTTTAATGGGATGAAGTGCCCGTTTGTCGCCATTATGGCACACTGACAAACTTCAATTTCTAATGCGAGTTGCGATGCCTCCTGTAATCTGGACACATCCCTATACAGGGCAGATGTGCCTGACTCTGGCAGGTGTCCATAATTTAGAGGTTCCTCTGTGCATGTGCACACGAATGACTGGATGTGTAATGTAGCGCTTTTCAATATAATGTATTCCTGACTCTACACAAGCGTTTAATGCGAACTTCAAGCGTACCGCCTGAATGTTCAGACTACTGTAGTGTCGTTGGGTCTATATTGTGCCGTATGTACGCCCACTGTGCACACTCCAGTATTCAAACTCCCAAAAGGACACAGACTTTCGAAAGCACCCGCTCCATCGGAATCCTAAAGCCGGGTTGAAAACCCATTTGCCAGTGCAGCTGTATTATAGAGAAGCCAGCTGATGGAGAAAAGATTCCTACGTGGCAGTTGCGACACAGCAGGCCTCTGCTTTCTTCACCTCTGTTACTAGCCAACTTAGGCCACGTAGCGAGTAGATGTGGAATGGTGCTAGACTGCTAGTGTGTTAGATTATTAGAAATCACGGCTCTGGCAGAAGTTCTTGTTGGAAAGTTTGCAATTCACAACAGTGTGCACGTACAATGTTCGTACCAGCTGTAAGTGAGGACACAAGGTGTAAGACTTAGATCTAAATCAGGTCAGTTCTCCTTTGAACACGTCAATCGTGGCATTGATTTTACGCCCTGCGTTCTCACCTACCGCTTGTGTTAGTCTACACTGTTGTAAACTACAAACTTCCAAGTAAGACAATTTGCCCTGACTGTAATACTTCTGTGTGGGCTAATAGCGTTTGGCTAAGAAAGATGAAGAAAGCAGAGGATTGTTTTGTGAGTAATGTGCATTGCTCTAGTAACACTCGCATCTCTCTCTCTCTCTCTCTCTCTCTCTCTCTCTCTCTCTCTCTCTCTCTCTCTCTCTCTCTCTCTCTCTCTCTCTCTCTCTCTCTCTCTCTCTCTCTCTCTCTCTCTCTCTCTCTCTCTCTCTCTCTCTCTCTCTCTCTCTCTCTCTCTCTCTCTCTCTCTCTCTCTCTCTCTCTCTCTCTCTCTCTCTCTCTCTCTCTCTCTCTCTCTCTCTCTCTCTCTCTCTTGCCAGAAGTTGAGAAAGTCTGTTTGTCTATTACCTGTTTATTCAACCGAGTAGCGCTCTGTTTTTTTGCAGTGCATGTGTCCCTGGTTTTTTGTCATGGTGTGTTAGTTGAGTTGTTGGCCATTTGTATCTTGTCTGTTTGTGCACGTACTACAGGAGCGTTTTCTGGGAAGAAAAGTTTCAGGTCATTGAATTTGATGACGATGACGGATCACCGCAGCTTTTTCTTCCACCGTACGCCATGTCGCCAGAAATTGAGAAAAAGCTGCTTGAAGGCGTCTTTGACACCAAGCTTAAACGTGGCTTAGCACAGGTACTGTCTTGGCATGCAGTGATTGTTTCTCACTGATCATGGTCTGCTATTTGGGGTGATATGGTGCACATACGATGCAATGTTTGAATGACTTCTCAATGTGTTGTGTGGTTTGTATGTTTAATCTGCTCCAACCTTCGATGCCATGTCTCTTTGGATTCAGAGTCTTTCCCATGCACTCGGTAATTTGTTCCATGCCATCTATTTTTGTTTCATGTTTTTTTAGTGCACTCTTTCCTTCACTGTCTGTTGTGTCAATGTGTATGTGTGTGTGTTTGTGTGTTTGCACGCATGTGTATATGTGTGTGTGTTTGTGCGTGTGCGCGCGTGTGTGTGTATATTATGTTTTTTTTGTGCGTGCGTTTGAAGACTGATTACAAGAACCAGCTGCACATTCTCTTGTACATAGAGGAGTATCAGCGACAGCACGACGTGAAACGGTAGGATTTGCCTTTCAACACTGAGCAGTGTGGGAAATTACCTGTCACGAGGAAAGGGATTGACAATTACTGTAGAGCGCCGATGGGTTTGAGAAGGGAACCGGCTGCACTCAGAATGCGACGTCCCTGTAAAGCGAACTGCATGATTATATTGCTTGGATGTCTTATCACCGTGGACTCTCATGTACGGAACCCTGTGCTCATCACATGTGTATTTAGTGTGCTTTTACATATGCATGGGCTCTTACAATGTACACTAAACGTGCATTGGCCAAGACCACTGTCGACAGCCACCTGTACAGTTTTCCTATCTACATCGTTCTTCGTAAGCACAGTCAATTATCTGGCCACTTTGGGAATGCGGCAATGCTGGACGACTGGATACGTCTGATATCTGCATGATTTCATTACTATATTATACACACCCTGTTACAATACATTGTACCTATCCATGCTGGTGGCATTGACCTTTGTGCTCCCGGCTTGTTGGATAGCTGGCGGCTGGATCCGTAATACTTGACTGCACTTGTCGTAGTCTTATGCGAGAACGTGGACTTATACCATGCTGCATGCTGCTGTATTCTGTAAACTTGGGTGCAAGGGTGGGCATGCTTATACCATACGGTGGGCTGTTGTGTTGTGTTAACTTGGGCGAGACTGAGATTGTTGTTGCTTTACATGTGTGTATGTGTTCCGTGCATAGTTATGATATGTATGGCTACTTGCTGGATCTTCTTGACAAGTATCAACTGGAGAATGGACCGTTGCTATTTCCTCTACATGGCCAGAAGCTGTGTCGTATCTCTCTCAACGAGCCGCTGGATGACCGCGAGCACTCTTTGACGTAATGCCAGTGTTGTAGTGTGTGTGTTAAGGTGTGATGTGTAATGTGCTGTATGCCATGTGCTGTGTGCGGTGTGCTATGTGCCCTTCGTTATGATGTGCTATGTATGTTTGATGCGCTGTGTGGTATGTACTGTGCTGTGTGCCGTGCTGTGTATGATGTGCTGTATACTGCGTGCTTTAATTATGCTATGTGCCATGCTGTGTATGATGTGTTGTGGTATGTACTGTGCTGTGTGCTATGTCAGTATGCTATGTGCTGCGTGCTGTGGTATGTACTGTGCTGCGTGCTGTGGTATGTGCTATGTGCTTTGGCAGTGTGCTGTATATGTTGTGTGTTATGTGCTATGTGGCCTTGTATGACCTTGCATCAGTACATGAACACAGAATGTGTATGGATCTATTATTGCACTAGCACTCAGAGTGACTCTGAATAGCTGGTGTGTTATCGTATTCCATTCTCGGTATTTGCTTCTCTCAGTGATTCCTCAGTGGCCCTCGTCCGACCGCAAGGTTCTCCAGTAGTATACGAGGCACCCGTGCAGCACTTAGGCCGTGATTATGTCGTGTTGAAGCTGAATGCAGGGACTGTGGAAGCATGGTGAGTTTATGTGTCTATGTGTGTGTGTGTGTGTGTATGTATGTGCTGGACTGTGTCCCCCTCATGCTGAGCTGGAACCTGACACGTTGTCTTTGTGCAATGTATGTGCATCTCAAAGTTCATCCAGTACCTCTTTTTTGTGATACGGGAAACCGATTGCATTGAAGTGAACCAGCAAGATGCAGAGTCCACAGTTGTGCTTATGCTCAATGGCTTGGTTGAGAGAGGAGAAAAGAGATAGCAAGAAGGCAACCATGTGTGGAAATGTTTTATAAAATGTGATATACACAAGTACTGTATAAGCAGAAATATTCGTCTGGAATTTAATTTCGTCTTTTTCGACCAAGGAGCTTTTGGACTAAATTAAATGTAGGACTAATGTCGATTTGCCCAGCGTTTCTATACACTCTTATGATCCATGGACGAAATTTTCAACCGGACAAACTCCTTTTCCTTGGAGTTGGACGAAATTATTGACCGACGAAATGTTCTGCCTCTACAGTAGTACATAGGTTGACTAAAGTCTACATGTAAGTACCCACAAACCAAGATCAACAGCTATGGGTGTAGGTCGAAATACAATAAGACTAGCCACATGCATGAAGTAGATAGTACCTTAGGTCTGAGTCTCTCTCACTCTCTCGCGCTCTCTTACTCACTCACTGACTCACTCACCCACACACTCTCTCGCTCACTCACACACTCTCTCTCTCTTTTCTCTCTCTCGCACTCTCTCTCTTTCTCTCTCTATCTCTCTCTCTCTCTCTCTCTCTCTCTCTCTCTCTCTCTATCAATCTCCAACAAACGTGTTAATGTAGTGTTTGTCTCATCATTTTCTGTCCAGTATGAAGAGTGATAATCAAGTCGACATCCGCTTCCGTCACTACCGTCCATTACTGCAAGCCATGCATCACGCTGTAGATAATCTCGAGCTTGGTGTAGTGTTCCCACCACGGATCATGCCGAATACTGGCCTCATGCTCGGTCAAGCTAACACTATTGATGCGCACGAGGACCTGCTTAAATCTACGCTAAATGAGAAACAACGTGAGGTCGTGAAAACTGTGCTACAAGATGAAAACCGACAGGTCAGTTGCCTACTGCAGTGTGAATCAACTTGATATGGATGGTGTCACTTTCTACTGTTTGTGTTTTTATGCCTATGTGTATAGGGAGGGCTGGCGGTGGGGGTTGTGGTGATAGTAGGGGTCGTGTGGATAGTGGGGGTGCTGGTGGTGGTTATATATGTGTGTGTGTGTGTGTGTGTGTGTGTGTGTGTGTGTGTGTGTGCGTGCGTGCGTGCGTGCGTGCGTATGAGCTGCTCAAGGTCAGATTTGTGTTGTGATGTATTCACCACTGTCTGACCAGTGACTACATGCCACATGTGTGTGTGTGTGTGTGTGTGTGTGTGTGTGTGTGTGTGTGTGTGTGTGTGTGTGTGTGTGTGTGTGTGTGTGTGTGTGCGTGTGTGTCCCATATGGTGCAGTGGTATGTGCAGTCGATTTCCAATCGAGAGGTTGCGGGTTCAATTCCCGACGATTATGGTCGCACACGTCTTTCTTCTCTTTCTCGGTCTCTTCCTGACTTTTCTTTCATTTTCCTGGGTGGTTACCAACAGCCAGTGTATGCCGGAGTATGTGGTGTGGTGTGTGTGTGTAGAAAAAAAAAGAAAAAAAAGAAAAAAAATGGAAAAATGAAAAATAGGGATTCACTGGCCAGAAAAAGTCACTTCAATCAGCTGTGTGGTGGATACCAGGCTAAAAATAGTGGCGGTCAATTCATCAGCCTTGCAAGCTGTTGAATGGTGTAATCCCAGCACAAGTTGCTATGTCTAACATAGCTGTTCGCTATCATCGCTTCCGCGATGGGCAGGTCTGAGGTGTGTGTGTGTGTGTATGCCTGTGTGAGTGTGTTTATGTGTGTTTATATGTGTTCCTGTGTCCTTGTTTGTATGTCATATGTGTGTTCAGGTTCCGACTCTGCTTTGCGGCCCGTTTGGAACTGGCAAGACACAAACGTTGATCGAAGCTGTCTTTCAGCTCCTGAAGCACGCGCCAACAGCTAAAATTCTTGTGTGCAGTCATGGCAATCAGACTGCCGATCTCTATGTACACGAGCTTCATGAAAGATGGAATGGTGGGCGTTGATTGTGTTCTTGTGTGCTGCTACATGCATTGATTCCTGGTGTTGCCTGTGTTGTATTGTTCAATGTCTGGTGGTCTGTGTGATGTGCTGCTATGTGCGTAGTTGTGGTACAGTGTACTAATAGTTTGTAACTGGTAGTGTCCAGCTGTTGTTGGTTATGTGTGCAGCACTTGCATTTGCATTTGGCCTAATTCTCGAATTCCTTGATGGCGGGGTCAGTGATGTGTACTCCATGACCTTGGACCTGCATAGTTATCTTATGTGTTGTGCTGCTCGATGCTGTTTGCCGTCCGTTGTAGCTCTTGCTCAGAAGCGTGTCTCTCTCTTGCGACTCTACAATACTCACCGGCGCTTGAACACAATTGATCAGCTGGTACAGAAGTATTGCTGGTAAGTTGTGCAGACATGTACACGGTACGTATTCTGCTACTAGCACCGCACCGCTTTGCAGATAAGCACAACGTTGCAGTGCGGGTTATATTGTACCTGTCCTATACAGTGCCTGTGCTTGCAGCCAGATACGCTGCAATGTGACTGCTGGCAAAGCATTTGCATTTGGTTTCCAGATTGTATGGCACCGGGTTTCAGTCATGTGTCGGATAGTGGCCGGCGGATCACAAAGAAGGCGGTGTTATGTGTCCACGCATTTGTTTTGTCGGCAGTAGATGTGTAGATTGTTCACTGTAGCAAGAGCGCACACGTCAGAGTAGGACAGATCCTTTCATCCATAATCTGGCGTGTTTGCATTGGCTCGGTGCAAAATGCCGTTTGGGGCACTAAGTATTAGCAGCAAGATGAATTCCTGTTACCATGCAAGAGACATTACGAATAGTAGCGTCTGGCACTAGCCATGGTCCATTGTGCTTTATTTGTGTGTGTGCGTGCGCGTGCGTGTGTGTGTGTGTGTGTGTGTGTGTGTGTGTACAGTGTACGTGATGGTAGTCTGTACATGCCGGCCTTGGAGCACATCCAGCAGTTTCAAGTGGTGGTCACAACGTCAGACAATGCGCACGTATTGGCCAGCCTGGGAATGCCAAAGAGCTACTTTACGCACGTTATTGTGGATGAAGCATGTCAGGTATGCTGGTGGACAAGTTTTAGTGCCAAGGGACCTGTTTATTAGCGACTACAGCTGTACTACAGTCCTTTCATCCAAACTTGGCACCCTAACCTTTTGGTGTCTTCCACGTATACATGTAGTTGTAGACATCATGAAAACAACAGTGTATCCTGCATTGTGTGACTGGTGCAATTATTCTTTGCCACTTTTGAGGCTGGAAACTGAAACTTTTTCGTTCCGTGAAAATTATCGATAATGCCGGATGGCCCCTTAAATAGGAAAGGCACAAACTCCTATGCTCGGAGCACAAATTTGAATAAGACGTTTGTCTCGAGGATGGTGGGTGTGTTTGCACTCTACTAGTATTGGGAATTAGAGTCTTCAAGCTATTCTCTTGTTGATGGTGTGTGGTGTGATTCTGTTGTAACACAGTTACATTTAGCAATGTAAGAAGAATGCTTTGAGAAACCTGTGTGTGTGTGTGTGTGTGTTTTGGCTGTTTCGTTTGTTAGATCATGGAGGCAGAATCCTTGATTCCAGTCAGTTTGGCTCATGTTGGTACAAAAATTGTGCTGGCAGGTGATCATATGCAGGTATGATCATGGTATGGTGTTTTGTGGCGTTGTCGTTGCTCCACTCTGTGTGCTTGGCTTCATGCTGTGGCTATGCAGGCTGTATTGTTACTGGTTCCGCTGAAGCGTCACTCTTGTTCAGTTGTTGCTTGCTTCCAATGTCATTATGAGGACAGTGTATGTCTTGAGTACCTTGGATATTTGGTGGGTGGCTGTAATGAGAGTTTTTAGAGGACGAATTCTGCTGTTCATTATGGAATACTTACGTTGGAAGTCATGTGTACTTATGCCTGTGTCTGTTGTCTATGTGTGTCTATAGATGGAACCTGCAGTTCATTCTCTTTTGGCGCGGCGGTTTGATTTGCACCGATCTTTGCTTGATCGTCTCTACGACAACATTGTGTATGAGAGTTTTCCTGAGCTGCGGGTCGACCTCACTGATAGCTATCGCTGTGTGAAGGAGGTAAGTTATGCTGTTGACTAACAACCCAGCAGTAGTAATAGTATTGGTAGTAGTGGTGAAACTTGCTTGTTGAAACACCTACACTGGTGACTGACGAGACATGAGCATGTGAAATTTGAAGAATCGCTGGAGAAGCAGATCAATGTTCAGTTACTGTTGCTCTCAGCCAGGGAATCGTAGCATCCAGGGTGAAGACACGGGTGACTGGAATGTGACACGATGTGGGTTTTGCTTCCAGGCTACATGTTCCAGTCTGGGGGCAGGGCCAATTATGCCCTCACGTGGCGTCGGTAGTTTGGTTTCACTTCCGGGCTACTCCCTCCAGTCACCCTTGGGGCAGGGCCGATTATGCACGCCCCCATATGGCGTTGCTGGTTTGGGCTGCATTTTTTTTAGGTCAGCCCGTCAAAGCGACTTCTGTGAGGTACTACATAGACCCCGGATCATATAGAGATTCCGGAGTCAGTGCAATGAAGCGCCACTGGCCAGCCGGGGGCCTTCAGGACTTGGTCTAATCCCTAGCTTATTAGAAACCAGCTTGAGCTTTCCAAGATTGCTATGACAATATGCAGTCATGTGCAGGGCCACCCAACTTGCATTTTTGGTGCCCAGGAAGGCTAGACAATACGTTGCCGTGCAACGGAAAAAGCGCTTGGCGAGTATCACGCTACTCGTGCAAGACAGTACGTTAGTGTAGGGTATCAAATTGCCCTTGTGCTGTGTGAACTGAGATCTGTTACTGAGGTTATGCTTATTACAGAATGTGGCAGGAATGGGTTGACTCTCAATCAGCCATGTTGGCCGCCAGGAGAGCCACCCCAGGTGCATGACCACTGTCCGCAGCACCTGCAGTCCATGAAGCTGTTGGGTAAATGATCTTGTGTCATTTCCCTAGATAGTACGACTCCCTAGTATTAGCAACCTGCAAGTAGCAATTGCAGTATGCGTGTTAACATTTACTCTTCTATCATTAGCCTGTGGCTGCTGCAGCAGTCGCAGAGTTATTCATTTTGTTCTGATGCTGGTTAACTGCTGGTAGATTGAAGCCCTGTCGCTACTGTGCCGTGTCGTTGCTGTTGTTGCTGCTGCTGCTGCTGCTGCTGCTGCTGCTGCTGCTGCTGCTGCTGCTGCTGCTGTTGTTGTTGTTGTTGTCTGCTAGATATTGGAATTGCCGTCTGAGTTGTTCTACGATAGTCAGCTGGTATCTAGTTACACAAAGTCGCCAACGGGGCCACATCACATACCTCCCATGGTTTTCAGGAATGTGCGTGGTCAGGAGACACAGGATGCCGACTCTCCCTCGTTCTACAATGTGCATGAAGCTGCAGCGGTGGTGGAGGCTGTTGAGCACCTAGTCAACTGCAACAACGGTCTCCCAGCAGAGGATGTGTGTGTAGTCTCTCCCTACACAAAACAAGTTGAATTTATTAGATCAATGTTGAGACCGAAACGACTTGGCAGGGTGAGTGCTAGGGGTGTTGATTAGCGAGTATATGCACTGAAGTGTGTGTGCCCGTGTATGTGCCTGTGTGTGTATGTGTGTGTGTGTGTGTGTGTGTGTGTGTGTGTGTGTGTGTGTGTACCGTAAAGTCGCAGATAAAAGCCGGGCTTATAAGCACATAAGCCGCTTTCTGCATCAGGCTTTAATGCAAACCAGGCTTGTATGCAAACCATGCTTATATGCACCACTGATATTTTTGCCAGGCTTGTATGCACAGGCTTCTACGCGCGACACGCGTAGATCTACCACTGACTACCGGTATGGCGGCAGTTTTACTATGCACCGTACATAGCGCATGCACTCTTGACCCACCCGATCCGCGCTTGCATAGAAGCCAGGCTTATATGCATTTGACCTGTTTGATTTTCAGGCTTCTATCCGCGATGTGCTTGTATGCAAACCCGGCTTTTATCCGCGACTTTACGGTATGTGTGTGTGTGCCCGTGTGTGTGTGTGTGTGTGTGTGTGTGTGTGTGTGTGTGTGTTTGTACCAGGCTAAAAATAGTGGCGGTCAATTCATCAGCCTTGCAAGCTGTTGAATGGTGTAATCCCAGCACAAGTTGCTATGTCTAACATAGCTGTTCGCTATCATCGCTTCCGCGATGGACATGTCTGAGGTGTGTGTGTGTGTGTGTGTGTGTGTGTGTGTGTGTGTGTGTGTGTGTGCGCATGGCGCATGTGACGGAGAGACAGAGAGAGAATGGTAATATGTATACTAGTATAGTCATACTGCTTTGTATGTTGATGTAGTAAATGTAGTAAATGCATATACACACTCCACACCAGTCTAGAAAGACGAAGTGAAAATTTACGAACCAAACACTTTCATTCCTTCCTAGGGTACCCTGTAAAAAGACTCACAGTCTGTGGGGATTGCCCTAGTAAAATAATAAATACTACTTCTGAAGTACTACTACTACTACCGTAAAGTACCATTGATCCGCCCCCACGCCATGTCGCTTCCCAGCTGGGTTTTCGGCAGGGGGCGGGAATTAGATCAAGGCTGTCAAGTGCAGTACGATGTACAACAACGTAGAGGATCAGACTCAATGTGCTGGATTGTGCACATTTTGATCCTGGATTGGCAAGTATTGTGTACAGCAGTGCATGCGTCGGTTCAACATCGTATTTCGTTGTATACGCCGAAGTCGCTTCACAAGGAGAAAATCGACAGGGGGCGGGAATTAGAGAGGGGGCGGATCAACGGTACTTTACGGTACAGTCAACTTTGCGTATAACGACACTCGGCTGGGCATCAGAAAAGTGTCGTTATTCGCGAAGTGTCATTATACCCGAAGTCTCATTCTATGTATACAGGTAGTATAGACTTTGCTCTGGGCAGGGGAAATCTGTCGTTATTCGCAAATTGTCGTTATATCCGCAGTCGTTATTAGCCAAGTTGACTGTACTACTTTCTCCTCATGGGTTCTTACCGGGGATAAAGCGAAATGACTAAGACAGCAATTATGTGGGCACAGAATTGAGGGAATGCCACATGACGTCACACGTGTGAGAAGTTAGTATAACCAGTGGGTGGAAAACAGCATGAAGGTGAAAATAACACCAACACACTGAACATATCCACGGAAAAACATGACTGGTATTCTTAGCACTTGCACGGGGACTAACACGGAACAGCTGTAGGGACAATACTTTGCTTTGTATGTTTTCATTTCCATTTTAGGTCAATGTACTTAACATGCGTCAGATGCAAGGTCATGAGTTCCGTGCCATTATTCTCTCAACTGTCCGATCTTGTGCTGGTCATCCCGATCTTCTCGAAGACTCTCCTCAGCTTGGCTTTCTCTCTAGTCCAAAGGTGCGTTTAGAAACTAGCCTTGCTCTGTGCTGTGTTACACGAAATCTATGGGCAGCCTACTTATATCCTGTATTTCGTCATTCAATACTAGTAGATAAAAGGAAGCCCCCTCGACAGGCGAGCAGCCTTTGGGGAATCCTTACATAAATAGCTATAGCACTGCCCAATGTAAATGCGGAATCGTCCTTGAGAAAGTGCAGTCGCTTTCCTTTCAGCTATGGGACATGAGTGCAAGGCTGCTGTTATGTGCCAATGTGCCCATGCACGGTGCCCAGAGCCAATTCTGTATTTCATTTCATTGGCCAGTTCTGTACAGTGAAGCCTAGCCAAGGTGCCGACCGCTTGATGGTGCCAAAACCAGGTCCTGGTTAGAGTGGTCGTCTGGGACAGGTGGTCACATTATCGGCATGGTATCCTTGATAGATTTTACTGTGTGTTGTGGATGCTTGTATTACTATGCTCCATTGCTGTTTCCCTGTACTGGTTACTGTCATCGAATTTTTCTTGAATAACGGTGTGTCTGCTCGTGTATACTTCTACCTGCTTTAGCTGTTCAACACGGCTGTGACACGAGCGAAGGAGTGGCTGATTGTGGTAGGTGATGCGTTCACGCTGGCATCGGTGGGTACAAACAGGCAGTGCTGGTTGAAGCTCATGGGTCGCTGTCGCCATCAGTTCAATTCCTTCCACTCTGATGACAATCAAACGCGGGACTTTGATTTACAGATAACAAGCTCCGTTGATTTACCAGCTAGGTAAGCACCTTTTTCATATAAGACACCTATTGCACATCTACTAGTGCCTCATGTCAGCACGGGACAGCCATGTGATTCCATCTCCAGGCTATCGTTGCATCTATGGGTCACATGATGTCAGCCATATTGGTTCCACGGTCCACATGTACACTTTCTGCACGCATTCAGTAAGATGACAAGTATGTGAACCACTACAACCATGTACTACTGTACACACAGATTTATAGAAAAGAAAAAGGACCAAGGAACTACAAGTTACGCGATAATGTCCACTAACACCACCAGTTACTAAACAATCAGCTCAGCTATAGCGTAACTACTTGTAGTTCCTTCATCCTTTTTCTTTTTTATAAATTTATCCTTGGCTCTCCATCCGAGTCCATTCGTACACCCAGCTGCACAGTATAACCCTTGTGTTCATGTAAGTTGAGAAGACTACAGGTCTGCTTTTTTCACTGTCACCACCAGCCCGTAGACAGTAGTGTACTTGGATTTCATTGGCCCCTGGTTTTATGTTTGGGACGTTTCTGGCATGGCGTGCAGGGATTGACTTCTGAACTGGCAGTACCTGCTGTCTTGCTGTCCTACTTCCTACAGTACTGTACTGGTGTTCTTACCTGTGCACTGGTACTCGTACCTGCCCTGCTGTTGCTCATACGCTCATACTTGTCCTGCTGTTGTCTATACCTGTTCTGCCTGTACAGAGCAATTGTGGCAGCTGCAGCTCATCATCAAAGACCAGCCGATGAGACAGTAAGCACGCTGGTACAACACAGTGTCTTCAATTCTCTTCTTGCCTGGTCGGGCAAGCACAGTGGGGCAGTCTTGCCTGGTCGGGCAAGCACAGTGGGGCAGTCACGGAGGCTTGTACTCTATGTGACATTGTACATCTACTATCCTATCATAGTGTTTGTTGGTCATTGATTCCTTCATGGCACTCTTCCAACTGCCATTCCATACCGTCTTAAATGCCCAATCAAATGGCTGCTGGTTGCCAACCTACTATGCAATGGGAATGTTGCCGGAGGGGGTTGCGAAAACAATGTGAAACTATGGCATGGTTGTAAACACCTTGCTGCCAGGTAAATGCCTGCCAGCCTTGCTGTTTGAAGGCAACCATCAGCCAGGTCTCCAATGGATACTGTATAAGCAGAAATATTCGTCTGGAATTTAATTTCGTCTTTTTCGTCCAAGGAGCTTTTGGACTAAATTAAATGCCGGACGAATGTCGATTTGGCCAGCTTTTCAATACACTCTTATGATCCACGGACGAAATTTACAGCCGGACGAACTCCCTTTCTTTGGAGTTGGACGAAATTATTGACCGACAAAATTTTCTGCCTCTACAGTACTGTAAAGTGAGAAACTTTCCCTAGAGATTAAGGGCATGTTCGATTGGTAAGGATCAGGATCCAGATCTCAGATCCGTCGGATCCTTCAGATTCAACTGGACACTTTTTTGGGCCTTGACTGTTGCCATGTTGACGAAGTAATAAAAAGTCGTACTCACCGTGCCAGTTGTACAAAAAGTCAACAAGCTCTATCTCGATCCACGTGTGCGTACCACAATGTGTACAAAAATGATTTTTACCTGCCATATACGCACAAAGGTCACATTTGGATCCGTTGGATCCGGACAACCCTGCTCCCCGAGGTGGGTTGACCGGATCCAAATCTGAAGGATCCGGATCCGGATTCGACCAATCGAAAGGGTGCGAATCCAGTGGATCGGGATCCCGATCCTACCAATCGAACATGCCCTAAATTTCGCTATTTTCGCAACCATAGCACATTCGGCAAATTTGCGAATATGAATCACCGCAAACTGCCCTGTACATTGGTTGCAGACTGTACAAGATCCAATTGAAGAGATTAATTGCGAAAGTTTCTCATCGTGAACCAGCGCAATTCTTGAAAAGCAAAATGTGCACACCGCGAAAGTTCATCGCTTTACAGTATGCAGAAGCACCCATTCTATACGCCTTGGGGGCAAAGAGCTAAGCTTGGTGCACTCCAGCTTCAAGGCCTCCCAATTCCGTTGAACACGAGCATCGATGCATCGTGCACTGACCCAGGGTATCCGGCAAAGCAGTTTGTGAATACCATCTCTCTATCACAAACTGCCTGCAGAACCATACTGTAATATGATACACGGTTTTGATAGCTGTCCATGTCGTCGCTTGGAGGCTTCACTTCGATATCAGATCCGTCGATAGATCCGATGACACCGGGCAGTTTTGCTATCGCTTCAAAACCTGCAGAAACTGTCTTTACTCGTGCTTCTGTTGGCCATTTGATAAACTTTGGTGCAAGATAATTCACCAAGATGGTGCAGACCCGGCGAATGACCGTCCACACAGTCCATTTGGAGACACCAAATCGGCCAGCAACATCACGAATGCAGCATTGGCTTTCCCAAATCCAAAGCGTGATGAGAAGGTGCTCCGTTGGAGTCGTAGGCACACAACCACCTGCGGTATAGGTAAGAGGAAGAATAGCGTTGCTATTTGCGATGATTTCTCTCAGGATACGCTCAAACGGGTCACGTCTCATACGGAAATGCTCGTGGAAGTCCACATCATTGAACAGCGTAGCTGTTACTTCTGTATAATTCTCAATGCGTGGAACGGAGTCACTTTTCTCCTTCAACCCAAGAATCACGAGGAGCAACGGTGCAATGAAATCCTCCTTGGCCTCCTCATCATCGTCATCATCATCATCCCGAAGAAACTTGAGAACAATGATAGGAAGAACGGCCATAAGTAGTTGCTGGTCGTGTTCGTCCATACCTCTGAGACAAGCTCTTGTCTTCCACAACAGAATGTTAAGATCTCAGCACGCACAGCTATAGGGACTAATATTGTTTGGAATTAGGAGGAGTGAAGAGAATTTGAGAGAGGACGACTAGGTGGAAAACACGAGGCTATAAAGGGCCTTCTTTTTCTTTCTGTTGTGCAAGAAATGCAGTGTTACGTTTATGTGAAACTAGGCCCCCGAGCACGGTACGGGTGTCAGTGATAAACTGGCATGGTGGCAGTAGTGTGTAATATTTACAGTGAGTGTGCATTAGTCACTCGTGAGGTTCGCGACACGCCCAACAAGAACTGGAGCCAAAGGCGGAATATGTGAGTGATGACGCGACAGGTTCTCTGGGGTTTAGCACCACCTACTGTACATCATTGATAGCACTGTTAGCCGGTTGTTCAGTAGAAGTCGATATCCCTTCGTTAGCAGAAACGACATCTTCACTTGCTTGACCTGGTTCTTTGGAGAGTGAAGCTTCCGTTGACGATGAACCAGTTGTGTTGTCTATATTTTTATCTATATTGAGTACCCGTAATATTAGCTGGTCCCAGCCAGACACAAGGCACCAAATTGCATTGGGTGATAATCCGTTGTATTTATCATGGGGACGGAACAAAGACAAGACTGAACTCCACAAGACAAAAGATTAGACTGAGCAATGGATTAGGGAAACTTACGTTTGCATGCCATTTCATGACAGAGAATGTATACGGTGTAATTTATGAGCGCGCCCAAGTGGGTATAGTTGGCAACGTGACCTGTCTACAATCTTGCCGGAGGGAAGCTTGACTCTGGCAGTCCAAACTTGCTGGTCACTGGGGCTGTGCCATGCTTTCTGTGTAGGCAGGAATTCTTCATCTGCTGTTACTGCAGCGGAGGGAAGTGCGGTTGGTTGATTACCGGCCTGTAGGAAGTGTGATGGTGTCAGGACAAATATTTCCGGCCCTTGGTAGTCAGCTGTGACATGTGTTTGTGGCCTGGTATTGATAATTGCTCCGGTTTCTACGATCAAGGTGTTGAAAAGATTTACCGAGTGCTTCCTTGTTTCCATGAAAGGGACAATGTCCAGCAAAGAAGAATTGCATGTGCATGATACTTAGTATTGAAATGTACTATACATGCGCTACTGTAAGACATGTAATTATAACGAGGAAGTAATTTACCGGGTGCGATTTTTTCGTTATAATAAGTTCTGTTGAGGCTCTAATTCCTCATATGTGTTATGTGCAGATACACCTGAAGATCGCAAGATCGTTAACGTATCTTCTCCTTTAACCTATGAATTTCGGACAATCGTTAAATTTGCGACTCGTTATAATAACATGTCTTACAGTATGCACTATCTCAATCTCCTACACTCATGATGCATGTACTATGCCCTGTACATACATAATTTCGTCTCATCGGTTCTCTGTTTTTGCTGTTCAATGTGTGTGTGCGTGCATGCATGTGTGCGTGTGTCCATGCGTGCCTTTTGTATTATATGCGTGTGTGTCCGTGCGTGCGTGCGTGCGTGCGTGCGTGCGTGCGTGCGTGTGTGTGTGTGTGTGTGTGTGTGTGTGTGTGTGTGTGTGTGTGTGTGTGTGTGCGTTTGTGTCCATATGTGTGTGGGTGTGGGTGTGTGGGTGTGGGTGTGTGTGTGCATGTGTGTGTGCATGTGTGTGTGTGTGGGTGTGTGTGTGTGTGTGTGTGCATGTGTGTGCATGTGTGTACGTGTGTGTGTGTGTGTGTGTGTGTATGTGTTTATGTGTGTATTTGTCAGCTACCTATGCCAGCTAGTTTTAGGTAAGTTCTGGTGGTGTGATGACTCGTTGAGTTTTGAGACCGCTACACTGTACTGCAATGGTGCATGTAGTCAATATGACTGTATTGGTGCAATGCCAGCAATGGTCTAGTTGCTCTGTATAGGAAGCTGGTGGTATGATCACTACCCCAGTGTATGGGTTTTGTGCTACGTACTTGAAATGAATGTGAAACTCAGTGTGAGTTTTCGCCACCCGGGGACCCCTTATGCAGTTTGACATTCTGTGGGGGGGGGGGGGGTACTCATTGTCTCATGGTGTCCTTCTTTCCGCACACTGTCTATGCGTCTGTGCGCAGTGATGAAAAGCTGATGGGCATGATGCGCGACAGTCGTCTGAGACGAGAAGTCCTATGGCCTCGTGTTGAGCCGCTGGTGCGTGAGCTGCACCCAAAGCGCTATCATGAAATCACCGGTAGGTCTAGCACCAGAGAGCAATGCCGGTACCTGTGAGAGGGCAGACTCTAAAGAGTACAGTCAAACTTGCCTTTAGTCACTACCTGTCTTTAGAGCCATCAGTCCCGTCAGTCTCCCAAACCCCACTTTAAAAACTTCTATTCGCCTTTGGTTGCTTCTAAAGATCAGGTAATATAGTGACGGTAGGTATATTGAAAACGCCGATAGACCTCGTCCTCGTCCTCCTATTTATCCTCTTTTTTAATGGCTTCACCTCGTTTTTCTTGGCTTTCCTTGCATGTAGATACTCAGTGTTTTATGGGTAATCTGTAGTGCAGTAGCAGCACTGGTGGGATAGGACTCTGCAGTACGGGTGACATGGGATGACTGACTGTGTAGACTCTGCAGTACAGGTACAGCATAGACTGGCAGTGCAGTGCACGTACAGTGTATGTACCGGTGCACAGATGGAGAGAGGCAACTGAAGCTGTATATATTCTGTTACCCGAGAGCAATGATGATCGCTTCTGTGTGAAACTCAGCGTTACAGCAATACAGTTTGCCCTTTCTCTCTATGCGTACAAGGCTGTACACCCAGGTGTATCGAGCACTCTCTTGAGCTGTCACAACTCACTCCAAGTGTCTATGTACCAGTATGTATGTGTACCAAGAAGGTCTGTGCCGTAAACCATGCAAGGCTTGCGAACTCCATCTCTTTTTACATTTCACAAGATTCGCTTTACTATACGCTTCTGTCATATGTGCTGTGTGTTGTGCGTATGTTTGTGCGTGCGCGTGCGTGTGTGTGTGTGTGTGTGTTTGTGTGTGTGTGTGTGTGTGTTCACTATCTCCCTCAGCTGTATTGCTTAGTTTGGAGGCAGAAGATGTTCTGCGGTTACTTGTTGACAAGCAGCTTAGAGTACAGCGAGTTAATGTGATACGCCAACACCTCGATAAAGGGTTAGTAATTTTGAACAACTGTGGTCCACTGCATCATCATTTTATTTGAGATGTTTTGTGGGGAGTGGCATCACAGGCACTGAGTCAGAGGATAAGTCATACAATAACATTGCACGACACTGATCGACGGTACTGACTTTCTACAACTAAGTGGCTATCAGCTCTAGCACATCTTGGATGCGCACTCCAACATTAATTTTGTTTGTATGACATTTTATTGAGTTAAAGTCGCATGGGCGATTTTGTCCCGATTTTTCATGTAAAACGTGTGGCTCTGACGCGAAAATACAGTAGATGAAGAGTAAAGTAGTGTAGAGTATGTGTAGAGTACGTGTATCCGTGCAGTACATGCACTACTTAAAGTACATGAATAGCCTGTACAGTGTGCAGAGCAAGCAAGCCTGTACTGGATTTAAACTGGGTCAAGCTGGAAGTAGAGTTGACTTGCCATGACACCTTGGGTTTCAACCTTCTTCAATCCCGAATCAGTCCCTGATTCAAGCTGTGTTTCAGTGTAATGTTACTTGAATATCCTGGCAATAGCGGTATGGCCTAAGCTACAGTGTTCTCTATGTTCCTGCATGAGCCACCTTCCTGTGTATATGCACTGTGTACATGTGTGTGTGTGTGTGTGTGTGTGTGTGTGTGTGTGTGTGTGTGTGCGTGTGTGTGTGTGTGTGTGCGTGTGCGTGCGTGTGTGCGTGCGTGTGTCCATCTGGTTCTCTGTCTGTCGGTTTGTAGCATGACTGCTGAAGAAGTGAGTCGGAATATGCTGCAAATGATTGATCAGCACAGGAAACGACAGCAGCAGATTCTTCACCAGCAGCAGCTGCAGCAACACCAGAAGCTGAAAGAACAGCAGCAACTTCAGTGGCAACAGCAACAACAACAGCACCAGCAGGCTCATTCCTCTCCAGGTCTGAGAGTGGCAGCAGGCAGCAACCCCGCTCAGACCCAGAAACAGCAGCCACAACAGCAGGCGCAGCAGGCACAGTTACCACCGCACCTGACATCTCAAGGTGACCGGCAGCTTGGTCTATTACCTGGACAGAATCCACCTGCAGCAACGCCGTCACCACGGCCCACAGTAGAACAGCCTAGCCAACCGAACGACATTGCAGCAAGTGAGTTGACCTGCTTAGTGGTGTTGCTCTGCTTCTTCTGTCTCTAAATGCAATACACTTGGATCAAGCCACCAATCCAAGAGCGGTAACGTTAGTTTATTGTGTGTTATTCGGCGGTGTTTGCCGCGCTCTGCCGTTTCCTGTTCTGGCACTACTGATACCTTCACGAGAGATCCTGGTCACTGGTCACTGCCTAGCTGCGGCGTTCAGTACTTCTAAACGTATACACTCATGCCGCCTCTCAACATGTATTTTGTTATACAGTCGTCCCTCTCTAATCCGGCACTTGTTTATCCAGCACCCTTGCAAACCAGCACACTTTCTGGCAAAACGGATTTTTTCAGTTCATTTTCTACGCTTTAATCCGGCACTTGAATTCCGCCTCCAGCAGCGATTTTCTGCAACAAATCACTCAAATTGTACACAATTCGATTTTCTAATCCAGCAGTTGTACATCGCATACCGTCAGGGAGCATTGTAACATACACAACACATGTAACATACACTTGGGAATATCCTATGCACTCGTATTCCCAAGTGTATGTTATAGATATGCATTCCACGAAGTACTTGGATTGACACAGAAAATCCCTACGTTTCGACGTACGACACAAACATGTACGTTAATAGGTGGGCCGGGTTGGAGGGCAGGATTTTATAATCCAGCACCCTTGTTTATCCAGCAGAAAATGCCGTCGCGAAAAGTGCCGGATTAGAGAGGGACGACTGTAGTAGAATCAGTCCACGTGCACAGGCTCAGCACATAGCATACAGGAAATATTCTACATGTACTATCAGTCTATCACTAAGAATGTTCTAAGGTACAGGTACTAGGTTGAGACCATGGAATAATCAGAACTGTCATGCAAGACCAAACAAGAAGAAAAACAAGACCAACAAACTGACTGACTTCTCTGCTAACAGTTACTTGTGTGTACGTGTGTATGTGCGGCAAAACTACAAACTGCACTGTGATACGATTAAAGTCACAGTCATGGAGAAGGAAGGCATCAATGACAAAGAGAATGAAATGTAATCACAATGAACAAGATCAGTTACTCCACTTCAAAGATCTATTCCCTTTCAAGCTGTTGTTGGATTGCTTTTGTGAACCGCTCCCGAAGAGAATGGGTGACTCGCCGAACATTGGATTAAACAATGTTGCTGCTTCACTGTTCGCAGGAGTTGTGACTGAGTATTGCAGCAACTTCTGTAATACCTGTATGTTGTTTACCTGTATTGATGTGTTGATGTGTACTGGTGCAGGCTTAGCTGCAGTTCAAGAACTCTACTCCACCCAGAGCAGACTAACAGAGGAGCTAGACATGTGCTCTCGCCGTTTAGTACATCGCATAGCTTCCACGCTGCCCAAACATCCGTCTCTACATGCGTTGCATTCTGCTCAACAACAGCAAATCCGAGCCATTGCGCAGCTAAGAGGCCATCAGCAACATGTAAGTGCTTACATCCAGCTAACCTAGTAAGGAAATATATCGTTAGCGTTCCAGCCCCCGCCGTTGATACTACATGCAGTCATAGTGAAGTGCAGTATGATCAGGCGCCGAAGTACACTTCGCTGAAGAACATTTAGGCTGGAAAATCACAAATTTAAAAACAATCCAGGGTAGTTATGAAGTTCGAAGTTCGAATCCAGGCTAGATCCAGGCTAGATTTCCAGATTTAAGAACACACATGTACTGCTTTCTATTATGGTATGTTTCCTACGGGACGTAACGTGATCGCAGAATAAGAACAACATGTTTTTAAACAGTTGAACTTTTTAGGGGCAATGCTAGTCTGCGCCTTGGGCCTCTGCGTTCTTTAGCAGCAGATCTTACTGCAGGGCAGAACATGGAGCGCACAACCAGTTGTTCTACTTTGGAGCTAACATTTTGGAAGCTATCGGGCGGAACTGTTGAAACGCACACACAGCCGAGTATACTGCTGGCATGTTTGATTGGTGCTATGCAGAACGAGATTCTTCTGAACAGTGTATATGACTGCAGCAGATCCGGGTCGCCCTGGATATGTTGCTCCTTGCTCCGGTCTCGAGGCCGGAACAACTACAGCAGTAAATAGTTTTCATCGTAAAGACTGGCCGGAGCATTGATTTTCATCAAAAATAAGACTGCACACTTATTTGACTGTAGTAAGTTATTGCAACCATGCTATAGCACAGCATACAGCTTTGGCTTGGCAAGGGAACGCTCTGGATTCTATGTACTGTCTCCTTGCTACACGGCTACTCCCTCTGTACCAGCTACCCGATCTTGTTCTGGAATGCACCATGCATATGCACACTAACAGTGTACGACTGTGACATTGGATTTTATTTGCTGCCGCCTTTCACTTCTGCAGTGCTTTAGTAGCTTTATCAACGTGGCACCCGTATTAACGGAGGCGGCAAATTCTTCTGGCAACGGTGCACAACGGCACGAGCAACTGCCACAGCCACCGCAGCAGCCACAACAGCAGCCACAACAGCAGCCTGCAGTAGCACCGGCACATCACATGCAGCAGCAGCAGCAACGCCACCAGCCACAGGCACATCAGCCCCAACAGCATCAGCAACAACAGCAGGTCTCTCCACTCGCGCCGGGAGCTGGTCGTCCCATGCCGCATACATCACATAGTAACTTTAGTAAGTTTACACTCAGAATTCTCTCTTTTCTCTCTCTCTCTCTCTCTCTCTCTCTCTCTCTCTCTCTCTCTCTCTCTCTCTTTTTCTCTCTCAACGAGTTTACCATGATTTTTGACTTTTAGTTGCATGAAAACCAGGGTTCTAGCCAGGTCAAAATAGTGGTGGTGGTGGGGGGGGGGGGGCATGGGAAACAGTTACCCTGTATCCCATTTTTCCACTTTCCATTATTGTCTTGCCACGCTAAATGCAACGTATGGGGCGAATCCCCGACTTCGCCCCAGACAAATGTGCCTTTATGAACAATCTATAAGTAGTGACTTTCGGCTGCATTTTCGCTGAATTGCATGAAAAACACGAAAATCAGAAAATGAGTAGAGGGGGGGGGGGGGGGGGGGCACTTTTCAGTTTTCACATTGGCGCGCAAACAGAGTAGGGGGCGCGCAAGTAGGGCACGCAAACAGAGAAACAGAGAGTTTGGCTAGAACCCTGTGAAGCATTGAAAAGTGTGCACCAATGGATCAAGTTTCTGAATCACAATCATCATGTCAGTGATGTAGTAAAGAAGTAGCAGGATTCAAGCAGGTCTCCTGCTGCTACTGCTGCACACCTACAGCTCAGTTGTACTGTACCCACATGCAACTTTCCACCGCTCTATCTGTATCAGCGATGTGTTTCAGGAGCTATGCCGTGCACACTCGCCTTTACTCGGGAGTCCGTACATATGCATCTAATCATTAACCATTCTCGATCCATTGCTGTATGCCGGTAGAAAAAGCCTTTCCTCTATAAAAGCTAATATCGAGCGCACTCATACCACAACACCAATGGAACAATATTTAGGGGTTTGAACGTCGTTTTCATGTGATTATCACCAGTGGTATGAGTGCGCTCACTATATTTGTTTCGATGTTAGGTTTCTTGTCTCCTCGCCGCCTTTTTATCTAGGAAAGCAAGACAGCTTTTCCGGCAACATCGTCGCACCCATTCTCTGACCTTGAGGTTCATTGTGAAAACGGTGGGAGTTTTATTCGGGGAAATACCGTACATGTAGTGGATCCAATTTATTTACATTATGTACAGTTGAGTCGCGCACCAAAGAATGTTGAGCCCAAGAACACCTAGCCTCAAGTGATAAGAACACCACAGCCCTAAAGTTAAGAACGGTGGTGTTGGTTTTCAGGCAGCATTTCGGATACATATGATCCAGTACAAACTGTTTCTAAGAATGTGCTATGAGAATGCAGCCACGTCTCTTAAAAAACACACACACACACACACAAAAACATCCCACGCTAACTACTCGGAAACAACGTTCTTCCACGCTTGGGCGCGCGACTACTGCAGTACTGGCCATGTAGTCTTCCCGATATATCCACCACAAATTTTGATATTTTCTTTCATTATTCCCTGGGGACGGACACCAAGGGCGCGTTTGACTGGTCTGATCCGGAACAGGATCGTTCAGAACTGGGGCGTTTGATTGGTCTGCACTGGTTTTGGAGTGTTCGGGAACATGTTTTGACCACTCCGACCCCCAAGGCTGGAGCAGTCAGAGCAAGTTGCAAAGCCCAATGAAAACCTGACAGGGCCACGCAAGGAGTTTAGTTTTTGTTTTGATTCGAAGCGATTCTGGCATGTGCCAGGGATTATGTAATGGACGTGGTGATGTACATGGAGCTATACGTGTTATTTGGCACATTGCACGGGGGTCTCCACTTCCATGAATGAATATTTGTTTGTCTTCGAAGCTTCTTCTCCGTTTGTATTCGCCTTCGTGTCTTGAGCAACGTAAACATCTTTAAACTTGTGTGGAATTTTTGAAGTTCGCCGCTATCGTGAGTTGTACAATATTTCTGGCAAAAATATTCGCTGTTCTGTTTGACTGGGAACTGTTGTTTTGACTGCTCCAGTGAATCTGATCTGAATCCGGAGTCACCAATCAAACATGCCCCAACTGTTCACTTGTCCGGTTATACTATGGAGTATCTCTCTGTCTCTCTCTTTCTCACACCGTGTGTTTGTGTCTGTGCTTGCATCTGTTTGTGTGCCACATTAGGCCAATCAAATCTAGCAAGTAGCCTCTCATCACATCAGCATACTCAGCCACAACTCAGCACAACGCTCACCTCTCCACAACACAACACTGCTATTCCCCTGCCAAAGGTCAGCTGTTACAGTTTTTAACTCTACATTGATTTGTCATTTGACACAAATTTCAATACACACGTACATTATAGATTCTGCAGCACTAAAACAACAGCAGCAGCAGTAGTAGTGACTAAAAAAACTTAGACAAGGTAAAGGCGTAGACCAGTTAAAAATATGTACAGTTGTAAAGAATTTTAAAAAAACTACGAGAAAGGAGAGTAAGAAAGTCAACATCAGATCAAGGAATCACTGGGTGATAGCAAGGTTGGTAAATCTCTTTAAAAACTATTATCAATCTCACACCAAAAAATGCCAACAGCAGTGAAAGGAACATATGATTATTTGTACAGCTGAAAGTCACGCCAATGGTCTATTGCTGTTCTATGCCATTTCTGTAGGCTACAAACATCGAACACTTAGCTCCAGGAGCCGCAATATCAAGCCAGGCGGCGGTGGCAGCAGCAGCAGCACCACCACCGGCGTCATCAATAACAGAGGATGTTTACGAATCTGATGATGAAAGCTGGCAGTGAGTACAGCAAACGTTCCACTAGCTCAAAAGCAAAACGCATTGATTAATAATTAACTGAAAATTTTTCCTTACTCAACTAGCATGTATATTGTGCATGTGTGTACCTGACATGACATTGAACATAAACATAACCTTGCGTGTCTGAGTGCATGCTTGCCTGTCTGTATGCGTGTGTGTATGTGTGTATGCGTGTGTGTATGTGTGTGTGCGTGTATATGTGTGTATGTGCATGCAAGATATTATTTCCAAAGTAGTTAAACATGAAACCCTACTGTGCATAATAAAACATGCCTGGCTAGGCTAGCAATTAGCCTACATGGCTTCATACAATTTTTCTTACATGGAACGGATTTTTATATGTTTATGAATGGCGATCTCTGCTTTCACCTGCTTTTCTTGCTTTCTCGCTTAGTGCATCTTGCTGACATCACGTTTTCTATTGTTTGAGCATAAAAAGAACATCAACCAATGACATAAACATCTTGACACAGTAGTGTGTGTGGCGCGGTGTTTACTCGTGTCATACTAAGTCTTAAATGCCCCGCACTAATAGGGGATTCACACACACAGCTAAAACCATGGTTGTGGGAAAGTTGTTATGGAAACCATGGTACTGGGGGAAAGGAAGAACCTCTCGGGGAAAATCGGCAAAGCCGTTTGTCAAGGGAAAAATCCGATGGCTATGAGACGCGCATGCGTAGATCCTGTCTTTGGCGAGAACTCTGAACCCTAGTTGTACGAGTGCATCGCAGCCTGCATTATCGGACAGTGCCCATTGGAAAATCGTGTATGACGAATGGAAAACATAGTACAGAATGTACTAAAAAATGCAGTACAGATATATTTTGAAATTTCCCTGCCACAAATCCATGGGCAAACATGCGGCCAGGGGAAAACTGACCACTCCGTTGACCAAAGGTCTGAACTTTTACCTTGTCCCGTGACCTCAGGTTTCCCCGTGAGTGTGAATCTCCTATAAGTCTTAGAATTGGGTAATGTGCTGCTGCACGCCAGTGCAGTGAAATCTCATCATGAGGTCACTTTCACACATACACCATGCAACCCATCGGCGCAATTCACACATACACCATGCAACTCCCAGCGCATTTCACACATACACCATGCAACCCACTGCGCAGTTCTCCAGCGGCCAGCCCGGTACTAGACTGGCATAGACGACTTGCCTACATGTGGCAGTCTGTAAGAAGAGAACACTACCAAGTCAACTTCACAATAAACTAACCTCTTGCCATAGATAGCATGAATCAGCAGAAGCGCACATCCGCCCGCTATCGAGAGTCCGCCAACCGTCAAGTACGCGATGCCCAGAAACGAATTTTTCCCACCAATCCATCGTGTGGTGCTCAGCACAAACGTTTTGTGACCGCGTCGGATAGGGTAATCTGATTGCAGAGCATGGTTAAGAAACTCATGTGTGACACCTTACATACAGTGTGATTGCCTTGACGGATCAATCAGATGAGGTTCAATACAAGTAGACATTTCACATTGAACACATAAGCCACCTTGTACCTTGCAACTCGACTCCTGCTGCACACACCACACATTGACAGTGTTTTAGTTTATGATACACTCCATGAGAATGGTCACAGTAACATAACATACTTTTCTCTTTACATCGGATATAACGTACTATATTTTCACGACCCCACCTATTCTCACCCAGTCATTTGACCTCGGATACAAGGTACTGATTCTTAACGTCTGTTGGGGGTACAATATACTGAAATTTCACTGTACTGCAAATCACCTACAATTGTACATGTAGACATGCATGCTGCCATCACGACACACCCACACATACAGAGCGTAAGGAGGAGGATACTGTACTCGATTGACATAGTGTAGTTTCCAGTGGTTAGGCCGTCGGTGATGCGCGCATAGAGCTTTCTAAACTTGGGCAGTGCCGCTGTGCGCATCCACACAGCCAGGTCTTCATTCAGCATCATGCCAGGCAAAGAAGACACGTTCTCTTGCCAGTACACTGGCTGAGCACTACCGGCAAAGCTGGTTGGATTGCCAAACTTGTAATTGGTATCTTCGGTCCACGCAATACCGTCACGACGCCAATCTATTGGGGATGTATCGTTACCACTCCTGAACAGCGTATACGAATCTAACATGCACACATACACACAACGCGCACAGAGAGAGAGAGAGAGAGAGAGAGAGAGAGAGAGAGATAGAGAAGAAAAGAGTGCAGCGGAGATTGGATATAAACTTACACTCTTTCACGAGATAAAAAAGTCACCAAATTCCATCGGCCACCACACCCGATCTTCTGACAGGACTTGTCACGACACTTGGGCAACAGAAATTAATCGTAACACTCAATCTGCCGTTATATGAAAGGTCATTATATCCGATCTCCGCAGTGCCAGAAACTACACCAGTGTATAGGAGTAGTCTGCCATCCCTACATGATTGCAGCATTGTTTCTATTGCATATTCACCGGCATCTTGAACCACACTCTATGCTAGCAACACCACTAAGTGGCAGCAACGATGACACAGCGCATACTAGTAGACAGCTTACCATTGAAGCGACTGTTGGCTATCATTCCGCATGGCATAATAGGTAGACTATCACTACTCTGAAAAGCATTCGGAATGCAGCCGGATGTCTGAGCTGTTTCGCCTTGGAGTTGTTCTTGATTGACACTTTTCAGATAGCGTCGATGATTCTGATAGAACTCCGTCAGGCGATAGTACACATACACTGTACCGGGCCAGTCCTCGCTTAGCGTAAAGTCTACATTGCATACACACGCATCACGCATAACCTGCTCAGTGCGGTTCTCTCTCAACAGGCTGCATGATTGGTTAGCAGGCGTTGTGCAGCTCGTGTAGTCTAGCGACATCTCCTTGATCTACACATGGAGAAGAGAGAGAGAGAGAGAGAGAGAGAGAGAGAGAGAGAGAGAGAGAGAGAGAGAGAGAGAGAGAGAGATATCGAACAATGCATGTACAGCACCCAGTTCACAGTGCGTACATGGACACAATACAACACGTCACCCGCCATGCACACAAACCGAAGCATTCGAGTACACGCACGCACGCACATACACACACACGCATGCATACCACACACTCATACTTTTGCCCATTGCTGAAGCGATGATAGCAAACAAACTATGTTAGACATAGCAACTTGTGCTGGGAACACACTATTCAACAGCTTGCAAGGCTGATGAATTGACCGCCACTAAATTTTAGCCTGGTCTACGCCACACGGCTGGTTGAAGTGGCTTTTTCCGGCCAGTGAATCCCTATTTTCTTCTTTTTTACACATACCACACCACATACTCCGGCATGCACTGGCTGTTGGTAACCACCCAGGAGAATGAAAGAAGAGCTAGGAGAACCACACACATGCACGTGCACACACACACACCTCAGACCTGCCCATCGCGGAAGCGATGATAGCGAACAGCTATGTTAGACATAGCAACTTGTGCTGGGATTACACCATTCAACAGCTTGCAAGGCTGATTAATTGACCGACACTATTTTTAGCCTGGTATCCACCACACAGCTGATTGAAGTGACTTTTTCTGGCCAGTGAATCCCTATTTTTCATTTTTTCCATTTTTTCTTCTTCTTTTTTCTACACACACACACCACACCACATACTCCGGCATACACTGGCTGTTGGTAACCACCCAGGAGAATGAAAGAAAAGTCAGGAAGAGTCCAAGAAAGAGAAGAAAGACGTGTGCGACCATAATCGTCGGGAATTGAACCCGCAACCTCCACATACCACTGCACCATATGGGACACACACACACACACACACACACACACACACACACACACACACACACACACACACACACACACACCTACAATTATTTAGCTCTCAAGAGCAGTGCTGTAATCTGCAACTGGCATAGGTACTACACGTACATAATGCCACTTCAAGAGGTGAGAGGAATACCTTACAGGCATTTCAGATTCCTCAATTAAACAATAGAATAGTGTACATTGCATGCATGCAGTATGAAGCGATCAGGTGACATCGAAAATCCAGTCACATAATCATTACAGTGTCAAACCGAATACTGACCTTGTTAGATTCCAGCAGCAGCACTACACCAATAGGGATAAATATAATCCCAAATACGAAGAAAATGGGGACCACACAGTTCGCTGTAAAAATGGGTTTCCATGCTGGCAAAGTCTGCTGTTTTATTCTCGACCCTGAAATCACACCAGACACAAAACTTGATCCACGGGCCAGGGTGAGAACACCAAGCCATCTAGCCGAGGGAATTTACCTCCAGGCCTATTGGCGTGTGCAGGACTACCCTCAGTCATCGTAGCATCAAACTACTTCCCTCTCACAACTCAAAATTGAATAGCAAACCAGTCCTTTGATTCCTAGGGCTGCATTCTTGTTGATTGAAAACAACCTGAGCAGTGAGCTAACTGCTTGCTTCCACAGCGCTCAACGAACATCACTGTCACCGGATATGCATGATTGATGGAATAGCGTATCGCGTACCCGCGTCGGATTTCGATTTTCACAGAAAAAGAGTGGGTACGTCGGCGCGAATTATCCCCAACTGTGACAAATCTCAAGAAAATCGAGGTGTTACGATTTTGGCATGCATGCTACCATGGCTACAGCGCGACGCTACAAACAGTAGACCCGCGCGAAATTCAAACACTCCAATAAAAATTTAATGATAAATCCAGAACGGCAGAAGGAAGATAGAAGCAATGCTCATCGTGTCTGTTGTTGTGGAAGGACCTAAAAGAAGTCGTGTTGTTCGCAAGACATGGCATCTTCTAATCCTTGGACTGAAAATCACCTGGCTTGTGTATCTCTAGGAAATCTAGATGATGTCTTGAGGGTAGCCGCTCAACATGGCCACACATTGCAAGTAAGAATTCTGAACTGTGCTTACACACCTGTATTGGAGTTTCGAATGCCATTTGAAATTTGAGTTATTGTTGAAAGGAACGTGTACATGTGCTGCAGGAAGACTACTAGTATTGCTACTGGGTGTTATTGCGTTTGGAGACATGGGTATATACATGTATAATAAAATCGTTGAAGTATTGTTGAGAAAGTGGAGCTGTTTTCAACCCCTATTCAGCTACCGTATTATCTCTATTATAAGCACAGTCTCCAATAATAGAACACCTTGGGGTGGCATTCAAAAAATAAAGTGCTCAGTCTCCATTACAAGCACACTGTGTAAATTCATTATCTGTACCGGCAAAAAAACCCTGAAATGTGTGTGTCTGACATGAATTTGGCCATGGCAACATGCCTCTGAAATGAGGTTGAAAAAATAATGGAACAGTCTCCAATAAAGGAACGTCTCCATTAATAGCACGGGGCGGAGGTACATTGAAAAAATAAAGGACCGTGCTTATAATAGAGATAATACGGTATGTTCTTTTTTAGTTAGATGTGTGTGTGTGTGTGTGTGTGTGTGTGTGTGTGTGTGTGTGTGTGTGTATGTATGTGCACATGTGTGTGTATGTGCACGTGTGTGTGTGTATGTGCACATGTGTGTGTATGTGCACATGTGTGTGTATGTGCACGTGTGTTTGTGTATGTGTATGTGTGTGCACATGTATGTGCACATGTGTGTGTGCTTCAAAGACCCCAAAGGCCCCAGCTTCAAGCAGTCATTCACTACGATTGATCTCCTTACTTTGTGAATTGACGGATCTTCACCGGCAGCTAGACACTGTATCCAGTCAGTTGAACATTCTATCAGAGCGCCAAGCCACAGTGGATTTGACTGATAACAGTAAAGCAGGTTAGGCTCCACTATAGTCCATTGCACATGGTGCAACAGCAGCTTGGCTTGTTCTTCTACATTCCCAATGAACCGGGTGACCTGTGTTGGATGCAAAACTGAGTTTTGTTTTCAACAAGAGCTGGGAATTCAAATATCGACTGTATGTTTGCTGCTGGCCTTGGATTTTATGTCATCAATCACCATGTTTTATAGGCCAGTCCTGGCCGTGCCGTATTGGTGTAACTGTTGTACTGTTGTATGGTACTCTGTGTGTGTGTGTGTGTGTGTGTGTGTGTGTCTCTCTCTCTCTCTCTCTCTCTCTCTCTCTCTCTCTCTCTCTCTCTCTCTCTCTCTCTCTCATCTACTTCTTTGTGCATTCTATCTTGCAGAGAACTGGCTTCATGATGTGAAGGGGCTCAGTGATCACTTGTGTAAAGTACTGAACGAGAAGCAACACCTGATCTCGCTGCTCTCAGAGCCACTAGCCGGCCAGCACATTGCAATAGATGCCAAATATCACCGGTTAGGCCCATCATGCTATCACTGCACTGCTTGCACCGTATTCTTGCGCATGTAAATCAAATCACCCAATGGGACGTACGTATGCATCCATTTCCCGCCGTTAGGTTTTGCGGGGCAAGTCCACTACAACCGTACACACCTTGATACCAGCTCGGCATAAAAGGTCATGATCTGAACGTTGTGGGGTCATACTCATAAGTGTACTAGAATGGGGTGTACCTACCACGTATGGGGTAACTTGCCCCGCAAAAAGGTGACGGCCATGTTTAAGTATGTCATTCTGAGAGTCAACCGAGAATTTCCTCCAGAGATGCAAGTTTTGTTCTGCGGACAGTCTTCGTCAAATCGCTTTATTCTTTGGCGAGACCATGTAGGATCATTGCAGACCTTCTGCTTTCCTTCTGATGGTTGTGGCTCAACTTTTTGCTTTTGCATGGTGTGAGACTGAGAGTGAGAGGATATTTTTTCCAATGTTGTCTTTGTTTCGGGCATGTGTACATACCGGTACATGTATGTGTTGTTTCCCTACGTAGAGCTGTGGCTGGCATGTACCCAGCGCTGGTGAAGTGTCTCAGTGCTGTGCCCAGTCATCTTGCCGCATTGCAATGGGCTGCTGACAACCTATGCTGCAGGGAAGGCGTGTTAATCCCGTCGATCACCAGCTCATCTAACATTGGCAAGCATGGAGTAAGTGATACTGCACGTGTACAACCTTCTAGACTTCTTCTACGGGAAGTCTTAGCCCACCATTGACCTGTGCCATACATGACTTGCACTGCTTGGGTCCCGGAAAACACACCCTGGGCTGTTTCTTGCACGTGCTATGCCTTGCACATGTTCAAAGTAACGATTTTCAGTTTTTCACCCACCTGTTCTTTGTTTCTGTGTCCCAGTTCCCAGACCTGTCTAAAACAACTGAAGCCTTCACGTCGCTGCAATCACACTTCAGAAAGCTTCAGGAAAACCGCCGTGCCCTCGGCAAGATTCTCAAGTCCAGCGATTCACCCTTTGATGGAGCTGCTGACCTGTCACTGATTTGACCACTCTCCATGGCTGTACTACAGTATATCTGTGTGTGTGAGAGAGAGAGAGAGAGAGAGAGAGAGAGAGAGAGAGAGAGAGAGAGAGAGAGAGAGAGAGAGAGAGAGAGAGAGAGAGAGAGAGAGAGAGAGAGAGAGAGTACATGTACACTGTGCTATTGTCTCTCTCTCTACCACTACCAGGTGTCTGATGTGGATTAGTTACTCTCTGCCATGCATGCTACTACCTTTGGGCTATTGAAGTTGTTCTTACTACTGCAGACGACTCTGCACAAAGCACCTAGATGGGAATGTACACTCAGCAATGTCTCGATATCAATCAGCCTATGCACAATGACCTCCGACAGCACAGCAAGGCGCCCGTATGTTCCGTTACTGACTGTGAACTACCAGCAGCTGTAGTCCTATCAACAGTCTACAAGCACTAGTATTGTGCACACCATGTCAGCATGATCAGCGCTGGACACAACTATACCAACCAGAGCTTCTGCGCTGCAAGTATACCATACAGACAACTGCTCCGCCCCGCACATCCAGTACTCCACGTATACTGGTGGATGCTGTCGCAGCAGCAGCAGGATTCCTGCGCTGGATACAGCACCGCCAGTCAGAGCTTCTGCGCAGCAAGTAGCTACAGCAGCCTGCAGACCACTGCTGCGCCCCGTGCATCCAGTACTGCACGTACGCTGGTGGCTGTTGCAGCAGCAGCGGCAAGATTGAGAGAGCAAGGCCAGCAATGCCAAGATAGGCTTTCCAGCTCTACTATGGATCTTTGCTCTGCTGTTCATCAGGTACTGTATAACTCGTGCTGTTCTGTTGTTCATCAGTAACTGTTCATCAGGTACTGTTCATGAGGCACTGTACTGTTGCTCATCAGGCACTGTACTGTCATCAGTCAACTGCTGATGTTGACTGAGATGACATAATCACATTGTCATCGATGCCCCGCACTCTACTTTACAGTGTATGTGTTGCTGTGTGCGCACGTCTGAAACCTGACCATGCCAACAAACAGTACATGTCATGTACCTAGTGGAGTGCAGTTGATGCATACCCAAGCAAGCAGGTTCCTTCACTTCTCAGTCAGTGGCTTGTTACTGTTGTACTGATGTTTGTGATCACCGTGCCTTTTATTGAGCAAGCGTTTCGATAGCCGCTATCCAGTACATGTGCTAGAATACTGGCCGGTATCAGTACTGCCATGAGCATTGGCTGCCACACGCATGCACGGTCATGTGCTTCTGACCCAGTGCTTCGAAGTTTGTAGTCGCGTGTCTGAGCGCTTCTTAGCGACTGTCATCATTTATATGGCAGTTTTTTAAAGTTTTTTTTACAATCTTGATACAGTTTACATCATCACGTGCCGTTCCCACGAGGGCAGAGTACAACTCCCTTTGCCTGCTGCGTACATAAGCGGGCTCCACTGTAGCTTGCATTCCATTGCTCCTGCTGCTGCTACTGTGTTCGGCCACTGGCGTGCAAGGCAGGCAGTCACTGTATCAAGGCTGTTTGACACGAGGGCTCATTGAGCTCCGCTAACTGCTGTACAGTTGCTCAGTTCAGCCAATCATCCTCTCAGCCAATAATACAATACAGATCAGAGACGTGGATAATTATTTCAATGCTCTTGGCTGCTTCCAATGTTTCTGTGTTATGTTGGGTGTTTAGCTCTAGTGCACTGTTTACTTGTAAGTTTTCCCTTGGAGGTGAGTGTGTGAAACTCCAGGTGTCCGCTTAGCTAGGGGTCGCCTCAAAAGTTTTTTGTCATCCCTGAAACGAACATCATTCGCTTGGGGGGTGGGGGGGGGGGGGGGGATGCGAGCCAAAATCACAAGTCGATCGACACTGTACATATGTCATATTACCCTTCACAGGGGGCAGATGTAAATGGAGTTGGATCCCGGGAGGGATACCTTGATTCCGCCAATCCCTTTTCTGCACCATGTCCTCATCCACTTACTGCGGTATGGTGAATCCACCCTGAGTTTGGGGATTTCAGGGGGTGTCACCTGTTGGGCAGTTCATCTTTCCAATATTCCTTTTGAATTTCTCTCCCCTCTCCCGGGAAGATCCGCTCAACCACTTGAATTTTGGCGGTGAGCAAGTACGTCTGTGTGTGTGTGTGTGTGTGTGTGTGTGTGTGTGTGTGTGTGTGTGTGTGTGTGTGTGTGTGTGTGTGTATGATGTGGGTCTTTAGTGGCTGTGATGTATAGTACTTTAGTAGAGCATTTGCTGTTGTCTGGCTTGTATTGCTGATTTGCTGTAAATGTCGCCATGTTAGCACATTCCTACCTCCCTCTATACCAGGCCTACAAATAATTATAGGGGTATGATCCCATGCGGCTCATATGATTTGGTCGCAAGGCCGAGGCCCTGCCAAGGAGTACAGTACTAAAACCGTTTTTTTAGTACTCCCTGGATTACAGTAGAGTCGCGCCCCCAAGAACGTTGTTTCCAAGGGGCCGGGGTTAGCCTGGGACGTTCTTATTTTGTTGGGCAATCTGGCTGCGTTCTTATAGCACATTCTTAGAAACAATCCGTACTGGATCTTATGTATCCCACAAGATGCCAGAAAACCAACACCGCCGTTCTTAGCTTTAGGCTATGGTGTTCTTAGAATTTCAGGCTGGACGTTCTTGGGCTCCACGTTCTTCAGCGCGCGACTCTACTGTACAGTTTTTGTAGACTGAGGTCCGTGAGGAAGTCGTATGCATACACACAGGAGTATATCCCCCCGGCCCCCGGGTCACAGTTTACTCTTGATACACACATACGTGCACACATACCACACACCACTAACACACGCACACACAGACACACACACACACCTCACACACACACACACACACACACACTTGCACGGTGCTTGTACTTGTTGCTCACTGCCAAAACTGGTCACGTGGGTCTCCCCGGGAGAGAGACTCAAAAGGAATCTTGGAAAGATGACTCAATTGGCTATTGAACCGCTCAACGGCCGACACCCGGACCCCCTGAATTGAAATCCCCAAAACTCTGGGTGGACTTGAAAATGATCCCACTTATTGGCTCACCACATGTGTGCACACCTCAGTCAGTGCCCTTGTATTTTCCTGTTTTTGTTTTGTTTTGGTGTTTTTCCGTTTTTTTTCACACATACAATAATTTATTATTGTTTTCATTTTTTGGTGTTGTGTTCTAATCATTCGCCATGCCACTGTCAATTGTATTATTCTGTTTGCCCGTAAAAGAGGCCTTTACCTCAGTAAGTGGGTGAGGGCAAGGTGCAGAAAATGGATTGACGGCATCAGGGTATCCGTCCCGCTGCCCGGGATCCAACTGCGCGCACACGCGCACAGTCAGTGACACACACACACACACCTCAGACCTCATACCTGCCCATCGCGGAAGCGATGATAGCGAACAGCTATAATTATATTGTTAGACATAGCAACTCAACTACATGACTTGTACATTGGAAAGGCTTCCTGTCTGAAGCCTTTCCATACTGGTACTCGATGTTCCAGTTTTGTGACACGAGAATGGCACGAGAATTAGTGTACCGCTGAGTGTACCGCTATACACGTGGTCGACACTTAGTCGACACGTTGTTGATACTTTTTTGACACGTGACCCCGTCAACGGTCTGCTTTGTGCCAATGCCACTCGGTAAACGCCGATGTCGCGTACGACAAAGACGACTATCCCGTCTACGCGAAATAGTTGAGAATTGTATGACGTGGACCTGACGGCAAGGACAACTGCGAGGAGGCCCCTTTCGGTACCCCTGACGGGAAGGAGAACTGCAGAAGTCGACGAAGTCGAACGAGGAAGCCCCTTTTCCGTCCCATACTGCAAAGTGCCATTGATGGATACCTTTTGCACCTGGAACGACCCCTTAAACGCTGTCGCGGCGACTATCCCGTACGCGAAATAGTTGAGAACTGCTGACGTGGACCTTTTGCACCTGGAACGGCCCCGTAAACGCTGTCGTGTCGGCGGAGTGAATGTGCAGGGTACTAGGATGAAAAGAATTGCTGCAAAGACGTCCCCTCTACTAGGCTCTAGGCCTTTGCCTTTGGAGACATCGTCGGCGAACTGAATGCGCAGGGCGAAAAGAATTGCTGCAAAGACGTCCGCTCTAGGCCTTTGGAGACATCGTGGGAACTCCTTCCGGTACTAGACAAACTGCTGACGTGGCCGTGGACATGTACATGGAGAGTCATGGTGGGACTTCATGTACATGGATACATGGTGGGAATTCCTTCCGGCACCCCCGTACCGCAAAGCCAACGGTGGGGAAGGAGAAGTGCAGACGTGCAGGAAGACGAACGAGGAGGAACCAGGACGAGCGAGCAATGGCAGGACTAGCTGGACCGTAAGTAATAGCTGAATTGTGCATGACAACTTGACATCCATGCGGCACTCGCCACTTGCCACTGCATATTTCTTGTCCACTAACAATGTCTCTCCTCTGCCCCCTGTGTGTCCACGGCCCTGTTGCTGAATTGGCCCGATGAATCGAATGTCTTCCGCAACTGGAACGGCCCGTGAACGCTGTCGCGTCGGCGACTGAATGCGCAGGAGGGAAAATATTGCTGCGAAGACGTCTCCTCTAGACGACGGTAAGGCACCCCATTGATATGTTGCCAGTGTGTGCCAGGGTATCGCGCGATGGTGAATGAGGAATGATGAAGGGTACGGTGGGACTGTAGACCTGTTACCTTCTACTAACACGTTATCAGGTAGAGAGTGTCTTGTAGTCACGTTATCAAGTCGAGAGCGTATTGTAGTCACTCTCTCTATTCCTGTACTTCATTACGGTTTAAGGTGAACGTATAACTTCTCAAAAAAAATTTTAAATTTTAAAATGGTCTACAGTCGTGTCGGAAGGGTACGGTGGGACTGTAGACAATAGACATGTTACGTTCTAACACGTTATCAGGTGGAGAGTGTCTTGTACTCACGTTATCACTATATCAGGTCGAGAGCGTATTGTAGTCACTCTCTCTATTCCTGTACTTCATTACGTTTTTGGTGTACGTATAACTTTTCCAAAAAATTTAATGGTTCACGTCTTCAGATAGAGAGCGTATTGCACCCAGTGTCTAGTCTCTGTAGTGCATTGAGATTTTGTTGATCGAACATGAAATGGATACACAGACAAAGCCAGGCCAAGTACATGGCGAGATGTCGCCAGAAGAACGTCTTCAGGTAGAGAGCGTATTGCACCCACTGTCTAGTCGATTTTGTGGATCGCACATGAAATGGATACACAGACAAAGCAGGCCAAGTACATGAAAGAGTGGACGATGTGCAGATCGACACGGCCTGCGGGTACTTCATTAAAGTTACCCGTGACATAACTAGGATAAAAGTTAATCACTGCAAAAACATTGCCAAGTATGTGAGCACTTTGGAGAAGAGTGCACGGGCGACGTTGACAAAAAATACCGCGGTGACTGTCACTATCATGACAGCAGGGCACATCGCACGCAGCATCGCAGATCGTGTCGAATTGCGCATCATAATATTGCAAAATTGCTCCTGTGCATGCAAGTGGATTTCATTGCACTTCTCAGTTAGGGAAATGCTCGATTATGACAATTCTCCGTGTGAGTGCACTAGCCCTGAACAGACATGTAGGTGAACCGTTTGTGGTGTCTCATAGCCTACCTCACGACCTTCTGCTTTCTTTCTTCATCACTTGTATCTTGCAGGTATATCATCCCGTGACGACCACATTGAAGTCTGAATTTGAAGTGTGAAGATGCTTCAGCAACCACATCGTACTTTTCCATTGCTTTCATTGTGCTTCTACTGTGCATGTGTGTAACTTGTGGGGTAAACATGTGATGACATTGTATGCTGGCGACACGGTCAGATGTTCATGCGTCTAACGTACACCTGCATGTTATGCATTGAAAAGGGTTTGCCACCTGCGATCCTGGGACGAGTATCAGGTCCGCTTTGTCCTGTGTGGGCTGTATCAGATTGCTGTTCACTTCTCTATCTGTTGGATATGTGACTTTCTGCAAGTTTCTGGTGTATGATGGCCACGTCCTTGCTTGTCACTTTGTATGATATTGCATTCTGTATCCGCTGCTTCCATGGCATGGTCTGCAAACTGCAATCCTTGGGCAAATGTCATGTTTGCTATGTTGTGCTTTGGCCGTCAGCTTGTCTACACGCTGTAGTTGAATTATTTTTGTTTCACAACTGACTTCCTCAAGTACGGTGGCCACTGCTTTGCATGGCATTATACATGAAGAATTTCCTGTTTGTGTCGTGTGCATGTGCGTATGTGTGCGTGGCCACGTGTGTGTGCCGTGTGCATACACATGTTTGTGTATCTGTGTGCGGGGTAGCGAGGCGGGGAGGGCTGGTATCATCATATATATCAGTGTGTTATTGCAGTCGCATGGCTACATACAGTACATCGCGCGCGTGGTCATCATGTTTACCTTCGGGGTTGGGGTGGGGAGGGAACGGAAAAAGAGCTGAAATTATCCATATAAAAATCGCTCTGTGAGCGGTTCTGAAAAACCTTTACTGGTACTGCCCCGTCGTAAAAGTAAGAAATTAGAACTGGCCCATTGTCCCCCCAAATGCGAACTGATCCACCTAAATCGCGAATGACGGGACCCGAACGCACCAGTAGCACGAGGTTCCTACCTGTGGACGCAGATGGGGACGTTGGTCCGGACCATAGGCCATGTACTGTACTAGCGGTAGGCTTCCCTATCAAAATAATAAATTCTACTGCTACTACTGGTGTTACCCTATGATAATTGCCGTGATCCTGTGCCCTCCCGACCTCGTGCTACTGGTGCGTTCGGGTCCCGTCATTCGCGATTTAGGTGGATCAGTTCGCATTTGGGGGGACAATGGGCCAGTTCTAATTTCTTACTTTTACGACGGGGCAGTACCAGTAAAGGTTTTTCAGAACCGCTCACAGAGCGATTTTTATATGGATATGTACTTGTGCTGGGATTACACCTTTCAACAGCACACACGTACACACACACTACCCGATGGTGGTATTTTTACTACTCCGATCCCAGATCAGACAGTAACCATGGCATGGAGAACATGGCGTCGTTTTCGTTCCAAAATATTTCAGCTGCGCGCTGCACGTGCTTTTTTTTTACAGATTCATGATTTTTGTAGTTTCATGATATCGCATCAGCTTTTCAATATCGATACGTCATGTACTGCAGTTGGATTTTACAATCATTATTATTTTTTAGGTTGATTGTTTTTCAGGCCAAGTGAATGTTTCCATCTTCTTTGTCGTGGACCTGATCAATATTCTAGCAGTAAAAACTTCAAACAGTATTTTCTGGGTCGGACTAAGGAAGGAATCATTGATGTCTGCCGACCTGAGCTGGGCTGCTGGCGGCAGTGGTGATGAAGAGGATGATGTCACTCGCGATAGCACGAGAAAACTTGTTCATTCTGCAAACCAGAAGGCCAAGAGGAAGAAGTCGTCGGGTGGCTTTCAATCTATGGGTGAGCTAGTTTGGGGAAATGGAGTTCAGAGTGACACTGCTGAGAGTCAAGTTTCACTCTCATTATAATCTATCTCAGGTTTGTTCCCCTTCAAGAAATTGTACACATTGTCACTACAGTACTGGCTATTGTAAAACGTGTCCTGGCCGTACACGCACGTTTGGTAGAGTGCAGTTGATGTACAGGAAAGTGTAGTGATAGTCACACAGGGGTTGTGCACTTCAGAATTGGTCATACAGTGTATTTGTACTGAAGGACTACATTGCTGGTGGCAGAAGACACACTGTAGTGACTGTACAATGCCAGCCTGAGCCATGCATACACACATACACGCACCACTAACACATACAAACACACCTCAGACCTCAGACATGCCCATCGCGGGAGCGATGATAGCGAACAGCTATGTTAGACATAGCAACTTGTGCTGGGATTACACCATTCAACAGCTTGCAAGGCTGATGAATTAACCGCCACTATACAAACACACACACACACATACATGCACACATACCACACACCACTAACACATGCAAACACACACGCACACATGCAAACGCACGCGCGCACACACACACACACACACACACACACCTCAGACCTGCCCATCGCGGAAGCGATGATAGCTTGTGCTGCACACACACACACACACACACACATGCAAACGCACACACACACACACACCTTGACCTTGACCTTGATCTTGCCCATTGCGTACGCAATGATAGCGAATGTCGGAAAGTTCAAGTGAGGACACGACACACCTTGACCTTGACCTTGATCTTGCCCATTGCGTACGCAATGATAGCGAATGTCGGAAAGTTCAAGTGAGAACACGAGCGCACGACACACACACACACACACACACACACACACACACACACACACACACACACACACACACAGGACCACTTGATGCAGGATCTGGCAGATATGTTAGGCTTGTGTAGCATGAATGGATGTCCCATCATTGTAGTCTTGTGTGTTATGATGTTCTGTTGGTCAAGTTCAGCAGTACTAAAGCAACAAAATCTTTCTTGTACTCTCAGGTTCTACGCTCAGTACCAACAGATTCTGACAAATCACTCCGGTTTGGCACTGTGTTCAATGTGAAAATGCAGTCATAAGGAATACTGTGTTGTGTTGCCTGGCGAGCCAACCCTGAGGGATGTGTCGGAATATGTTGGCATTGATTAGTATACTGTGGGAAGGGCTAGCTCCCCGGGTTCTTGGGATCCGATTTACTGCCGTGGTGTAAGCATCTCGTGTCCCATCTGGAACCAATGGCTACGACTGTATGGTGCACTTCTCTAGTCTAATGTTGTCATGACTGATGACAACACATTTCCGTGTGGTCATGTTGTGTAGGTTTGAGCTACAATGTGTTGAACGGTGTTTTGCGCAAGGGCTACCGTGTCCCTACTCCAATTCAACGAAAGGTAAGTTGGGTTTAGTTTTTTCTTCTTCTTGAGTCAACGTCTATGCATGTACCTCTGTGTCTTCCTCCTACTCAACGGCAGGCACTATTTCGGGACAGAACTCAATGCACATTTGTACAGAGCTGTTCAAAATTTGCTCCATTTGTGTGTGTGTGTGTGTGTGTGTCCCCCCCCCCCCCCCCCCCTCCGATTATTCTATGCACAGAATGCTTCTTTAGATATGTGCATCTTCTTTCTGATCTGCACATTACACTGCAAAATAGTACACATTGACTGTGGCGATTTCATTTCTCCTCTTGTCTTGTTTAATAGCGTAGTTCCTCGCACATGCGGAATGCATCTGATAATGGTCTGTCAGATTGAGTGTATTTTAAGTGCACATTGTTAGCATTCAGATATCCATTAGTTGAGGGAGTTTGCTAGCATTCCTGTCTGTATTCATGATAGTATTCTGCAAGAAAGCATTGCAGATTGATGCACAGTCCAAGCCCCCCGATATGGTAGCACACACCTGTGTATTTGACTGTCATTGTGCAGTATGTGCTGTGACACTTCGCACGCATCCATCTCCGAATGTTAATGAATTTATGGATGTTGTTGTCCCTGCTGTACATATAACTCTGTGTTGTCCCTGGTGTACCCATGACCCTCTCTCTCCCTCCCTCTCTCCCTCTCTCTCTCTCTCTCTCTCTCTCTCTCTCTCTCTCTCTCTCTCTCTCTCTCTCTCTCTCTCTCTCTCTCTCTCTCTCTCTCTCTCTCTCTCTCTCTCTCTCTCTCTCTCTCTCTCTCTCTCTCTCTCTCTCTCTCTCTCTCTCTCTCTCCTCTAGACTATGCCTCTGATTGTGGATGGGCATGATGTCGTCGCCATGGCTAGAACTGGCTCAGGAAAGACGGCCGCTTTCCTGCTGCCGATGTTTGAGAAACTCCAGACTCACTCGGCCATGGTAAGTCCCACGCTGGTGCGATGCATAGCGTTTTGTTGCTGTGATCCACAATGCTGCTGGTATTTTCATACACTCACTTTGGATCCTGTGAGTGGGAGGGGAATGTATGTACATGGCTTGTTGAGAACCTTCATGAAATCTTTACGTGGAATGTACTTCAAAGTAGAGAAATCACTGTGGGAACAGATGTTTTGGTTCAAGTCTGTGTGTTCCACGGAGCCAAGATATTTGTGCAGAGAACAGGTTCTCTGCAAAGTGGCACAATCTGAAAGAAAGTGCACACAAATCGCTTGCCGAAGCAGTCATGCATCCATACTGAGATACTCAAGTCCTTGTTCAACATGAACAGTACGAACTGTTTGCAAGCACACCGGCACTGTACACAGATGTACCTTGAGCACACACTGCTCTTTGACTGCCTCTCTCTCTCTCTCTCTCTCTCTCTCTCTTCTCTCTCTCTCTCTCTCTCTCTCTCTCTCTCTCTCTCGCTCGCTCTCTCTCTCTCTCTCTCTCTCTCTCTCTCTCTCTCTCTCTCTCTCTCTCTCTCTCTCTCTCTCTCTCTCTCTCTCTCTCTCTCTCTCGCTCTCTCTCGCTCTCTCTCTCCTGCTGATATCAATGATTTGTTGTTGTGGGAGTGTGCTCATTGTCTATTTGTCATCGTCATTATGTTGTGTGTCATAACAGGTTGGCTGTCGTGGTCTAGTGATGAGCCCTACCAGAGAACTGGCTCTTCAAACTCTGAAGTTCTGCAAAGAGGTACGGACACCAACCATATCAACCATGCAGGGACTCCCTACACCCACTGTACAATCGGAATAGGGAGGTTGTGTGTGTGTGTGTGTGTGTGTGTGTGTTTGTGCGTGTGTGTGTGTGTGTGTGTGTGTGTGTGTATATGTGTGTGTGTAATAACTTGTCACTTGTGTGCACGTGCATGATCCATAGACAGACGCTCAGCTGTCACGAGTCACCGCTCATTGTTCACCCCTGGAAATTTGACCTGGTTTGCATTTATCTACCCAGCCGTCTTTGTAAAATGTCTTAGACTATGAGGATTATGGATGGCCTGAGAGGAGTTTGCATGTCCCCGGCATTGTGTAGTCAACATTGTCGTTATATGTGTTGTCCCTGTTGCTTAGCTTGGTCGTTTCACATCGCTGCGTGCTACCATAGTTCTGGGTGGTGACAGTCTGGAGGATCAGTTTGCTGCTATCCACAGCAATCCTGACATGTGAGTTGTGTTGTGCCAGGTTGTTTACCAGTACTGTCTTGACTGAATGGAGGTTAGGGCAGAGTAGCTGGTCACGGGTAATCCTTGATCCTTTGCGCGGTGACATTCCTACGGATGCTGACAACTGTGAAAAGTCAGTGAGACGGGCTCTCATCTGAGCAGTGACATTTATTTTGTTATTGTTGCCTTGATGATGGCATGGTATTCACTATTGGTTCAAAATTCAGTATGTATGTAGGTTGACTACTTCACCTGTAACAATTGTTACGACAGTAACTGTGTATGCTGCTGGACAATCTTCCTCTTGATCACTGTAGTGAACCTTCACAGATTCAGTCACAGTGACACAGGTGACATTCGACCCTCCAAGCAAGCTCTTGTAGTTAAATCATGGCTATGTGTTCTTCTCTACAACAATCAGAAGAGGATTAATGGAACCTTCCTGTTCTTCTCAACATTGTGTCTTGCAGCATAATTGCTACGCCCGGCCGTTTCCTCCACATTGTAGTGGAAATGGAGCTAAAGCTGTCGACCGTGGAGTATGTTGTTTTTGACGAGGCTGATCGGTAAGTGTGCAGAGATCAGGCCTGGGACACACAGAACCTCGGCACATGTTTGATTCAGAGCATTGTCTCAGAAACGCTCTAACCTGCAGTTACCACTGCTCTCTTTATCACATTACCAGGCTGTAACAAGTGCTTCAGCTGGTCTGGTTTGGGTTAGGCCACTTATTTCTGTGAAAGGGCGTATATAGAGTATTTGCTAACGTTGTTGGAAAACATTCACCAGGGGAGGTCTCCTAGATTCCTTTCAGCCGCACTACCCCCTCGCTATAGGCCTGCACCGTTCTTCTTCAATGTACTGTTCGCTTTGTCTTTACCGACGTCACTATTTGATGATGGTGGAAAAGATCCGTGCACTTTCAGTCTGTTGACAAGATCTTGGTTTTGTGACTGGTTGTGCACAGGCTGTTTGAGATGGGTTTTCAGGAGCAGCTTCGCGAGATCATCAGCCGCCTGCCAGAGAGCCGGTATGTAGCAGTACCACACACACGCTTCGATACTTGTGACAATGTATTATTTGATGGTTGTGTGAATCTAGCATGTGTATGTACTCCTTGAAAAACAATAAATACAAAAAACACAATACCAAGTCTATGTACATGTACTTGTATGTATGATTGACATCAAGTAAGTAAGTGTTCCACTTAACTACGGTGGTGGAGTTACTTTGAAACATCAGTGTGCGAACTGTTCAGCATCACATTTCTCTGCAGCTGGAACCTGCCCACAGCAATGTAATGAGCTCTTTTCTGTTTTGATAAATTATGACTCAGACTTTTGAGGAGGCATCCATGGCAGTGGAAAGCATAGTCCAAAATCAATTGCCCCAGCAGTGTCCTTCATGGAGGAGCATGCATCTCTCCGAGAGTGCTCTCAACAGCCTACTAGTTTGTCAGTCAGAGCTTCATTTCAGTGTCCCCAAATCTTATTCATGACTCCGGTGTTTCCCACCCATTTCTAATTCGCATCTAATTTGTGTCTGTGCTGGAACTGTGCGGATACCACTGTTATGGTCTTGGTGTGATATGTATACGGCATCATGAATTTCCCTGTGTCGCTCTGACTGATAATAGCTGACTATGCTTAGTTTTTGGTTTCCTTGTTTTCATCTGCTATTCCTCTCCCAGGCAAACACTTCTATTCTCTGCCACGCTTCCCAAGCAACTGTTGGAGTTTGCCAGAGCAGGTGAGATAACCTTTTTTTTCCTTCCCTGTTCATGGTAATGATGAGATGCAGCTCTTGGACTTGAATGAGCGGCGCTCCTAAAGTTCTAGGATTGTTTTTTTCTACTGTGCCTGTCTTCATGCACTGTGTTCAACGTTAGGGGTAATCAGGTCGGGTGAAGTTGCTCAATGATCTCGCATGCACTTATTTTAATATTAAATTTTTCTTTGCTTTTTTCTTTGCTATATTTGCATGGCTTCCGCCACACCAGGTCTGCGTAATCCTACTCTGATTCGACTGGATGTTGATACAAAGCTCAGTGACCAGCTGAAGGTTAGTTAAAATAAAGCACTTGTTTTTGTTTGTGGTGCTCCGATTGGGGAAAATCAGAAAACCCCTTTTTAATTATATTTTCCAACCCAACCAGGCGATCCGAATAATCGATCATCCGGATAGTTGACGTCCGAGTGATCGGCGTCCTCCTGTACTATTTTACTCAACTGGGAGGGTTTGCATGCATACATGTAACTGCTGTCTACGTGCATGTGTTTGTGCTTGTGTGCTGTGTGTTTAGACGGCGTACTACTATGTTCGCAATGAAGACAAGCCCGGTGAGTTCTTTAGCAGAGAGATATACTCATATAGAGAGAGAAAGGGGGGGGGGGGGGGGCTGCATTCACCATGATGATCTGAAGTCATTGTGGTGATCACAAGTGTGAGTGTTAGTCTTCTTCACCTTGCTATGCGTGAGCTAGTGACAGTGATCTAGTTTAATAGAAAATTACTGTCACTGCCTCTTAAAAGTGTTTGCTTTGGTGTGTTGGTTGAACACATGCCACCACAGTACAATATTGCCACTTGATGTGTATATATATATATGCAGTTGATCACAGTACAACAGTGCCACTTGATGTGTATGTTGAGTTCACACTCTCCACTATTCATACCTGTGGGTAGGTGTCTAATTGTCACACTTGTCGCGCTGATCATACGAGAGCTCTGGGTTTTGCAACCTCACTCCTCTAACTCAGTCATTGTGCTCATGAGCAAGGAATCAAAATGGTGATATTCTCTTGGCTGAAGTGTGTCACGTTTTGTGTAGCAGCTAACACCAAGTACTACTAATTTTTGCGGCATCAGGGTCCTTATTACTGCAGAGATTCAGTGCATTTCTTTTTGTTTGAGTGCGTGTGTCTGTCTGTGTCTGTGTGTTGCTTTGTAGCTGCACTCCTGTATTTGCTTCGCAGTGTGATCAAAGAGGACCAGCAGACCGTCGTGTTTGTCTCCACCAAGCATCATGTGGAGTACATCAGAGAGGTATGTGTGTGCTTTGCTGCTTAGTCAGTTAGTGCTTACTAGTACACGTCCATTGTCACTAGCCTGTGCGGCCACTGCTTGTACCACTGTGTGTGTATTGGCCATGGTTCTGGAGCCTCTCTCCACACTGCCGTTGAGTCATTCATGGTAAATGTGACCAGGGGAAGAGACTGTCAGTCCAGTCTTTGTCTCTGCACTGTACTGTACTGTACTGTACTGTTTTCCACCATAGAAGTACTGTATAGTACATGTACCACAGTTTCAGTTGTACTGCATGTGTGATGTCATCATTGCATCATTTCGTATGCCCAGTGCAGGAACGCTGTACTGGATAGATACCAAGTCTCGCTACGCTGTACATGCAGGTCAACCTTGTTTCTGTACAATCCATGCATGTCTGCCTTTGCTGCGTGCATCATTGCTGGCACACTATGCGTGTGATTTCAGGTCTTGGAGAAGGCTGAAATATCCTGTGCATGTGTCTACAGCTCCTTGGATCAAACAGGTAAATTTAGGCATGCAGGAGATAATCGCAGTTATCCACTGCACCATGATGTCCTGGCAAGACTACCTGCCGACTTGTGTGTGCGCATGTGCGTACACATGTGTGGGGGTGGGTGTCAGGGGGAGGGGGGGGGGGGGGGGCTTATTTTTTAGTCTACACGTAGGGTGGGGATATGATAATGGGGCTGTTGGCCTTTGGACAGTTCAATAGCCGAATGAGTTATCTTTCCGGGATTTCTTCTGAATGTCTCTCCCCTCTCCAAAGGGATACTCACATGACCAGTTTCTGGCAGTGAGGAAGTACGAGTGTGTGTATGGGTGTGCCCACAATCCCGTGTGCAGTCTCGGCCACTGGCTCTCTCATTTGTGATGGTGAATTTCACCGTCCATTACTATACGTTACTGTACAATGACAGTGTAGATGTATGTGTGTATTGTGTTGAACACGACTGCAGCCCGTAAGATCAACATCGCCAAGTTTGCTGCTAAGAAGAGCAGTGTGTTGGTGGTCACTGATGTTGCCGTAAGTGTGTGTGTGGGGGTGGGGTGGGGGTGTTCTCTTGCGACTGGTGTATACATGGTATGTGTGTGCTTGCGCACGCACCCACATGTGTGCATTTCATGTATTACGGCACTAACAGGATGGGGGGGGGGGGGGGGGGTGATAAGGTATTGCCTATTGAGTACATTCAAGGTGTATCCACAGGGATAAACAAGTACACACCTACCTCTAATAGACATGAGCCACCCTACCTTGTACTGAGAGGGCAGGAAATCAGACGAAGCAGTGGTGTGAGCCTTGTACGGAAGCGATGGGGTTGAGGTTCCTGAACTGCGCTACGTTTAGCATGTGCGTGAACTGTGTTTGCAATGCAATGAAGGTCTAGTGGTGATATATTTTTTTGCGATGTGTTCAATTTCTATGTGCCCTTGCTTCCTGGCCTTGGCTTCTCTGTATGGACAGCATCAACCCTGTACTTGTCTATGTTTCCTTTTCTGTTTCTTGTGTCAGGCGCGTGGTATTGACATTCCAATGTTGGACAATGTCATCAACTTTCATTTCCCGGCCATGTCCAAGCTGTTTGTCCATCGTGTTGGTATGTTCTAACTAGTACTTACAGTCAACTTCGCTAATAACGACTGCGGATTAAACGACAATTCGCGAATAACCACAGAATTTCCATGCCCAGATCAAAGTCCCATCTAACTGTAATACATACAATGAGACTTCGGGTATAAGGACACTTCGCGAATAACGACACTTTTCTGATGCCCCCAAGTGTCGTTATACGCAAAGTTGACTGTATACATGTAATTCATGAGTTTCCCAGTCTGAAGAACATGTTGAATGGTCGCGAGTGCTTGGATGACGACTACACCATAGCTTAGTGGTAGAGCATCGTCGGCCATAAGCGAGGGTCCCTGGTTCGAGTCCTGGTGGTGATAGTCAATGTTTTTCTTCAGACTTTCCCGCTTGCAACTTTCCCTGAAACGATTGAACATGTACTTCACTTGATACTGTGTTATGGGCCATTCACACTACGCCCAAAACGTGGAGTACGTGACGTTTTCGTCTGGATAGCCAAGACAACATGGAACGTGGCGGGAAAATCGTACCCCTGATACGAAAATGTGGACGACGTATCCAGACCCGTGGCATGACCATCATCATCCCCATGTTGCCTGGTGATTGCACTGAGCTACATGAAAGTCAGAGTTACGGTACAAACTAGCCGTGCTCCACTCCTGTACTGTCTAGTGCCATGCTCTCCCTTCTTTGTAGCATGCCAGCACTGCCAGCACACTGGATGCATCCTTCTGTGCAGCTGACTAATGTACAGGACGTTGAGCGTGTACATGTACATTGTAGGAGCAAACTTTCCATAATCTTCTCTTCTGTTGTCAGAAGTGACTGTATTTTTGATTCGCTTTCCTCTTGCGTACATCTCCTGTACACACTTAATGACAGTTGCCTCTAGTCTTCTTCTGCCCTGTATGTGTCTAATGTCAAGTGTCTCTGTTCTTCTTCTTCTCTGCTTCTGTACACGTGTGCTGTGTTTGTGTAACAGGTCGTGTTGCTAGAGCAGGTCGCAGTGGTGTTGCCTATTCCTTCCTGGCAGCCGACGAGATCCCTTACCTGCTGGACTTGCACTTGTTCCTGGGAAGAGGATTGAAAATGGCCACACAGGACACTCAGCGTGAGTAATGTGTGTGTGGGGGTATGTGCGTGTGTGTGTGTATGCGTGTGTGTGTGTATGCGTGTGTGTGGGTGTGCGTGTATGTGTGTGTGTATGTGTGTGTGTGTGTGTGTGCGTGCATATGTGTGTGCGTGCATATGTGTGTGTATGCGTGCATGTGTGTGTATGCGTGCATGTGTGTGTATGCGTGTTACTATTCCGCACGGTACTGTTGAGCGATAAACTAGTTTGAGTGATAGTACGTCCTGTCTGGGTTCGCACCAGTTCTATAAGGCTATGCAGTAGTCATGTAGTCTAACATGTTATGAGTTAACAGATCTGGTGTACATGTGTGCAATTGCATTGCGTTGTGTACGGGAGTGTGTGCAATGGAGGCTCTGGGGCAGGGGGTGAGTTATGTAGTGTTAACGTAGGATGGTGATAGGTGGTTTGCTGCTCACTACACCACTTGCGTATGTTGAGCATGCAGTGTTTGACCTGTCTGCCTCACCTGTGCCTACAGCATCAAGTATCATGGATGCATCCAGTGATGGCTACTTGGGGGGTTTCCCCACTGCTCTGCTGGAAGAAGAGTGTGATCTGTTGGCTGCTGCAGTGCGCCAGTCTGATGATCTGGTGAGAGCATAAGAAGACACACTGTCTGTATTGTGTGCATGTACTGAGCATGCACAGTGTCTGTATTCTGCATGAACTGAGAAGCTGGAGCATACCGGTATGCATTCTGCATGAACTGAGTATGTACAGTGTCCGTGTTGTACACGAACTGAGCAGAGCTGAACATTTTGGAAATTCAGAGCCCAAGTCAGTGCATTTTTTGATTCACGGCGTACTTGGGGCAAAGAGTGGTACGGTGAATACCGTAGTGACCGTAGCGTGTCCGACGCCCCTGCTCTGTACTGTGTACAGTGTGTAATGTGCAGTGTATTGGCCATGTACAGTGTAGTGTAGTGTTTGTCTAACTGTCCCTTTCATGATGCGCCTGCTGGGTGTGCTTTCTGTGTGGTGTTATGTGTCAATGAATCACAGGGTTGTTTTCTATATCTGTTCCTGGTCTCTTGCTCTTGGTAATGTTTGGTTGATCAACTTTACCGTGTATGCTACTACATTTGTTGCTTTGTTCCAGTCTTCAGCAGCTCAAGTGGCTGACAACGGCTATAGGCAGTACGCGCGCTCCCGACCTGCACCGTCGGAGGAGTCCATCAAGCGCTGGAAAGAACTGTCTCTGTCGACCATATCTTCGCATCCTTGGTTTGGAACACAGCTGAACAAGAGTGAAGTTGGTCGTCTGGATCTTCTGGCACAGATGAAGAAGTTCAAGCCGCCGTCAACCATTTTCGAAATTAACGCCACTGCGAAAACATCGGCCTTCAAAATGATGCAGGAGAAGAGAGGCTTCCACGACAAAGTCATTTCTTCCAAGAAGAGGAAAGCGGAGCTGGAGGAGCAAGCGTCTGCGGCGGCCAGCAAAGCCGATGACTTTGAGGAAAGCATGCCGCTGGCACCTGTTGCTACTCATGGCGAAGCATCTAGTCAAGATGTTATGTCTACACAGGAAGATGTAGATGTAAGTGTGGTGTGTATGTGTTTGTCTGTGGCTCTGTGCATGTGTGTGTGCGTGTGGGTGTGTGTGTGGTGTGTGCGTTCTCCCGGGAGACCTATGTGACCAGTTTTGGCAGCAAGCAAGTGCAAGTACAAGCGTGTGTGTATGTGTGTGCGTTCATGCACGTGTGTGTACGTGCCTGTGTACTTTGACTATTGCACGGTGTGGTTGCCTGCACATACGAACCATCTAGCTTCTGTTTTCGACAAGAGCAATGCACTAAGAGCAAGGCATGGGTCACACCATGGTGTAGTGACCTAGTGCCTGGTGTTGATTGCCTGCATGTGTAGACTAGTACATGACGTGATTGCAAAATAATGTACCTGGCATGTACAGTCCTGCTTAGTTAATGAAATCCAGTCGCGGCACTCAAGTTTGCGCCTTGCACCATTTCGAAGCCCAGTGTCCGCAGGTCTAGGGATGTGCAACGCCCGGTGCGTACATGAGTACAATGAGTCCTGACTGGATTTCATTGAGCACGTACATGTAATCAAAGAACGGTTGCCACTGTTCACTGAGTACTCATAGCTGGTAGTGGTAGCAGTGTCCTTACTGGTACAGTGGAGAGCCAAGTTTCACTCAACAAAGTCAACTATCAGGCAACAATCCACCATGAAACTCTGGCTTACTACCAATAAGTAGTAACTTCATTATGGTGTGGTTTACTTCTCTCTGGTAACGACTGCACTACAGTGGTCTGGCACCCTGGATTTCTGGCAGGATTTCTCAAGAGAAAGGTTTCTTTCCAGTGTAATGTACCACATATATCAGCATTCACAGTCCGATTGCAGCGAGACAGAATTGTATACGTTGAGCCCATTTTTACAGCACACATGCACAAATACAATGATGTAATCGGAACTGGCCCAGGGCGCCAGCTTTGCACTTCGGGTCGGATTTCAGTGAGCGCAACTGTATGTAGACAACTGTGGACGGGACTAGAACTCAAAGCCCTTGCTTCCACTTCTACAATAACGTTAGGAATGTTCGCCACTGTTATTCTTGGCATCACAATATGTGTGGATGTTTGTTAGTCCTGCACCCTCTGTAATCTGGTACATTCTGGGTATATAACGGCTGTGTGTGTGTGTGTGTCTGTGCTGGTGTGTATATGTGTGTGTGTTCCAGAGAGTATTCTCCAAGATAATTGACCCGTCGAAGAAGAAAGTGCGCAAGCGTGACACTGAAAACTATGTCCAGTATCGGCCTGCTGATGAGCACACCGAGAAAGGGTTAGTCATTACGCCGTTGTGCTGTGCATGTACAGTTATGCCAAGAGAAATCTGACTTCATTTTTACATTCATCCAGAGAAACTGCCATTCTTGAAAAAATGTGCTGACAGTGTTCATTGACGTGACGCTGGATATTCCTCCATGTATCACATTCCTATCTTTTCTTTGTTTCAGGTTTTCTTTACAATCATCTGCACCGGGTCGTTTTGAACGCTCGGCTAACTCCGCAGTGATGGACATGGTGATGGATGACGATGAAACAGTGCAGAAAGCAAACAAGACAAGAAAGCGCTGGTACGTCCCGAGTGTGTGTGGGGGGGGGGGGGGGGGGGGGGGTGTTTTTGTTTGTTTGTATTCTTTATAGTGTTGAAACGATCTCACCGGATACTCGTTAGCTCGCTCGCCAGAAACTCGGCTCGTTTGTGCGGCCAGCTCGTTTGCACTAACGAACACCGTACACCGTACTCAGTACACATGGCAGTACATGTCGACCGGGGAGTCGTAAAATATTTTACGACTCCCTGGTCGATCGAGAGTCCAGTCCCACGCAAAGTGAAAATCACTCGCAGTTACAGTGACTGTATGCCTGCACGACACTTGAGTTGTTTCAGTTGTCGTTGCAGCTTTGGTGGACTCTACTGATGTCTTGTTCCGCATCTGCTGACCTGTCGCAGGATATGCTTCGGTCACCTCTCCATTCGAGTGAAAGTAAAATAGTTACGCTCAGTCGTTTGGAAGTTTTCTCCCGCAATGCAGCGAAGACCAGGACTACTTGCAATCTTTGCAAAACAGTCTATTCTTACAAAGGCTACTCGACGAAGGCGCTGAAAAGACACCTCGACACCAAACAGCAGTCCGAAGTGAAGCAGCAGCAACCCCAAATGCCGGCGGTGATAATTTGAACCAGCTGAAAAAAAATTATTCAATGGTTGGGGTGACAGTGGTATGTGTGGGGTACAACGGTTGTGCCGACATAGATGTACATACAGTAAAACTACCCGGATCCGGACGTCCCAAATCCGGGCACGTCCGTCTACCGGGCACCTTTCTGATCCATGTAGAGTCACAGGAAAGGGCTTTACAGCGAAAAACGGCCCCAAAACAGTCATACCGATTGGCATAAAGATCTTACTTGCATGCAGAAGTACAGGTAGGTTCTGAGTTACGGGCAAATCCTAGCTACGGGCAGTGCTCGGTCCCGATCTGCCCGTATCTGGCCAGTTTTACTGTACTACAGTCCATTTCAAAACTATAGACGCGGCGTACCTAGGCAAAACACCGTTATGCCAGCATCTATACCGCATAAAATCTGTGATCACTTTGTGCATAAATTTTTCCTAATTGGGCGTCTGTTATCCAATCGTTTCGAAACTATATGAGAGTGATTGTGGAGCGGACCTGAGCAATATTCCGAAAACTATTCTCAAAAGGTTCCAGCCAAATTTGAAATATTTCAAAAGCACTGCGCGTCTATAGTTTTGAAATGGACTGTAGTACACAGATAATCATGTACCCACCATCATTGCACATACACACCATCGGCACTAAATGCCGTATCGACTGGATACTGGGACCAGTACACTCTCAGCAGCATAACAAATATACCTGACTCTCAAACAAGCGTCAAAGTATCGAGCGAGTACTCGTCTACCTGATGCACTTGTTTCATCCCTAGAGAAAATAGACAATTTTGCACTGCTAATGTCTACAATGATTTCACAGGCGACATGTGTCTTGAATAGAGTTTTCCAATGTTGATCTGCTGCAGGGACCGTAAGCTGAAGAGATTTGTTGGTGACAGTGGTGAGGGTCCTAAAAAGATCCGAACGGAGAGTGGCAATATGATCCGAGCCTCGTTCAAGAGCAACATCTACTCGAGATGGGCACAGCGTCATCACGTGGATAAACATCTGGTCGGTGAATCCGAGCGTGCTGGTGGTGTCAAGGCCAAGCTACTGGGACGCAAAGGTACTGGCTTGGTACTGATAATGCACTGATGGCTGCTGCATTACAATGTAGTGCTGATGTTACTGTGCAGTAGCTGTACTTGTCAATAATGCGCACATTGTACAGCATAACTGCAGGCATATTTGAGTACAGATACTACTACTGTACAAGCAGAAATATTCGTCTGGAATTTAATTTCGTCTTTTTCGTCCATCGAGCTGTCGGACTAAATTAAATGCTGGACTAATATTAATTTGTCCAGCTTTTCAATACACTCTTATGATCCATGGACGAAATTTACAACCGGACGAACTCCCTTTCTTTGGAGTTGGACGAAATTATTGACCGACGAAATGTTCTGCTTATACAGTACTAACTGCCAGTGTACACACTGTGGGTCTCTCTGTCCTACTATACTGTGCACACACTAACTAGTAGCTACTACAGTTCTGGCTAGAGAAATCCGACCTCATGAATAGAGCAGTGGCGCACTCAACTGAGCAGTGTGATGCTAGGGTCGTGTAGGCCCCGGCGGCTCCATTATATCCATGAGGAGGTGGCTTTTCTCTGGCCAGGACTGTAGTAACTGCCAGTGTACAACTGTGGTGGGTCTTCCTGTTCCACTGTTCCCTCATGCTGACATGGGAAATGGTGATGTTTATGGATTTTTGAGTGAACCAGTCAACAAGTCTTCAGTGCATCCGTGTGACTTTTCCCATCCTGTTTTTGTTTTCTCATGATGACGTTGTTTTGCCGCAGGTCGGAAAGGATATCATCAGAAGGGTGCTGAGGACTCTACAAGTCAAGGTACTGGTTTTTGTGATGCTGCCCTCCTCCCCCCTTCCATTTGCAACATTGGGATCCTATTCTCAGCACTCATACATCAACTGTGTTTTTTTGGTGAGCATGGTTGGCGAGAGAGCATTCAGTGGTGGGAGTGTAATAATTTTAGCCTGGACATTTGCCCGGTTTGGTTGCTGGATCCGCGGAGTAGCCCATGAACTGTGTGACCAATCAATGTCATTCCCGTGGGTGTGGTGTGTTGGTATGGTGTGTTGGTGTGGTGTGTGGTGTTTGTGTGTGTGGGGTGTGTGTGTGTGTGTTTGCTGTTCAAAGGTTCCGATGCTGGCCTTCGCTCTAATGAAACAATTCTGAAAGAGCGCAAGGTCCAAGCAAAGAAGCAAGCGCAGCAGCAGGGCAAACGTGGTGGCAGAGGTGGCAGTCGCGGTGGAAGTCGCGGTGGTGGTGGCAGTCGCGGTGGAGGAAGTCGCAGTGGATCTTCTCGTGGTGGTGGTTCGTCGTCACGTGGTGGATCCCGTGGTGGTTCGTCGTCACGTGGTGGATCCCGTGGTGGTTCGTCGTCACGTGGTGGATCCCGTGGTGGTTCGTCGTCACGTGGTGGATCCCGTGGTGGTTCGTCGTCACGTGGATCCCGTGGTGGCGGCGGCCGTGGTGGTGGCGGCGGCCGTGGTGGTGGCGGCGGCCGTGGTGGACGTGGCGGTGGCAGCAGAAGAGGAGGGAAGAGATGAGAAACAGTTTAGTCTGTCTAGACCGATTGGCTATGCGTGCTTTGCAACCTTTGTGTACATATTGTATAATATCACGACATGTGCTGCTTTGGACTGGATTGGTTTTGATCTTGCAACTAATGTACATTATTATACTACCAGTTATACCAGATCATGTACATCATATGTATATATAACCATAATTAGAAATTGGCCATGGCCATATTTAATAATCAAGGCATATCAATAAATCAATAAAATACCACTTAAATATTCCAACTGCACGTGTTATCTCCAGGGTAAGTGTGGGTCTGGTAGAAGAGAAGGAAAATACTTCCAAGAACAGCGGAGGTCTCTTCTCTATTAGTTGTCACCAGGCATGGTGGGAAGAAACAAGCTTGCTACAACCATTCTCTTTCAAGTCCTGAAAGAAATATCCACAAAATCGAAGCAAGAAGCATACGCATATTATCTAGAGTATATAATGGGCTGGAAACGTACAACTGCGACACTGCACCACTTGATGTGAGTTTTTGCCGTCGGCGTACCCCATAGAAAGGGTATCAGGCGCGCGCGCACCCATGCACGTGGCACGCATACCATGCATGCCATGCACGTGCGCTCATGCACAGCAACAAATGTATCATGGACAAGAAAACCAGTGCCAACTCCGCAGCCGCTTCAAAAGACAGAACCACTTATAAATAGCTATAGCACGTACACAAAGATGACCCCAAACAGTTCTGATTACAAGAGGGAACACCCACATGAATAAGCAAGAAGAGAAGGAGACTGATTCCCTATTGAACACTGTGTTTACATGAGAATTTTCAACTCGGTTTAAGTCTGCGATGGAAAAAGTACATGTAGGTGGGTGTTTACATGAAGAATCATTGATTGAAGACAGTTGACCCGGGTCAAATACTGATATGCCGCCAAAAGTCCACTTCTAGAGTCCTGTATCGTCACGTGAATACTTTCGCGCGAAATTTGCCTGTGCAGTGCTGTTCAAACCTGGCGCGAAATACGCGCAAAAGTATGATACAGGCCTCATTAATAGAGAGGTTCTGGAGTACGATTTTTCGTGACAAAATCCATAGAGGCGCTACGGACTTTTCATACGTCGTTTTTGAGCAGTGAAATGTTCCGGAGTATGGAGCTTACATGTATGTGTTTGCCGTCATTGCCTAGGTTACGATCACGTCATATTCCCGCGATATACCTTTTTATTTTGAAAATTTGTACCAAAATCGAAACTTCCCGCGGAAAATCGATGCTTCTCGTACCAAATTTGTACGCGAAATCTTTCTGCACTCGATGACGCAAAATCTCCATACGAAACAGGGTTCGTATGAAAGCCAGTCCACACGGATTCTCCATGCCGAAAAACCGTATGAAGCACGCCTCGAGAAAATCCGTAGCACCCATACGGATTTTGGCACGGAAATCGTACCTCGGAACCCCTCCAATACATAATCTATGGGACTTGAAGAATGTTATGTATTATTGGGGTTTATGTACTAAACGAAAGTCTGCAGGACTTGGTTGTGTACCAGAATTTTTCGCTTTTTTCTAGTGCTGAAACGAGTACGCCGAGTACTCGAGTACCCGCTCGTTGAGTAGTCGACTCGATATCAAAAAAGGACTCGATGCTCGATAAAAAAATAAAAAAATACTTGATAGCAACGTACACGTCCACCGATCCGGTACACGAACGCGTAGTGTCTACTCACCTACAAGTTTTTGTACACTACTGAGTACGAGTCTCTCATACTGTACTCGTCTACTGCACTGTCTGTAGCACCGGTACGTGTGCCTGTAGGCTGTACTAGACTGTAGCAAAAGTCGAACAGGAAGCGTATACGCGTGTGCGCTTGACAAGCGCATGTAGCTAGGCTCGGACCTATTTTGAATATTTCTCTCGATTTCTGTTTACTGACATACATGTATATGCGCATGATTGCTTATAGAGTACTCAATACTCGACTCGATAGTGACAGTACTCGCTCGATAGCTTATAGAGTACTCGTTTCAGCACTACTTTTTTCAACTCTTCTGAGTGTTTCTTGCTTCCGTGACTAGGGAGCGAAATATTCCTGATTCCCTCGATATAACATAAAAATGATGCTATAACGGTCACCGTCAGCGAAGATCATCTACAGTTTACATCATGCATGCCTGGCCGCGGGTAGACAACTTGACAGCGTACATTCTGCACTGTACCATCACGCAATAGCCTGGCCCAGCATAACAAAGACCTTGGCCCTCCATACTCTTAGAGTCGCACAGTGTTTCACATTTTTCTCATGTGACTGCATTTGCGTATAGCATTTTGTACAATCATGTACATGACATGTATGTATGCCTGCTTGATAGTTTACTGGGTATCATCGGATGATGCCAGTAAACTTCACAAGGTGAAGGACACACTGCAAGGAACACAAGGCCGTCACAGCCGGGGCGACTGGGGCGGCTGAGGCCGCCCCACCTTTTTGGGTTTTTTTTTGGAGCACACTGCAACAAAGCGCGATGATCGCAGCTCAGCGCAAGGCGTGGCAAATCCTTGTCCCCGACCGTGGTTTGTTGCAGAATCAAAAAATCTTTCATTGCAGTTACATGTACATGTACACTGAAATGGCACCAAAATGCCCGGAGATGCTTGCAATTGGCTTCAATTTTTGAATTTTTTTCTGCGGGAGGACCCCCGGACCCCCCCCCCCCCTTCCATGGCCGCCCCACCTCCAAAGTCGGTGTGACGGGCTTGGAACAGTGTTCCAGACTGCAACCAGAGGCCAGTTGGCAGGGTCCACGGTCTTGCAACCAAGTCACCTACACTGAATACTCGCCAAAAAAATCCGGCCAGTGCTGCACATGGTAGTCGACTGCGATGCATGCAGCATTGGCCGGATATTTTTTGGCAAATATTGTACGGGGATTATGCCCCTGGTTCAGACCCTCTGTACTCTATAGGGGCAGGGAGCATGGAGTGCCGGGGTTGTTTAACGGTTTGGGGTATACCGCACTCGCGCGATTAGAGCCCTCTCTTGAATAGTGCCCTAGTCTCCAAGAGCCAGTGAAAAATAAAGCCCCCTCTTGAATATTGAAAAAATAGTGCCCGCACTAATCGCGCGAGTACGGTACTCCATTTCGTCGAGTGTATCTGAGAGGTTATGCGCATATTTCTGTGCGGAATTTAAAATGGGCGCTACATATACAGCGTGAGTCAGCGGATTCTCTAATGAGCGCTAAAGTACACAGCGCGAGTCGCTAGTGCAAGTGCAGCGCTGTGCCGCGAGTCCATTCTTTGCTTTATGGACAACACCTTGATTTTGCTGGAAATCCCGTACCTAGATCTACCAACTTCTACCGGCTAAATCTACCAGCTTTTTCCTGGTAGAGCCGGTAGAGGAAAGTAGAATCTACCCTTTTGAGTAGAAAACGAACACTTCTACCGAAAGAAGTAGTTTCTACCCAAACCTGTAGATCAAAAACGAACGCCCCCTAAAATAGGACGAGGCCAAGCCAGAAAACTTTATTCAGACCAGGAAGCACGCAGAACTATTACTTTCTGACAAAAATAACAGAACAGAGCTAAGTGACGGACTAACAGTAACACAGCCATGGTTACTGGTAGAACACAAGCACACTTACTTCCGAACATGAAGAACGACAAAACGATGCAGAGTTTGTTGCAACCAGCGTCCGCGGAACTGAGGTGAGTGCTCCGGAGCTTAGCGGTTTCGAAATGTCGGACCGTCTGCCAGTGGAAATAATGCGGCTGGAAAGCGGAGGAAGCTGAAGAGCTCCTCGTGTGCTGGTGAAGTCAAGCGTTAGTCGGCCACTAGGCACTGACAGTAGCTTTCTGTTTTATCTCGAGCAAAACTGACAATGGCCACACGGTCAAGTCCACATAATAGTATTAATTAATACTTCAAAAGAACAAGCTGCAAATGCTGCATCAGTACATGGTGTCGGGTCAAGTAAACGCCTGAAGCTGTGAAAGCAAAGCGCTATTTTCTTGGTCCAGAAGGCGGGAGGACCATGTCAGCACGAACGATTAGGCGCTATTGTATACCATGGTATACGTAGTGCTACCTATAGTTTTCAGAAAACTGTGTAGTGTGACATGCAACTACTAGTACTCGTAATTACTTTGCAAGACGGTCGTGACTTGGTGCACCCAGCTCGTTCTCACCTCGCCCATGCGGACCGTCGTGCGCAGATCTACCGGTGCTGTTTGTAAGGACCAGGTAGATGTACAAGACCAAGTAAGTAGACTGGTCCTGCCTCATCGTTCATGAGTCGATATCAGGGAGTCGTAAATTTACGACTCCCTGGTCGATATCATACTTGTAAGATTTCCCTTGGAAGTGAGTGAAAGTATCGTCCATCATCCCTCCTGCACTTACGAGCACTTCCAACTGGAATAATTATTTTAAATCTTGATGTGGTATTGGTTGATGATTGTGTTACCCAGTTTCGGTCTCCAGTATTGTCGGTCTCCAGTATTGTCGGTCTCCAGTATTGTCGGTCTCCAGTATTGTCGGTCTCCAGTATTGTCGTCGGTCTCCAGTATTGTTGGACTCGGTGTCAGGCTATGGTAGAGAAATTCTTATTTTACTTCACAGTAAACTGAGACCAAGACGGGGCACATAAAATAATATCAGTTTCCTGGGCCGGTTTGCCAGTAAAAAGCAATGAAGCAGAGAGGCATGACAACTGAAAAGAAACCGGAATAAAAGAGCTGCAAAATGCACATAATACAAGTGGGGCACATGCAATAATCTTGATTCTTGAAACAGGATAAGCAGCTCAGCAACCTGAGTCAGGTCAAGTGACTTGGTCACCAAGGACAGCTGTTGACATAATATCTGGCAGGGACATGTACAAGCGCTTCGCTTACGTAGAAAATGTGAATACGATATAAACTGTGCTCTCTAAAACGGCACAGGACTACTGGAGTCTGGAGTTCAAAACATCTGTCCAGACAGATTCTATAAAATATTTTAAAAAAGACCAGGAAAAGGATGCGTTAGTCTGGTACAGGAGTAATAACAATCTGGTCTGGTACAGGAATGGCTAATATAAAACTAAGACCGCTAGAAGGGATGACTGCGAAAGACTGCACTGCTCGTCCACAGCCAGCACGGACGACAGGTCTAAGATTGGGGGGGGGGGGGGGGGGGGGGCATTGCGTGCATCAAGTAAATAGAATAAGGGAGGCAAAAGCCCACAGCGTGAGACCAAAAGAGGAATTCCATTGGCGGGTCGTGGCAGTGAGTAGAATGGACGCTTTCAGCGGGGTTATGAGCTGATGGATCAGCTTTGCCACACAACAGAACATAAGAATAAGAGGAGTACAAGCAAATGAAGTACAATCATGTAAGCCTTTCCACAGCGGGTTACATACACACTTTGAAGTGGGTGAATCACAAGATGGAGCAATGGGATAACAAACCTAGGAAACACATCATGTGCACATGTACTGCTGACTCCTACCTGCTAGATAGTAAAAGTGGACGGAGATATCGCAAAGTGTAGGAATCATCGAAGTTAGCAGTGCGTACTGTCATATACGTATACCAGCAGCAAAGGAATTCTAGGAGAGCTCCCCAATGGGTGCGTATTCCAGCCAGAGACGATGCGTGAACTGGTACAGTCCATCAGTCACTGACACCTGCATGGATGACAGAGTACAATGCGCACACACAAACCAATGATGTCTGTGCTGTTCCCACCGGACAACTACAACAGTGACATGGCTTCTTGAGTGTGTATGTATGGTACCGCATTTTCCGGTGTGTTGGCCGCACTTAAAAACTCATTAAAAAAAACTCAAAAATCGCCCCTGTGGCCTAGACTCCGAATGCTGGATACGAATCGAACTGAGCTACAGCACCCCATGCACATAATGCATGTATGGTGTCATTCGACTACTTTTTCATGTACTGCAATCCATCATCATACTAGTGCAAAGCTTCCACACGTTGTCAGCTCTGAGTGAAGGGCAAACAATGTAACTTTTGTGGCACTTCAGTCGTGCTACTCAACTTTTTTTAACCATTGGCAATGTCTTGTATATACCAATGCCCATTAAGTAATAGTTAGGTTAAAAAAATATGAAAGTCTGACGTGCGGCTTATACACCGAATGTGAACAAAAATACGAATTTAATTTGGACCCAAAGGGGGGGGGGGCTTACACCCTGGTATGGCTCACCCCGGAAAGTACTGTATACATCAGGGAGTCTAAAACAAAACCTTTGGGTTTTTGGTACTGTACTCCCTGGTATACACACAGTGCTTGTCGGTGAAATCTGACAACTGGCGCACACCCTGGGCGCTGAGTCAAGTAACCCTTGACGCTCTGCCGTAAGAATGTGCCATGTCTATCAAGTGCATCAGCGTTGGCTAAAGCGTGGCAAGTTTTACCTGGCCGGATGGTAATGACGACAACTCTCATCCTACTGACAGTACTGCAGTGTCTGCGCTACCACCTCCACTACCACCACCACCACCTCCACCTCCTCCACTACCTCCACCACCTCCACCATCAACTTCCAGTCCGGGCCCTGGGGACCATTTGCACCGAAATGCTGGTCATTCTGCCTGACATCAAGACTGAGAGATGTTAGGCAAAGTAAACATGATAGCAGCATTGTTTGTATGCTATATTAACCATAAGAGTTAGCGGCTATGTGACCTGAGTATGTGTGCACTTGCACTTTCCCTGTGCTGTTTTACAGTCCTTGTTGTCCTTGTTGTCTTCATTTTTTCATTTCTTTTCAAAGAAATTCTCACTATAAACCTGAGCTCTCAGCTGAGTGCTCGGATAGTCTGGCTTGATCGTAACCTATACGGCCACACATGCACACACTGGGTGGGTACTGCGTACACGCTACATACCTTGTACGGCGTTGGGTTGAGCGGACGCTGGTGATCAGCTCGCAGTGCGGCCATACCGGCCTTGGCAAACGTCCGTACTTCTTCCAAGGTAGGAAGGTCGGTGCATACCTTCAGGCAAGTAAATCAGGGTTTCAAGATACAACAGGAAACCATACAGCTAGTAAGCAAGTTGTAGGAGAGACAGAGAATTGTCAGAAGAAACATTGAAGTTCGAACTCAGAAGGCAAGTTAGAGACACATGATACACGGCACACTCAACTGAGAAAGCTGAAGCTTTCATTTTTTGTGACATTATGTTCCGGACTGCTGCTGCATGTATTGTAGGTCTTACCTGTCCATTGTGTGTATTGTAGGTCTTACCTGTCCATTGCTCCAGTACATGTGATACAGACGCTCTACCCTGGACGGGTTGACATAGGCACGACGAGACTCCTAAAGGAACACCAGCACAGTAGAAGCAGTTCAATCATTCAGCCTGAAAACAAACTTACAAAACTCTCAATTCTCTTTCTCTCTCTCTCTCTCTCTCTCTCTCTCTCTCTCTCTCTCTCTCTCTCTCTCTCTCTCTCTCTCTCTCTCTCTCTCTCTCTCTCTCTCTCACACACACACACACGCACACACACGCACACACACACACACACACACACACACACACACACACCACTCCACACAGCTGTACCATTGTCTGCTCCAGAGCCGGGTCAGCGACCCGGTTGGGGGTACTTGGACCCGTTTGGAAAAAGAACACTGGGTCACCTTTGACCCGGGTGGGCATCTGTTATACACCAGGGTGTCCTAAAAAATATTTACAACTCCCTGATGTACATGCAGCAGCCGCATTTGAACGGACCCAGCTCTGACCCGGTTGCAAGGTTTGTACCCGGTACACGTGTACCCAGTTGGTTAGAAATCCTAGAGCAGACACTGCTGTACTAACCTGAAATGGATGTCTGCAGAGGACACGCTGTCCTACACACGGTGCTGGTTCATCAGCTAGAGTCATCAGGTCGAGGAGAGGACAGTCTGTCACGCACAGCACACAGGACGGTCAGCAGTGGTACTTGCATCACTGTACACGTACATTGTTCATGCAGTCGGACTATTTCACAACAGCTGCCAGTCAAGTATTGTCCCAAGCATACTAACTTACTACACCTACTGTATCCGACATGGTCGGTCGGAGCCGCACTTAGCGTAAGTCTGATCAGAACAATACCAAATCCCAGTAGAGATGTGTACAGTACAGGGCACACACACACACACACACACACACACACACACACACACACACACACACACACACACACACACACACACACACACACACACACACACACACACACACACACACACACACACACACACACACACACACACACACACACACACACACACACACACACACACACACACACACACACACACACACACACACACACACACACACACACACACACACACACACACACACACACACACACACACACACACACACACACACACACACACACACACACACACACACACACACACACACACACACACACACACACACACACACACACACACACACACACACACACACACACACACACACACACACACACACACACACACACACACACACACACACACACACACACACACACACACACACACACATACACACCTTGCCAAACGTGAATACAATGGAACAAACGCATCCCCACATTCACACCAGTCAGATTAAATTGTAGGAAACAAGGGATAGCGCACACACAGCCATGCTAACATAATCTCAGGTGCACACATTTTCACTCTTGCCAACCAAGTACCAGTATTTTCAGCAGAACACTATACCTTTTTAGTTTCTACCCATCGGGACTCCACCCAAGGTACAATGTACCGAAAACTAGTTGCCAATGGATAAAAGTGATCCAGGGGGGCTGGAAATAACACGCTACCGAAACTATGCAAGTGTGCTCTGTTTACCGTATTCATGCACTTGGTTTACATAGAGCAGCACAGACAGGCAGAGTGGCAGTACATGTACTCAATGGTACACTGGTCATGTGATCACTGACCAGCGTGTGTGTGCTAGTAGTCAAGCACCATTTTACTTTCGCCAGTGGCATGCTACATATACCAAGTAGAGGCCTGGGCAAGTACGTGTACATCTCCTCCATTAGCAACTGACCATCGCTGCCATACAGTCGATACGCAGGCTTCGAGCCAGGCAGTGTAACCTTGGCAACATCTTGACTCAGCTTCATACAGGGTTTGCCATTCAGCTCCACCAACTGCAGCATACATACAGTAACAGGTCCAAGACAACAATTACACCAGGTCATACGGTGAAAGTAAACGATGCACCTCTTGTACTGCTTCATTTCCAAATCCCGACCTTAAAACACTAACCCTCTGCTCCAACTACACTCCTACCCCAACCAACACAGCAACAGAAGCAGCTACAGAAAGCTTCTTCTTTTTTTGTAACTTTCCAGCCATTGGCCATCATCAGTGAACTGACTGTCTACACAAAAGATCAGGAACTCAAAATGGTCACTTTCGTCAGACTCCACTGAAACAGCAAAGCCAGCTGGGACTGCATTGACGTCATGAAAAGGGGCCACAGCATCTTAAAAGTGTACACAATGAATGCAAGTACAGATGCCCCCCCCCCCCCCCTCTCACGCACACCTACGTACGGAGTATAGTAAAGCCTGAGACTAACGACCAACCCTAGGCGCCAGAGAAAGCGGTTTTTAGTGGCAGGTGGTCCTTAGTTAGAGGTTTGCACTGCACAACCATAAATTATATGAATGTGAGACCGTCCGTGCCTGGCGAAGGGTCTGTAGTACCAGGCTGGTCGCTAGTCACGGTGGTCTTTAGTTACAGGTTTTACTGTAGACGCATATAAATACATATAGAATAGATGGACACATACGCTTAACAGGAGGAAACACGTACACACGCACACAGTGAGACTGACCTTGAAGACACAGCCAAGAGCAGGCTGCCTCTGACAAGTGACAAGGTGAGTACCAATACCAAATGCATCTATACAATGTCCCTGTAGAAGAGAGAGAGAGAGAGAGAGAGAGAGAGAGAGAGAGAGAGAGAGAGAGAGAGAGAGAGAGAGAGAGAGAGAGAGAGAGAGAGTGACAGAGAGAGAGAGAGAGAGAGAGAGAGAGAGAGAGAGAGAGAGAGAGAGAGAGAGAGAGAGAGTGACAGAGAGAGAGAGAGAGAGAGTGACAGAGAGAGAGAGTGTGTGTGTGTGTGAGAGAGAGAGAGAGAGAATATGTACACGAAAACACACATACATGGTGTAACCATGGTAACAACAATACCAATATTCTAAGCAGCTGCGCAGCTCGGAGTTTATTCCCATCATAATTTATTTACCAAAAGCACTCGACCTCGCGGCCGCATCACCTGACGTGTTTAGGAACACATCAAGCAAATACATAATTCGCATCGGTGGGCCACCACTTCGCCTATACCGGTATATCCTCAGTGTCGAATGCAGACCTCACAAGCGAGTCAGGGGAGAGGGGATAAGTCTCTCAACAAGGGGGCGTGAAAAGGCCCTATAGCCCCATAAACCGCATCCCTGTTACCCTCACGCCGAGCAAGTGAGTACCCAGTTCACCGTGGGTGTCGGCACAGTTCATTGCATGTAAAGTGGTGACCAACCAATCACACATTATACTCACACACTGTCACCTACTTGTGCATTGAGAGAATTCAGTGTATCCTCATTGATGTCATTGCTCGCAACGATGGTAACTTTCTCCAACCAGGGTACAGATAACCTACGTATACACACACATACACACACACACACACACACACACACACACACACACACACACACACACGCACACACACACACACATGCGCACACACACAATGACATGCGCACGCACACACACACACACACACACACACACACACAGAAGGAGATCAACAATTGCATAACACTGTCCAAATACCTGTACAATGTACAAGTACAGGCTATCGAGGATTCACCGGTGCTGACTGCTGACAGTCGGCAACACTTCAGGGGCAAGGTAGGGCTGGACAGGGCTGAGCAAGGCAGGGCTGGACAGGGCTGAGCAAGGCAGGGCTGAGCAAGGCAGGGCTGGGCAAGGCAGGGCTGGACAGGGCTGGACAGGGCTGAGCAAGGCAGGGCTGGACAGGGCAGGGCTTGAGACAGCATCTTAGAATGAATGATGACCCAAGGCATGATGGGTATTCCTGGTTAGACAGGCTAGGCAATACACCAATAGAATGATACTAGTACAGCTGTGCTCAAGTGCTCAAGTGCACAGTCTACAGTTCACACTGGCCTCATGGTGCAGCGTCCAGTGCTGCTATCCTACATGTATTCACAAAGACGAGTTGATCTGTCCACTACCTGTACAGTGGTGGCAAATGAAATCCAACCTCATGACTACTACTACAGTGCAGTATAAATCAGAGCAATATTCACTGCACAGGCCAGTGTGTGTAGTGCTAGCACTGCACAGGTCTGTGTGTGTAAAGATAGCACTGCACAGGTCAGTGTGTGTAGTGCTAGCACTGCACAGGTCTGTGTGTGTAAAGATAGCACTGCACAGGCCAGTGTGTGTAAAGATAGCAAGTACAGCTTCAGAGCTGTTCTGTTTACGAGTTTGGATTACATCTGCCACCAATGTACATTGTACATTGCATACAGGTATGCAAAGATACACGCATCAACGCTGTTAACCTACTTCTTGCTGACAAGCTGAAGGTTGCGACGGACTTCTTTGGACGAGTACGACAGATCACCAGAGTCCAGGCGAATACCCAGTGCAAGATAACCAAGGTGTCCAAGTGCCAGAGCTACACAGATGAAGTTAGGCAATCCACTCCTGTAGAATTAGTGAAAATACCCGTGGCAGGTCAAATAACAAAAACAAAAATAAAATTTCACGGTTCGCGTTAGACTCAGCTGGAAGCTGAGTTTTCCGCATCCGCAGGAACGCCACCACCCCCTAGGATCATGGAGAATTAACAGGCGACCAGGATTTCAAGAAAACGGCACCACTCACAGCACAGCTACAAGCTCTATTCCATATACAGCGACATAGGAAGGGTGCCCTGAAACGATGTGCAGAACTGAATAGCACTAATGCGGCTGTTCCAAGTAACCCGGGTACTAACCCGGGTACTAGTACTAGTACTAGTACCAAGAGTATACTAGTACTAGTACCAAGAGTATATAAGACCCCAAGAGTGTGGCGAAAACTCACATCACGTGTCCCAGGTACGTGTTGTACTACGTACAAACTAAGGTTAGCGTGTGCGCAATCCGAAACCCTGCCATGATTATGCTGGCGAGTTGCATGCGCGCAGTGAGTTTCTGCCAGCGAGTGCTTTTATTATTACTCCGCTGCTCGCTAGAAATGTGCTGGAAACGTACAACTGGGACATTACATCACGTGATATGAGTTTTCGTCGGCGAACCCCATAGAAAGGGTATCAGGAGTTGCACACTCTTGGGGGGGGGGGGGGGCTTATATACTCCTGCAAGTACTTGAAGTACAGTCATGTAGTTAGCTACAGCCGAAGCATGCAATGATTATGATCATAGTAACGTTGCTGTGAATCAGCACTTCCAGTATCACCAAGAGCACATAACCCTGCCCCCCCCCCCCCCCCAGAGTGTACAACGCCTGATCCAGCCCTGCATAGGGTCTAGGGTCTTGGTCGATCGTAGTCGGGTCTTCTGATGTCATGCATACGCTCCACAACAGCGGAAGGCAGGGCACCTTTTTTAGAGTCGAGAGTCCCCGTGTCATGACTGCACGGTAGTCATGAAGACATGAACTAGCTTTGCTGCATGTTTTTCGCCACACGAACCTGCAACCTGCAACCTGCATTGTAGCAGGGTGCTCTACTTGTTTCTTCTAGTCCTTAATTAATTTGGCATGAGTGAACTATGTAGCCCTACACGTGACCCGCTTTTCCTACTTCATTCATCATGGTACACATTTCATTCATCATGGTACACACTTCATTCATCATGGTACACATTTCGTGTATGCAAGCTTTGTCCCCGACTGCCATATCTGTTGGAAGTTCAAACTTTCGCTCCTTTCGGACGCCTGATGTCGTAATCTTTTACCGTGTTTTAGAGGAGAACATCGTTCTTCTTGGTCTTGCTTTTCAGTTAAGCTAGTTTGCTAGTTGCGTCTAGTTAGACCTTCTTAGAGTGTTATTTTCTAATGTCTTTCGATAATAGCACTTGATATGTAAGAAAGGGTTGACTCCCCACACCGGAGCTCGCGCTATTTCTCGTGTTCTCTGGATGGCAGTCATGAGTCGGTCAAGTGTCAAGTCAAGTCGGCGGAATAGCGCGAGCTCCGGTGTGGGGAGCGAACCCTTTCTTACAAATCATCGCTGAAGTCGCAATCACTATTTAGCACTTGATCTGCACATGTACTTTGTGAAGTATTAATAATCAGTAAGGGGCCGTCCGTAATTATCGAACGTTTTTCACCAAACGAATTATTTTAGTTTAGACCCAACCCCTCCCTCCCTCTCCCTCAGAACGTAAAAAAAGTTTGACATATGCATGCATAATACAACAAAAGTTGCAAGTGTGTAACTGCTCCTATGGGCATGCATATGTATCAATGTTTTCTGAAACGAAATTGGTCAACCCCCTCCCACCCCATAACGAAATTATTTCGTTTTGTGAAAAAAGTTCGATAATTATGGACGACCCCTAACAGTGTTAGTTCTCACGACGGAGACGAGGCACAGTGATTGCAGCCACGACTCCCTTGGAGTGCAGTATCGTATTTCCCCGTAAGTTAGTACGTACTAACTTTCGAACTTAGCAGCCACATGAGTACTAACTTTCGGGGGTGGTACTATCTTTCGGGGAGTACTTTTTTATCGGGGGTAAATGACACGCAGTGGGAAGCCTGCGAAACTCTAGTGTCATGTCTGTGCATATGATGTATGTACTGTACGGTGTCTGTACATGTAGGACAGGTACGAACTTACTATCTTTCGGGGGGAACTGTCTTTCGGGGTGATAACCTCGGCAGTGGAAAGTGTATTTTTTATAGGGGGGGGGGGGGTACTAAGTCATAGGGGAGAATTAACTTACGGGGAAATACGGTAGTATTTTAGACCTTTTTTGCCTCGATTTGTCCGTTCATGACACCCCGGGTCCGGGGTATTTTTGGTGAAAAAAAGTCGCGCTGGAATCAAACTGTACGGGTGCTACGGGGTTGCGATATTATGTGTACCGATCTCATGTGTTCGGGAAGATACGGTCCCGCGGCCAGGCCACCGCGGGTTGACTTTTGAGTACGGCCTCCTTTCTTGGCACATTGCTTTTTTTCTTGGTAGGTGCTTCTTCGGAAGTTCGGTTCTCCTGTTTTCGGTAATTAAATGAAGGTGTACTTTCAAACTTTGCTACTTTGATTGATGAATTTGATAAGTTACTTTCATTTTCGTTCATGATATCCCCTCCATCCTGATGGAGCCACAGGAAAAGCAGTCGTGCTGCGTGACTGCAGAGGATGTAACACGCTTCCCGGATCAGCTCGGACCATCGTTTGCCAGCCTGTCATGCCGACGTCTAGAAACCGTCGGTAGTAGCATTATGTGGACTAAAGCGTTACCTGCTTTAACGTAACCAAAAATGAAACTCCGGTTACTGTATGTTGTCTAGTAATTAAAGATAATGGAGATTTCAAACTTGAGTGTCTCTTTGGTGGAAGGACTGAGATTGGAAGTTGTAGTGGTGACCTGGCCTCCATATTTGGAATGGATGTTGCCATCATCTCCAACAAAGTTCTGCCCTGGGATTGCTGACCATGAGAGCCGCTTTGCGAATGTTCGCTTGCAGACAAAGCACTTACGAACTTGGACCTTTCCTATCCAGCGCCACGACTCCCACGGCTGTTCTTGGACCTTTCCTATCCAGCACCACGACTCCCACGGCTGTTCTTTCCTATCCAGCGCCACGACTCCCACGGCTGTTCTTTCCTATCCAGCGCCACAACTCCCACGGCTGTTCTTTCCTATCCAGCGCCACAACTCCCACGGCTGTTCCTTATGTTACATTTATTGTAGTAATATTTCACATAATATAACGAGACTTCCCAGAGTCTAGTGAGTAGTCGAATCATTGGTCTAATGTTAGCCACTTCATAATCTTTCCTCGTCTTGTGAAATACTATCCGTCTCCCAACTACTTGGTATCTCTGGAAGTGTGTGAATCTAACCTCCAAACCAATAAACCACCAGGAAATTAGACAAAACATGTACACGGTTGATCGGACAGTGTCCATGGCAACCAAGGCTAGGATCGGACAGTGTCCATGGCAACCAAGGCTAGGATCGGACAGTGTCCATGGCAACCAAGGCTTCCAACGTTGCCATATGCAGATCGTGTAAGGACCGTCCTTGAGTACAACTTGTCAGCTTGAACAACGTGCCAGTGGCCGCACTGAAGAGGACAAGCTGAAAAGAGTGCCACCATCTTCGAATGTGCCCGTGAAGTTCCTTTCACCGCACAGCCGCTCAGTTCGTGACAAAGACGTATACAACACCCAGCGTACCCTCAAGCGCCACCTCGGTCAGTATGATGCCTTTTGCCCCTAGCTCTACAGTGATGAGCAGTCGACTGAACTGGAGGAGGCGTGCAATATGATTTCCCAAGATCACCAAGTGGAGCTTGAGCCTGAAATGGAGAAGGCTGGCAATGCGGCAGATTCCGTTCGGTCAGTTTGGTCCAATGATCTCAATTCCCAGAAGGAATTTTATGATGACCAGCGCAGAAAAGCAACTGGACGCAAGATGAATCGTTGGAGCATGATAACACGCCGGACCGCTTTGGCTGTTTTCACCCGCAGTCCTGCGGTGTACGAGGCGCTGAAAAGTATTCGTATTCTTCAACTCCCAAGTATTCGCTCGCTCAAGCACTTCACCTGCGCCAACCAAGACAAGCCTGTCTGGTGTGAAGAGCACATGCATTTCCAACTCTCCAAGTATGAAAACCTTATGTATGTGATGGTGTAGGAGGACAGACAGATGCCTTTGAGAGACGGCATACTTGTCTTCGATGAAGTGAAGGCGGTGTCCAAAGTTCTCCAGAACTCCAAGAGCCAGGAAATTTACGGACTCTTGATGACCAGCGAAGACCTGTGTGGACTCCAGGACGTTTTCACCGACCCCAACTTGGATGGTACCGATCGGACCCAGTACGTGCTGCAGACTCTGTGGCGTGACATGTCTGCAAACTTAGACATAGTTGGTCCTTCTATACGTCCTACCAGTCCTAACGTACAACTGTGGCACTTGGGGCCTCACGCAATCTGCTCTCCAGAAGTTGGATGCCTTCCACCGACATCAGTTGCGGTCTCTCCTTGGCATCAAATGGCCACAGCGCATCTCCAATGAAGCTCTGTACCGGAGGTGCCAAATGGAGGAGATCAGCATCTTCGTACGCCGTGCCAGGTGGCGTCTATTTGGTCACATCTTGCGGCTGCCACCATCAACCCCCGCAGTATTGGCAATGGAAATCTTTTTCGCAAACAACAGCACCAGATGGCTTGGCCGGCTCACTCTTCCCAGCGTGCTGCATCAAGATCTGCAGAAAGCCGGGCAGGGTAGACTCCTGACTCTGGGAGATCTCCATTCGCTCCGGGCAACAGCTGCCTGTCGTAAGAGCTGGAAGGCTCTGTGTGAGGCAATATGTTCATCCACCTACAAGTAGTTACAAATCAATGTACTTGTAATCCCATATTAGCCCGACAGTGCAACGTCAAATCAACCGGATATATCTCCTTAATTTGCTCATCTCCCTATGTTTCTCTCTCTCTCTCTCTCTCTCTCTCTCTCTTTCTCTCTCCCTTTTTCTCTAAAAGCCGATCACGACAACAACCAAAATAATGTGTAACTCAATATCAACTGGAAATATAATATCATCACACATCTAAATACTATCTTATATTACCCGAATACCATAATATCATTATGATTATCAACTCCCACAGTATTTTACTCTTTTTTCCGTCCTTCATGTTGTTTTCTGCCTTGACATCAGCATCTTCCATATTTGATTTCTGTTTACCACCACTCAGCATAAGCGAAATCATCAATCATTTGATTGACGATGTCGCGAAAATGCAAATACCGTAAAGTACCGTTGATCCGCCCCCACGCCATGTCGCTTCCCAGCTGGGTTTTCGGCAGGGGGCGGGAATTAGATCAAGGCTGTCAAGTGCAGTACGATGTACAACAACGTAGATGATCAGACTCAATGTGCTGGATTGTGCACATTTTGATCCTGGATTGGCAAGTATTGTGTACAGCAGTGCATGCGTCGGTTCAACATCGTATTTCGTTGTATACGCCGAAGTCGCTTCACAAGGAGAAAATCGACAGGGGGCGGGAATTAGAGAGGGGGCGGATCAACGGTACTTTACGGCAATAATAATAATAATAATACGTCATCAAGAACCCTGGACACCAAGTTCACCATGACCCGTGTCCTGGATTTGCTCCGGCTTTTCCACAGTCATGGCTTCCATTGCAGTGCTTTAGTCTGTGATGGGGCAGCGACAAACATGTGTCTGTGAAGACCTTCATGGGTGCCACTGGTGCCTTGGACATGACTCCATGTCATCATGCATACATATTAAATGACATCATCATAATTTCACAGTACATACCTCATGACATCGTAGGTGTCAATCAGGGCCAGGAAAGCAGATGGGAATGCTAGTGCGTAGGATATAAATGCAGCCAACTCCCCATCATTGGTCTCTTCTTTGACCACACCGATATGCCGGCATACGTCAGCACGGAAATGCTGCACCAGGGTTAGGAATTCATCTACGATCAAACGGGGAAGGAAATCACAACGATAGAGATTGCAGTTGCCGAGCAGTCGTGAACTCTTTCTTGCACAGTGCATTGCAGAGCTAAATATTCAACAGGACACCAACAATATGCAGAGCTCACATGAATTTTATCTCATACAGTAAACAAGCGAATGCGGAAAAGTAAAACTGTGTTCACAACTGGCGTGCGGATGCGGTACGCTTGCAGTTCATGCGTGCCCAAATGCACCAGGGATGAATTCATCCTGTATCGTATCGCAGTTTGCGATGCAAAATCGATCTATTGCTACTCAAAAAGTCACCGTGACTAGCAGAAAACCGCGATACATACACTATCCATGCCTAGCCTGCGCTGTCAAGTACTTCGAAGTAACATGCATACAGCGCAGTGTACGTGATCCAGGTACTCTCAATCTGCGTGCACTTGTATGCTTCAGTCGTTTTTTTGCAGATGGGCTCTCAGGCATCACTCTCAAGAAGGACAATGTGGCAGGTAAACGCCCCACCTTCAAAGAAAAATGCTAATCAAGATCAAAGACTGGGACGCAATAGTGATTTTGTGTAGCAGAAACTGCTATGCAAAAATATGACAGTAAATTCATCCCTGCGCACGTTCAGGCTTTCACAAAAAATTCAAATTGCATACGCGCGCGCCTGATACACGCTGAAAATTTTAACATGTTGGAATTTCCATTTCGGCGCGTTTCCATACGCATGCCACCAAGAGTGCATTAACAAGAGTATGCAACTGTGGTTATTGGTCAGTGCGCAGCGCGCTGCCTTCATTACGTAACTTGCCTCCACCACGCTCTGAAAGCATGCATTCAAACCCACAATTTCTTGTATGAGCCCATCTGTTTTTGCTCGATTCGTTCCAGTGCCTACCGGATCTCTAAATTTTGGCACGTGAACTCCAGTTCCGTACGAAAGTTCATTTCAAACCAGAGGGAAAGTGCGGTGTTCGATTTCCGCAGTGAGCGAACTGCAGTTGAATGATGTAATGAAGGCAGCGCGCCGCGCATCTGGCCCATAGAAAAGAGATCACAGCTGCATACTCTTGTTTATGGACTCTTGATGCCGCCCCGAAAGCCAGCAAAATACGCACGAACGCATGGGTTCACGTGTACACGCGCCAGTTGTGAACACAGCCTAAGTCTGGCTCTCATGCAAGCTGTAAAATTATGATTTTTCTCAACAAGGTTTTAGCACACAGGTGTTATGCAAGTAAAGCAGGAACAGAGCAAAACTGACTAAAATACCAAAATGCTACGCGAGATATTACCAGTGTGTAAGAACTATAGTCATCTCTTCCACCACAATACATGTACATGTGCCGTCACTAAAGCCTAAGACGCTGCACATTAGCTTCAAAACTGCAGGGCCTAAGACCGTGGTGGCGGTGGTAGTGTGGTTAAAAGAGATGATACATTGGCTGCAGTGGAGCCTTCTATAGCATAAGAAAGGGTTGGAAAGAGTTAGATACAGGTCAAACCTAAAGAACAGGCCAGCAAATCAGCATGTTGAGTTCTATGATATCCACACCCTCCAGTGTGTTACATAGCATGATGCTCACACACTCCATCCAGTGTATGACAGACATACCTGTATCTAGGGATTGAGAAGAGGCCTCCAGTGATATCGCCGGTACTTTGCGAGGCTGACATGGCTGCAATACTCGACCAGCAGCCTCATCCAAATTGCGGAAAGATGAAACAAATGCGTGTGCGTGTGTTCCACTTGTCGGAATTCCAAACTGTTTTCCGGCCAGGACATTGCTTGTACTGTCAAACCCTGTTGCACGAATCAGAGAAAAGCGAAATACACAAAACACAGACTATGAAAGGGCTGTTTATCTTGAACATGAAAGGAGTCATTCCCATTTCTTACGGCAGAAAAAGGGTAGAAGTGTGTGTGTGTGTATGTGGTTTTTTTGTTTTTTGTTTTTTTTGCTGGGGCGAGGGTTCCGCGACGCGGTCGCCAGGGCAGTGTATTTTCTGTCGAGACCGTTGTCGTCCTCGTCTCTCCATTCGTGGTGGTGTAGCTGACCCCCGAATGGTTTCAAACTGTGAAGCTCGGAGTACAGTGGTGGCAGAGGCATGAGCTGTGGTTGCTGGAGATGGATGGTGATGAAGGGAGAAGAGTTACGCTGCCTGACGACGCGTGGGAAATTGTTTGATCCTGCAATTTCAGTTCGAGCGCGGTGGACTTCTAGACGATGTGTCCTCATGGCTGTTTTTCAACGCTTTGCCTATCGCTGATATCTCTGCGTGGAATGTTCTTCCAGTGGAGTCCAGGTGGGACTTCGGGTGCCCACACTCCATCACCTGGTTGATTGTTTCGGAACTGCAATAATACAGGTTCAAATAATTATTGTTTCCTTTTTGTGCGCATCTCTTGTCATCTCTCTTTTCTATACGTCGCACACCAGATGCACTACTATCGCTGTCTTTCTCCTGCTATCTCTCTCTGCTTGCTGTTTTTGTTTTTGTTGCCAGCGGCGTGACCCGTTAGGGTAGCTGTCAATACAGTACAGTGTGTATGTGTGTGTATGTGGTGTGTGTGTGTATTGTTTGTCGTCCCCTCGTATGAGGGGACATGGGACCGTTTTACGGCAATGTTCAGGACAGGACAGGACAGGACAAGACAGTGTATGTATTAACCATATAATAACATACCTCCAACATAACAATATTTGGATGCTGATAAACCCCCATCGGGTCCCTGTGCTCTTCGCAGTCCAAACTCCAGCAGCTTTGCCTCCGGACCGGCTGCAACGCGGAATCTCGAGGCATTCGTTGCAACCAGACTGTACATGGAAGAACAGATAATCATGCCATACTGCAGGTGACACAGTGAATGTGTTACCTACCATGACAACAGTCACAACACTGGCATGCTGGGTGAGTGAACACACACGCACGAGCGCGCGCGCGCGCGCACACACACACACACACACACACACACACACCTGGTCCTGGTATACACTGCCATGTAGGTCACGTGTTTCTCGTTGAGCGAGACGGAGACGAGAGGAGACATGAGCGTTGGTGACGGGATAAGTCGTTTCGGCTCTTGAAACGCCTCTGGCAATTCTGACATTGCAATTGGAACTTGTCCCTTTCATCAGCAGTTGGGCGCCTGGTGGATCGTTTGCAGTTGTGGATAGCAAAGCCCCGGATCGACTTACAGCAACGTTCACAAATGGGACAGTGAGCGGTACAGCACGGTTTCCGAATACATAGGCGCACAGGTGAAGAGCTTGTGGCATACACACACACACACACACACACACACACACACACACACACACACGACAAGACGGAACACATAATCACTGCCGTACGGTATACCTCGTAGCCATTCTGTAGAATTTTACTTCTTTGTCTCTGTCTCTGCCTCTGCCTCTCTCTGCTTCTGTCTATCTCTCTCTCTACATTATTCACCATCAATTATTATTATTCTGTATGTAACAACCAGTGATCCATGAACCAATGGTTCCTAGCCTCCATCACAGGCAAATGTAACACAAATGTAAGCATCGCAAGGTGGTCCACGTTGCTAAGCACAGCCAGGCTGGGTCCATACATGCAACACAATCCTCAAAGTATAGAGTGAAGCACAATACATGCACAAGCAATGACACACCTTGCAAAGTTTACCAGAGTGAGTAGTGTAGTCTCCAGTAACTGAACCACTGAACACAACACACAACATACACAAATTACAACACACACAGCACACCACACACCACACACAGCACAGGGGAAGAATTCTACTGTGTGACAGAGAGTGACACAAGTGGATTGGGACTGGGGCCCGGAAATAGGCTCCTACATGTATTGCAAGTGGAGTGGTTGGAAACGGTATGGTGCTGTGGACTGATCAGGTGGAGAATAGCACTCTATTGATCTTACTATTGCACTAGCAAGATGGTGGGAAATGAAGATCACAACTAGGTGGTGGTGGTGGTGGTGGTGACTTACATACTCATACAATTCACAATGCCTGTGACACTCACCCATTCACACACGGCACGCTCTCACAAGCACCCACACACGGTGACACCGCACACGCATCCATACACTGCACACTCTCACACACACTCACACACACCGCACGCTCACACGCACCAACACACACTGCACACTCGCTCAATCTGCTACAAGTAAAGTCTGGACTACAGGTATGCTATGGTGTATCCCTGACATGACATCACACATTACTAAAGAGTGATGTCATGTCAGGGATGACATCACACATTACTTAAAAGTGTGATGTCATGTCAGGGATGATATCACACATTACTAAAGTGTGATGTCATGTCAGGGATGATAAGCACAGTCACACCAACGAGAGCCAGCTAACCTGGTAGGGGACCGTGGATTCGAATCAAGGGTACGCGTGGAAACACCACACTGCCCTCGCGCACTGCATGCACGGTCACTTCGCTAGCATCCAGCTGTTCTAGATAGGCAAAGAACTCGGGATCAGTCTCAGCTGGCAAACACGTGCGTAGATAAGTAATATCTGAAAGCATACACACCAGTGCACACATAAAAATACAATACAATGTCATGCACACAAATAGTACTGTACACCGTTAGGATTACAGTCAGACCTCGCTTATCCGGTCCTCTTTTATCCGGATCCCTCGCCATCCGGAAGAAAATTGTTGGTTACCGATTTACAGCATTTGCCATGCATACACACGGTATGTGTGTTCGATTATCCGGTTCCCTCGCCTATCCGGATATTTTTGTAGGAAACGGATGTGTGCGGTTATGCGAGGTCTGACTGTAGTACTAGAAATAGAATGTTTCATTATAGGTACCCCGGGCCAACAAAAATGGCAGACATGTGTACAGATAAGGCACTGTCGGGCGCCGAAGAACTGGGGGGGGGGGGGGGGGGGGGGGGTCAGCCTCGCGGCCTAGGCCGTTCTTATTTTCATGTACAGCAGTTTATGCACAGTGGAGTCTCAACATATACATGTACAATGTATAATGGTATGCTGTGCTTGGTGAAATTCTAGCCTGTTCGTTCTTTCGGCGCTACATTCTTCGGCGGCCGGCATTACTGTAAGTGTATGGATATTTGGCACAGGCACATACATAGGCACATACATATTGTAGTATACAAGACGTAGCATTTGTATGCGTTAGAGTGCGCTAATTAACCAATTCTTGAACAGGCAGATGTACACAGACGTGATGGCTAGCACTACCGAGTTAATTGGTGGACTCCGTAATCCAACACATAATTTGTGCCCAATGTTTCCACTTTTTCCTCGATAAAATTCCCATGATTGTGATCTCATTTTTTTGCAGTACATGTACATTGTACTACGGGAACAAGACACACACCCGCTCTAGGGAATTACCCATGGGAATCAGATTTGACGACACCGTGTTGTCATGCATCCTGCGCACTCACTTAGCGCTACGGTGCTGCAGGTGGGGAAAACCCGAGAAAACAGCTCTATCATTGTGCTCCTGTATTCAGTGCGACCGGTCGACCAGGGGTTTAGGATAATTAATTGTTCAGATAAAAAGCACACAACCGTATGCTTGCACACTGTGGGGAGTGTTCAGTCAGCAATTATTATTTGTGAAGATAGAAATTTTGGCGCCACGAGCTTCGGCGGTTGACGCGTGGCGCATCGGAGTGTACCATGCGCAGCTTTCGAGGTGCTGCAGTCATGCTAATCAGCGCTTGCTACTGCCTTCAACCAATGTAAAAGATAGGCGGCGGACCACCTCTTCCATCTGTGCTTTTAATGGAACACGTGCGGAACTGGCGGATTCCATCCAAATCCCCAGAACCGGAGTAAGCAGCGTCACCCCTGGTGGAACTCTAAATGCCATTCCCGGAGTCACGGCGCGACAAGAGGCACACACATCATAAACCACAAAATTGTCAGCTTCGTAAATTAATACGGGTGGCCAGTGTGCCAGCAGCTGGAAACTCTTTGGTTGTTGAATTTGAAAGTTCTACTACGTAAACCGAGGTCTATGCAACTCGAGCTTGTCGCTTTGACATGAAGACCCGATACATACCATAGACACGGACCAGACCAGTGATGGCACATGTGAGCGTGCCTAAATAAAGGCGAATCGGGAACGGCAGCCAAGGAGTGAAGACCACACCGCTCAACATTTCTGTCGTCCGTATCGTTTCCCTAGTTGCTATGACCCTCAATGTACACATGTGCGAAAAATTATTCTCTTGTGATTTGAAATCGAAATCGAAATAGATGTACCGGTATATACATTGTAAACTGTACTATCAGGACTGAAAAGTTCAAATAATTGTAATACGAAAGTAAAAATATTCAAACTGCTGCACTTTTACAATACAAGCGATCTCACCAGATGGCGAAAACTTGAATTCTTGCAGCAAAGCGAGGCACTGGTCCAAGCCAGCGAAGATAGTGAACTCTCCGCCAAAAGGATTTTTCCTGAAGAATAGGTCGAATACTGCCTGGTCGTTTCGCTTGCCAGCTTTCCAGTATGCATAGCACATAGTGATCTGGTAGAGATCTGTCAGCAGTGTTTGCACGACATTGCTGTCCAGGGTTGGCCGCCTGCGATCAATACACTGACTATCCGTACTTGCCATTCTAATTCTTCACAGAAATTGTCCTACATATTAGAGAATAACACATTTTCAAAATTAATCATCTTTCTAATTCTCTTGCTTTCATTATTCATTCGTGCACGTTCATGCAATATCCATTCCAGGAAAATCTCATATTCATAATGACATAATTATGAAAAAGAGGGTGTAACTTCTACGTATCTCTAGAACACAGGTGTCAAGTGCCAACTGTTAACAACTGTCAAGGCACTACCCTTACTCTTGCTAAGCTTGGTACACGTACTACTACTCCGTACTCGCCCCAAGTCAAGGGAGTTGACACAGGATCAGTCTCCCCGGCCGTTGTGTGACAAAGACCAGTAGCAGTTTTACGCTGTCTCATTGCCTCCGATCCTGTGTATAAGTAGTCATGGCCCAAATTTGCTAGCAATTCTTTGAGCAAAATATCGGATGCGCAAGTTTCCGGCAAGTTTTGAGCAAAATATCGAGTTTTGGTGGGCTTTTCGAAAAATTCAAGGCTTCTTAGGGACTTCCTCAACACAATCAGTCACCAGTCACCAAGGGCAAGGTTGAAAACAAGCACAAACGTTGTAGAAAACAGACTCATGGCTACATTTCAGTGGAAAGTTGAGCAGCAGCAGGAGCTCAATCAAACATATCGTCGTCATCAGCGACAATTATCATTAATCTCGAGCAAAACCAAAGCAAAAACAAAAATATCGACGGAGCCGGAGAAAGGAAATGCCAAGCAGAATAGAAATATTTGTGGCAAAATTGTGCGGCAAAATATCGATGTAGGCCGAGCAAATCTGCATCTGGGCCATGACTGATCATGTCTTCAAACGACCCATGTGCCCTTTGCTAGGTTACGACCAATCAGCAGCCTCGGAGAGCGGGCTTTGATATTCCATCAAAGCCCGCTGTCATTGACAACCTGTACGAGAAAACCATCAAAGCCCGCTGCCATTGGCAACTGTACGACAAAACCATCAAAGCCCTGATCATGCCCAATCTCAGAGTCTTTTCAAGGTGATCTGGCTATAAGAACAAGAAACCGATAGGGGTGGTGGTCGGGGATCCGGTGGCTCTCAACTTGTGGAGTTGGAAATCTAGCTCCAGCACCGCAGAACTCTCAGCAGTATGCAGCGTGAGCAAGGCGTGTGTGGTGGAAGTGAAAATACTTCCGCAACTTGTGGAGTTGGAAATCTAGCTCCAGCACCGCAGAACTCTCAGCAGTATGCAGCGTGAGCAAGGCGTGTGTGGTGGAAGTGAAAATACTTCCGTGACTCTTCAGCCACGTCTGGCTCTTGACACGGAGTCCTGAGAAATTTCTCACGAAACACGTTTTACATTACTTTCCCTTTGCTGTAATCTCTGTGTGAAACTTACGAACGGGACGAAAACGACATGCACTTTAGACTTCAGGCTGCTCTGAAATCCCAAACGAAAGGCCGACATTGTCCACACTCGAGATCACCCAAAGAATGAAGCGAGTTTGATTCAAAATCAAAAAAAATGTTGGGGATCGTCTGAAGCATATTCAAGCGAGGTACAGTCGGGCTTGATGACTGATCAAAGCCCTCGGGCCCAGCCCTTGGGCCTACGGCCCTCGGGCTGGACCCTTGGGCTTTGATCAGCCATCAAGCCCTCTCAGTCCATCCTCAAGCGTGCAAAAAACATATCTCTGCCACTAATCGAGACTTACACTGATTTTTGCGCTTTTGGGCCCAAATAAGTCTTGATGACGGCAAAAAATAATTGTCAACTGAATACGGAAGTGAACGAATTTGGTCGAAAGTGTCGAACCACCTTCATGACGAGCAACCGTTTGTGGACACTGTTTGTGAACTTGGAGCTTGTTATGGTGTGTGTCGGCAGGAATTTTTTTATGGCGATCAGGAAACGTTTTTCACATCGAAATCAGTGGTTACCCTTTGAAATTGAGATGTTCAAACAGCGAATTTTCTACGTCGAAATGAAGTTGGAGCACCATCGAGTTTGATTATTCCGATTTCCTTGGTGGGCTAAGGTAAGGGTAATTAACAGCTAGACATAAAAATCTCACCTGTTCACGCCCTGTATAATCCAACTTCGACCTTCAAAGTGGGCGTACTCAAGCAACATAAATCATACATGCCGTATACATAAACCTTTGAAGGGAGCATGAAAACACGCAAACGCATAGCTGTGTATACATGTACATTGTAGACCCTAGTTTGTGTTCCTCTGTGTGTCTCGGTGTGTCGTCAATGCTGTATTCGACAACCGTAAGCATAAGGAGAAAGTTGCCGCTGTACGCGCTCTTGTGTGTAGTATGTGTGCCGCGTTCAGTTGCTGTCTAGTATGAGATATTGGTACATGTAGCTGGGCTGGTGGTGCGTATTGCCTTGATGTGGATCACCTAACTCGTGGCCTTCTAAAGCCTGTCGAAACGCATGCCGTTTCAGATGTATGGTCTCGTGGTGTGTGTGTGTGTGTGTGTGTGTGTTGTGTGTGTGACTGTGTGTGTGACTGTGTGTGTGTGTGTGTGTGTGTGTGTGTGTGTGTGCGTGTGTGCATGTGTGCGTGTGTGTGTCAAAATGCATGCCGTTTCAGATTTATGGTCTCGTGGTGTGTGTCTGTGGTAGGAACCGGTGGATTCTGCTCGAAAAGGTGGCAGATTCTGCTCGAAAAGCAGTGAAATTGGCAGAACCATACAAACCTTATGGCGGGCAATTCCTCGAATTCTGCTCCATTTCTTTATCCACATACCAAACATGCATGAAACTTACCAGAAAAAGTACCGAATTCTGCCAATTTTCTGCCGGCAGAATCCGCCGGACCCTAGTCTGTTGGGGGGGGGGGGGTTGTGTGTGTGCGCGTGTGTGCGCGCGCGCACGTGTGTGTGTGTGTGTGTGTGAGTCTGTCGCGCTCACAATATCTCGTTTTCTGCTTATGAAGCTACATGTATATGTATGTGTTATTTGTAGGAGATTACAATGTAGAGGTGATTGTCTGCTTTGCGTTCCTCTCTGCTTGGCCTGCATTATCAATTTATCAGTACTGGTTTTTGCTCTTCACACGTACACGTACCCCCCCCCCCCCCCCCGCACACAAACAAACACACACACACACACACACGCGCACGCATGCTTATGTATACGGTTTCAGTTTGAAAAATGCAAAGTGTCCTGTACATGTGTGCGTCTGATGCATTCACACGAACTTCAACGGTCTATGATGCACGCGTCACTTCTCCTTTGACTCTGAGTTTGAGGAAAGAAAACCAAAGCATATCAATACAATCACATACTGTAAAGCGACAAACTTTCGCGGCGTGCAAATTTAGCGTTTTCATAAATCGGGCTGGTTCACGATGAGAAACGTTTGCGATTCTATCTTTTCAATCGGATCTTGTACTGTCTACAATCAGTGTACGGAGAGGTTTACGGCGATTTATATTCGCGAATGTGTGATGGTCGCGAAAATAGCGAAATTTAATCTCTAGCGAAAGTTTCTCACTTTACAGTACATGTATACAAACTTTTAAAAGTGTGTGAATGTACAACGTACGTTTGTCTTGTTTATGCTGTGTGTCACTTTGCTCTGGGCATGGAAATTCTGTCGTATTTGTGAATTGTCGTTATATACGCAGTGGTTATTAGAGAAGTTGACTGTGTGTGAATGTACAAAGTACATTTGTCTTGTTTATGCTGTATGTCACTTGCTCGGCCACCCGTGTTGCGTTCTCTCTGTTTCGGCTATTGCTACTGCACTGTTCTAGCCAGAAATTATTGTTGATAGGGAAACCGAGTGCGAACCTGGCTAGGCTTTGTTGGTGAGGTACTCTCATATGTGCGTGTCCGTGCTCGTTTGTATTCCTCCGACGGTGTGGCACGTGCGCGCACACACATGTGATGTATGCGAAGTGTATCCGGCATGTACGAACAATGTGTGTGCATCCGCGGCACGCATGTTTGACATGTTTGTGCTCCACGTGTGCATGTAGGATCTAAACGTGTGTAACGCAAGCGTGTGGGGCACGCCCATAACGTCTGCGGCACCGTGACATGGCCACTATGTGATGTCCGACACGGGTGTGCAGGAGTGGCGCGTGGGCGTATTCGCAGTGTGCACGTCTATACTCCAGCGTATTGTCCACTTTCCTGGTCCCAGGAGGGTTTTGGATCTGTGGAAAACACGTGAACTGAATACAGTGGAGTTAGTTTGAACTCTTGTGTGCTTTCTGTGCACAGGTTTATCTACGGAATTGAGTATGGTCAAGAAATGCGTCTGAAAAACCTGGAGCACCATCGATTTTGCCATAACCATTACTCGAATGTCCGAGAGCAGGGTCGAGGGCAACCACATTGTCGAAAATTACACCTGTTCACGCCCTCCTTTCAGGTTACTGGCTCGTTTTCGCCCACTGCTCTGAATCGTACGAAAAATTCAAATGTTCTCCGCCGAATGGCACCATCACAAAGTCTTTCGGATCATTTTCGATATGCACCTCGCGAACATACCACCTTCCTGCACTCATACACCACAAACAATGCATGCTCAATTCGACGAGGTGGGTGTCATGAGTGTTCTTTCACGTCAGTCGCCGAAAGTCATTTCAGGGTGAGAATCGTTCTCAAGAAAAAGATCGCAAAAAATCAGTGTAAGTCTCGATCGAACGCTTGAGGATGGACTGTCTGTACCTCGCTTGATTATCTACATACGAGGTGATTTGGCTTTTTTTAACATTTTGGCATTTTTTAACAAAATAATGTGTAAAATTTGCTTTTCTTCTGGCTGTTTCTCTGCTCCGGATGGCTGTATCGAAACATGGGTGGTGGCAAATGAGAGCCAATTTATCGTAGATCCACATTGACCAGAAAATTTGGTGCATATAATTTAATTCTCCCTGCCACGTTGGTATAACTAGTGGTGGGTGCTTTGCCATTTGTGTAAAATGTGTAAAATGAGCTCCTGAATGGACGAGGAGGGCAGTGAATTGCTTCCGCAGGGCCTTTGGACGACGTCAGGCGTCTTGCCATCACTAGAGACAGTAATGAAGAACAGTAGGTCACTGAATACACTCTGTGAGAACGAACATCGCTGCGATGCTGTGCTATCTATCCAATTCCACCGCATAACACAGCCACTAGTTACAAATACAAAAACACGGCTTTCGCAGCATACAATGCAGTTCACTCCTCTGTGGACAGATTAATTATTTTCATCC